ACTCTAAAGATAGATTATTATCTGCTTCTAGTTCTAATACTATAGGTTAGCTTTAGTCTTCTTAATAGAGTTCGCGTAATATTATAATAGCTTCTTATTACTTTTCTATTCTTATAACTGCTTAAGTTAATATAGCTAAAATAAGAAAGAAGTTTTTTCTTCTTTCTATAGAGCTCTATAGAGAGATTTTATAAAAGCGTAGTTATACTCTCTAAGATAGCTTTTATATCTTATCTATATAATCTAGGCGTCTTAAAGAGCTATCTATAGAATTTATTTTACTAGATTAATAAGTAATTATAAAGTTATATCTAAAGAGAATAAGGTAAGCTCTTACTTATCTATAGTTTAGAGTTTTTATCTCTATAAACTATTTAAGGTTTTTATAGTCTATAAAGATCTTTAAATGATTATTTCTTCTAGATATTAATGCTAGTATTCTAAACTCTTAATAATTATAAGTAGTTCTTAGTTATATATATTATACTTATACTTAGCTATAATAAGTTTGCGTAAGTAGAAGTCTACTAGTCTCTATTAGAGCTTCTTACTATTTTATAGTACTAACTAGCTTAGAATACTTAATATTATGCCTTCTAAGATATTAACTTTAACTCTAGTCTCTCTTTTTTATTTAAAATATATAAAGATAGGTATATTAAGAAATACGTTCTTTAATGCTTAGAAAGCTTAAATATCTTTAGAGCTTATTTTAAGAGTCTAACTCTTTTCTCTTTATATTTATAGGCTACTTCTAGCTACTTCTAGAGTCTTTTAAGTTAGAATAGTTAATAGTAGCGCTAAATAGCTAAAACTAGCAATAAATTATCTATAGTAGTTTATAAACTTAATAAAGATATAGATCTTGCGTATAGTGCATAGCAAAGGCTAATTCTAAATTATTTTAACTTTATCTTAGTTAATACTAACTTCTTCTAGACTTATAATATACTCTAGGTACTCTATATGCTACGTATACTATTTATACTTACTTAGCTTTATATATAGCTTTGCATTGCATAGCTTCTATAGAACTTCTTTTATATATACTATATATTCTTCTTCTATATCTAAGAAAATAAAGATATTATTTAAATAGATAATATAGAAAATATCTACTAAGCCTGCTAACGCTTTATTAATATAAGCTTAGAACTAAGCTAGAGTATTTATAAGACTAAATAGCATTACTATATACTTAAAATAGCTATATTTTATATAGAAAGTAGTCTTCTACTTATTACTTTTAGTAATTCTAATTCTATAATAAGCCTCTCTTATATTAAGCTTTATATACTACTTTACTTAAGAGAGATATTCTAAAGACTTTATAATTTAAGAGTAGTAAACTCTAATTCTTAATACTAATTTTATTAAGATCTCTATAGTCTATATAGAGTTATATTATTCTATCTTTCTTCTTAATAAATAGTATAGATACGCCTACTAGTAACTTTAACTAATATATCTAGCTATGCTACAAATACTTAGTTATATATGCTCTTAATATACTTAACTCTATAGAAGAGAGGTTATATAATAGATAATAGAAAGAATCTTTCTTAAGCACTAAATTAATTATTAGATTATACTTACTATATTCTGCTAGAATCTTAGAGTTCTTCTTAGAGCTAACGTCTATAAACTTAGTATAATCTAAGAAGATCTAACTTATACTAGGTTATTCTAGCGTAGCAGAGCCTATATAGCTTACTAGAAAGGTATATATATCTGCATATAGGCTTTATATACTTCTTTTAAACTCTTCTATATTCTTAATATCTATCTTATAGTATAAATATTATATTCTTTACTTTATACTCTCTATAAAGAAGTCTTTATATTAAAATATTAATCTTTAAGTTATATTTATTTACCTAAGAGAGGCTAAGATAAATTAGATATCTTTTTAGATTAGTAATAATAAAAGAGATCTTATAATTCTTTTTCTTACTATAAGAGTTAATAATAACTACGTCTATAACTATAGTACTATAGATAGTAAAGTTCTTCTTACTAACTCTCTCTACTAGAAAGCTAATTAATAAGATAATCTCTAAACTTTACTCTTTAGTAAGTTTAGATAATATTAGATTTAACTAAGAACTTAGATCTAGAAAAATATCTATAACGCTTAAGGCACTAATAACTCTCTTTACTATTATTAGCTAAGAGAGTACTAATAATATAGCTTCTCTTAGAGTGCTAAGGTTCTTTTAGTCTAGATTAAACTTAATATAGGCAGTAAAGTAGATCTCTAAGACTTATGCCTATTATCTTTTTCTATATTCTATTAGAGAGATCTAGCTTAAAGCTTATAAGAGTTAGAGTAGTCTAGACTAATATAGCTAATCTTATTATAGTTATAATAGGTTAGCTTAGAATAGTTAGATTTAGCTCTACTTACTAGTGCCTACTTTAGCCTATTATAGCCTATTCTAGTATACTTAGCCTTTTTTAAGAGGTTTTAAGCTCTCTCTATATTTAGAGAGATCTTTCTTAGTTAACTATAAGAAGTTTATACTAGAATATTTACTATAGTTTAGTATCTAGTTACTCTTTGCTAGACTATATTTGCTTATTTCTCTAGAGTAGCTAGAGTACTTCTCTACTTAACTAGAATCTTTATAAGATTATCTTATATATCTTATTATAGTGCTAAATAGTACTATATAACTTTTATTACTTCTATATTTATAAAGCTTAGTTCTTTCTAAAGAGATTTAAGATAGTTTAGCAGATCTATTAAGAATTAGTTTAGTTTCTATCTTATAAAGTAGATATAATTATATGCTTCTTAGAAGCATTTTGCTAAAGTTTTAAGTAAATTAAGTATAACTACTTTTAATTCTACTTAAGTAAGTACTTATTCTAGAGATATAGTAGAAGAGAAGCAGTAACTATCTTAAAGTATTCTTATATTTTCTAAGATATAGTATAGCCTAAATATAACTATTAAAGCTTCTATTAGAAAAGCTTAAGATAAAGTTATAAAGTAAGACTTATAGTCTCTCTTCTAGTAGTTATATTATATCTAGTTCTTCTTCTTAAAGTATATTAGAGGTTTAGGCTTTAGTAAGAAGCCTAATATATTACTTTAAGATAAACTTAGTAGTATTATTACTAGTTACTTAAGGTTAAAAGCCTTATAGTTATCTAAATTATAATAAGCCTTTATAGCTCTTAAGAAAACTAGTTTCTCTTCTAGAAAAGCTTAAGCCTTTAGTTATTAGAGTTTCTTAATCTCTTTATATATTTTATTTTCTTCTTAGTTAAATTAAGAGAAAATAGGCTCTTATAGCTTATTATTAGCTAGTTAAGCAGTATTAGGCTTAGTTACTTCTATGCTTAATTTCTCTATAAGAGTAAGAAGTATAAAGTCTTTAATATTATTATTAAGAACCTCTTAAGCCTAAGCTATAGCGCTTTCTTTCTATAGATTATAGAAGAGCAGACTCTAATTCTATATAGCTACTGCTCTTATAGTAAGAGCTTATAAAAGATTAGATAATATATTTACTCTTTCTTTATGCTATATAAAGTAAGCAATTTAAATATTAAGATAATACTAAAGAGTTATAGCTAGAAGTAAGTAATAATAAAGATAACTAATAAGATTATTATAAAGAATAGATAAATTACTACTAGTAAGAAGCAATTTTCTCTCTACTCTATATACTAGCTCTCTAGCAGCTATACTAGGCCTGCTTAGAACGCCGAAGGCGTTCTTAGTACTAGAGTACTAACAATTTCTTAATAATACCTCTACTTTGCATTTATATCTAGAATAAATAATAATTTTTAATCTTATTATAATAGCAGATTATAAGCTTACTTAGCTTTTATATACTTTATAAAACTATATTACTAGCTTAGCCTACTACCTAGTAACAACCTCTAGCTTCTAAAACTCTAAATAACTAAGTAGTAATATAGTTACCTCTATATGCTACTAGATAGTCTTTAAAATATTACTTATAAAGTTATTTTCTTTGCTTACTAACTAGCTAGCTCTGCTTAAGTAAGTAAGCTACTATTTAGAAATCTAAAATAACTCTATACTAGTAGCTATAGAACTACTATTTAGTATATAGGTTACTCTATACTAGTTTAAGAGCTAAGTTAAAGGCACGCTTAGATAGAGTATATAATCTTACTAGAACAATTTAATAGACTCTAAGCCTACTTAAGCCTAGTACTTAATTATATAAGCGCTTAAGCTACTATAGCTTTATTATTATAAGAATTTATAGTATAAGTTACTGCTGCTATATATTATAAATATCTACTTTATTATATTATTAAATTTTACTTACTGTCTACTACTATATTAAGGTCTTAGGTATATAGCCTGTTCTATTATCTTTCTTTATTACTACTCTACTGCGTTATATGCATCTGCTGCTTATAGCATAATTCTACTTTTTTTCTAAAATAATAACATATATACTATAATACTACTACTACTTACTATATATAATATATATACTATAATAGTACTACTGCTTACTATATAAAATATATATACTATAATACTACTACTGCTTACTATACATAATATATATACTATAATACTACTACTACTTACTACGCTAGAATAGAGTAGTTTTAGTAGAGGCTTAGCAAAAGTAATACATAGGCCTATGTGATGCACGAACCCGTAAGGTACGTTAAGCATTTCTGATCATAAGCAGTAATTCTCTGGTTGTGCTAAGAGCACAGGCTGAGCTGAGTTTGTGAACGGAACGTCTTTGGCTTAGCTCTCGCTTGCGGGTCCGTTTGCGTCGCATGGGGTATTTTCTTTGTCCACAACTAACTAGACTGAAGCGCTAGCGATCTGTTGTGATCACCTGTTGAGTCTCTGCACCAATAAAGATCTTGATGTATAAGGCGGGATCCGATTGCATCTAGACGAAAGACCCCGAGTTTTCCTGTGACTATAAGAGTTGCATGTACAATCGCGATACGTCAGCATCTATCAATCACTACATCTCTCCAATATGGGTCTCCCACTTCCCGAAAAGCTCAAAGGAACCTGCGCTACTCTAGGAGCTCTAAGCATCTTTACGTTCATCCTACGCTGTTATGTACGTATCCGGCTCGTTAAGAGTTGGGGTTTGGATGACACTTTCATTTCTATGGCATTTGTGAGCTTTTCCCTTTTCTCGACAATCTATACAGACGTATTGACAGCCCCATAGGTGATACATATGTGGTACACCGGAACTCTACTTACAGGTATACACTACGGGACTGGTCAACGAACAACAGACATTTCAGTACAAGATTCAGTTCACGCCATGCGTGTAGGTTGTCTTCTTCTTCGTATTAGGCTTACAAACGTTACTAATAAGTTAATAGTGCTGGTGGCTCTGCTTCCTTGCGTATGCGTGCTCCATTACGTTGGCAAAAATTTCCGCCGGCTTCTTCTTTCTCCGCATTGCTGGCGTCATGAGATTCCATCGCATCGCAACATACGTCATCACCCTCCTCGCCGCAGTAGTTGGCTTCGTATTTCTCTTTGTTAGCATGTTCCAATGCAGCCCAGTCGATTTCTTCTGGACCAGGTTGCAAGGAGAAACGAATGGCAGGTGTATTGATATAGAGGTGATCATCAAGCTCACCTATCTATACGGGACTGTGACTGCTTTGACGGATGTCGCCTACGGAGTTCTGGTGGCTGTTTTGACTTGGAATCTGCAAGTTGATCGGCGGACAAAGATGTTGATTGCTCCATTGTTGGCTATGGCTTGCATGTATGTACAGAGAAGAAGTTTCGAAAGAAGTGATGCTAACAAAACTACAGAGCGAGTTATGCTGCGCTCGTGCGTATGCCATACATTAAAAACTTCAGAAAGGCAGACTTCTTGTGTGAGTCTCCACTCATCAACCCATCATCGTTGTGCATAACTGACACAGGAGTTTACAGATGCCACTGTGGACATTTCCCTTTGGTCAACAGTCGAAGTCGGCGTTTCTGTCTTTGCAGCAAATCTTGCTACGTTGCGGCCTTTGATCCATCACATTACCCAAGGAGGTCGATCTTGGTCATTGCGGAGCAACAAGCGTGCGAATCTTGCGCTTGATATACAAGAGCTTCACTGTGTAAACATCAATTTTGACGACAAGAAAAGTTCATGTGGAAGCCGTCATGGATCTGCGGGAAAGGATGAAGAGGACGAAGCGGAGAGCACGCGAAGCCTGACTAGATCGACTAAGGAGAAGGTGTAGCAGGAACAATATACACTACTTGTTATCACTGCGTGTTCTCTGAGACGTAAATCATTGCGTACAAAGGCTTTGGAGAATTAGAGCGCGCTCCAGGCTGTGTGTTGGAGCTCAGCCGCAAGCACGTGCGCGCGGGGCTCAGCGCTGGCGTGCAGCCTAGATAGACGAATGGCCGGCGTCGAATTGAGCTAGGACCACGTCGCTGCAGAAGGCCCTGCACGGTACGAGACACGCCCGAGATGACGATGCCACCTCTCGCAGCTCCTCACCTAACAAGAAGTCGACGGTGAGCAAACTGACGTTCGCGAACCTGTGTACGGTACAGGGAGTAACTGCAGACAAGCTACGCAGAATGCTGCGTGTGTGAGATTCGATACTACCTGCGCGCTGCCACGTCCTCGTTAAGTCCGTTGCGCCCGACTTGTCCAAGCTTTAAGCCTCGAGACGACACTCGGCGACTTCGATAATGCCATGTACATACATACTTGTGCGCCGCCGACCACGACGTCTTCAACGCTAGAGATCCCGGCCTCGTCATCTCCCCACGTGGCTCGACTTCTTCATCGACTACGGGCGCCGCTGGCAACAGGAGAGGCGGAAGACGTCGCCCCCGAAGGCTCGCATGCCTGTCTTGCTGAGCCAGTACGCCGCATACTGCGCCGGTATCCCAAGCGAAGGAGGCACCAGAGGACGCTACTGGATCACAAGGAGAATGGAAGCATCGGCCCGCCGTGGACGTTCGAATGGCATGGTGACCCGGGCGCGATCCTCTCGAAATGGAAAGTGTAGCGCTTCATAAACATCCAGCTGGGCTCGCTCGAACCAGAGCCGGTGCATCTGCCACAGCTGATGGGAGTCAAGAGGCAGCCGCGTCATCTTAGCCATTCGCAAGAAGCAGAGGATTTGGGTGGAAGGCCTGAAGAACCGCCAATGGGCGATAGGTCCTCCCACCGCCGGCGGGCCACCGCCAGCAGGTCCTTCTAATTACGGCGGCAACAGCGCTCACGGCGATCCCATTCGAAACGACAAGCCTCCTCCACTACCGTCAAGCGGCAGCCCAGGTGCCGCCGGTCAGTGTCCATACAACCCTCCCATTCTGGAACATGCTATCGCTGGGGAGAACCCACTTCCTTCACCGAAGAAATCGTGCGGTACTGGAACCCTGTCTTCGGTCACATCTTCGGGGCTCGCGACATCGACTCCAAGCCGCCTTGATCTATTTTCCACGGTCGAAGACGTTTCGGCATTGCCTATAATGCTCTTAAGATCGGCAATACCAACAGCTACCTGAGCTCGTCCATGTCGCAACACCTACGCGATGCCTCCCTATACGCTTCTCAAGCCTCGTTCAAGCAACTCGTACTCGAAAGTATCCCTACCTAAGAAACGCAAGAAGTTCTACTTTTCACGCTCGTTGTTGTGGAAAGCTACTTAGTGGCACTCCGGTTATCGACACGTACCCAAATTTTCACAATCGATACGCCGGCGTGTTTGCTCTTGGCTATCGAGCGCCGGAATCGGATTGGCAAGATGACGTCGTCTGTTTAATGCCCCGGGTGCTATCTTGCACGGCGCGGCGATCTTCAGACCTTCATTCACCGCTGTAATAGGCGAGTGCGTATATAAGTTGGATGGATATACAGTAGCGGAATCTTGCTCAACTTCGCCATCTTTTCTGATAGCTGATGAGATTAGTCCACTGTTACAAGATGTCTTTATTGTGTGTTTATACATCCTCGACGGCTATTGCAAACCTACAGCCTAGTCCACGCTCGCCTTGCGCTGCAGCAATTGATTGTGCGCAGCGGATCAATGAGGCGAACCAGCACGAAAACGAAGGATTTCTCTCTTACGAATCCGGCTTCATGCCGTCTATCAGTCCAGCGACACAACTGCCTGAGCGCTTCCGCTCGTGGGACCAGCTCGCAGCGTCGCTTCCTGAACTGTTGCGCGACCAGACGCTGCGCGCAACAGTTGACCGTTTGGCAGTGCTGCCAACGGACGTGAAGTCGCTGCCCGACAAGTATCTACAACGGGCCTCGACACTTGTATCAATTGTCTCGCATGCCTACGTTCACGCCGACATGGCTGGCCCTGCGCCGCTTCCCGTGTGTCTATCTCAACCTTGGACCGAAATAACCAGACGCCTAGGACGCGAAAAGCCGGCGTTATCTTACATTGACCTCATCGTCTATAATTGGAAGAAAAGAAGCGCTGCTGGGGCCGAATTTTGTGTCGAGAATCTTGAGCTTCTGGTTCCCACCGTAGACACTGCTGAAGAGCGTGTCTTTTACTTGACGCAGGCAGAGATTCTATCACGTGCTACCCCGTTGCTGAATTCCATTGTTGACGCACAGATTGCGGTGCTCTGCGACGATGTTGCAGCATTGGCGGCGGTGCTGAAGAGAATGTCCGACGTGTTGAGTGATATCGGGCGCAAGTCGCTCATGCAAATTGCGCCCAATCCAACGCGCAAGTCCCACGTCGATCCTGTTGTGTGGGCCAAGTCCGTGGCACCTCTTGCTGTACCGCTCAGCGCAGATGTTCCTGGCCCTGGTGGCACGGCTTCCCCATTATTTCACCTCATGGATAACTTCATTGGTCGCACATCCTACAACGCGGTGCTGGGTGAGGAAGCGCAGCGCATTCGAAGGAACTATCCTCAAAATTGGCGGAATGTCATTTCGGCGGCGGCAGAGGTGGACATTGCGACGTTCGTTGTAAACAAGAACCACCCTGCATTGCGCCAATCGTGGGAACTCATGAAGGAGCGGTACTGTGGCCCCATGGGGCTTTTGGGTTTGCACCGGCGCAAGGTTTTCGCCTATTTGCCCATGGCCTTCAAGGTGGGGCGTTCCGCGACCATCGCCGGTTTCAATGGGGACGTCGCTCAGCAGGAGTGGCATCGCGTCCATGAAGAATTGGAAAAATCACGCCAGGAGCGTCTTGCGGAAGGCAAGCTATCTGAGCCCCCCATTGTAGCGACGTCGAATGCGCCCAAGTCCGATGGCCAGACTTATTGTATTTCTACGCTTGTGGAGCATTCTAGCAAGGATGTCGGTTTTTGGTTTGCCGCGAACGGGCGCGTTTACGATGCAACGAAGTATCTTCGCTTCCATCCTGGTGGCGACAAGATTCTGATGAATTCCAGTGGACGCGATGTCACAGCCGATCTTCTTGCGATCACGCATCTCCAGGACCCCACCATTGCTGAGAAGGTAGAGAAGTTTGCCATTGGGAAGCTTCATGTTCCTGGATTCAACAGCGATAAGTTGCGTCAATTCTACGATTTTGCGGTCGCGATGGCTTACAAGGTCACGGACCTGCACACAACGTTCGGCAATGACCTTACGTTCCTATATCGTCAGTTGACGTCCGTCGATCCCTCTGGTGTGCTCACTGAGCAAAAAAGACGATTCGCGGTCGCTGCAATGGCGCGATTGGGCGAACAATTCGTTCCCAGCATCGCAACGCATGCCGAAGTTCTGGCTGACTTGTGCGGGTCATCGACTATGGCTAGATTCAAAGCGCTGCGACGTGGCTATTTGGTATCCGTCAGTTTAGAGCAAGGGCATCAGATGCTTGGTTTATGCAAAAGCCAAGCAGTGCTCCTTCTGAAGACACTTGAGAGCATTTCTGCATCAGCAAGCAAGCTGAGTGAAGGCCAGACGCATACTATTAATCATATCTTAGAGCAACTAGTTAAACTACTGGAAGCATTCTAAGGCTTGTTTACTGCTAACAATGTCTGCCGCTAAAGCTGCTTCAACATCACTATATATTTTAAATCTATACCACTATAAACGTAATAGCATCTATATGGAACGTGACTGGATTGATAATCGTACGAGTACAGAGCGTTCTTACATTGATAGACAGAGTAAGATCTGCAGAGCCATGCAAATAAGATCCGGTAACCTCCTGCCACTCGGTATTGATGGCATCCGCCGCTGTCGTTGAGATTACTTTAAGTACGCTGGTACCAGTTGTTTGCGATATGGTGAAGGTCATTGAGCAAGGAGGATTGGCCATACTAGACTTGATGTGCTATCATAAGGTGTCAGTAAATGGATTGTTCGTATTGCGTAAGTGCACTTACGGCTGAAAGCTTGTAGTTCGTGTCAGCGCGCAGGTTTATGTTCTGGCCAGACATAGCGATGAAAGGCGCGGAGTTGGCCGAGTAAGTCAAGGAGCCCACTTGGGTACCGCTGTATGGCGCTGTGATCGTATCAGATGTCATGAAGTTGTAGGTCGGTCCGCCCAATCTGATCTTCCATGCGATGTCTGCCGCTGCAGTTGCTTCGAAATCACCATTCAAAAGCAGGGATGTTGGTGCAGGTGCAGGTGTGTTCAGCACGCTACTCGTTGATGCCACAGTTGTAGAAGGATTATCGATCAAGGATATAGGGGTCGAAATGGAGGCTTCAGAGGATGACGTGGGTGTGGAAGTTGCGACTTCGGATGATGAGACTGTGGTGGATGAATCGACAGTCGGAACGACTGACGAGCTGGGAGAGTCTCCTAGTGTTGTTGTTGGTGTTGGCATCGGCGAACCAACCAAGGAACTGAGCACAGGTGTTTGGGATAGTGTAGATGAGGAAGTTTGAGTAGTGGTCGACTGGACGTCTGAGGAGCCACTCGATATTGCGACAGACGATGCGAGAGATGGTGTATCAACCGCTATCAAGGATAGTGCGCTTATGGAACTCGATGAGGATACGACAGGCGTGGAACTCGATGAAAATACATCAGGCGTGAAACTTGATGACGGTAATGCAAATGTGCTCGTGGCAGAGGAAGTCGAGGTCACCTCGATCATGGAGGTCTTCGAAGTTGATGCGAGATATGTCGAACTGCTGACAGGCGCCGATAGCCTGGCATCGCAGTTGCCAAATCCTGGTTGGCAACCTTTACCACAATAGCTTTCTCCAGATCCACTACGGGAGCATCAGCACAACATAAAGACCAGGAAAGGTTTAACTATGCATACCAGTATGAGTATTGACTGCAACAATTGCCGAACTTGGAGCCACGACAGGTCATGCCTTTCGGGAAAGCTTCGTATGCACTACCACAGCGAGCGTTGGTTGACACGACGAATTGAGACGAAGACGGCAACGGGACAGAGCGAACAGAGCTCTGGCTTGGAATGGCGCGTGTTGAAGAAGGTTGCCCGTCGGTGCAATTTCCGTAGAGCGGATTGCATCCCTTTCCACGGTATGCTGCCGACCGACCGCACCACCCATGATCACTATGATTATACTCGTTCAGCCAAAGCTTTGCTTCATAGAGTGTCCAGTCGTGTACTCACCTGCAACAGTCCCCGAACTTTGAACCTGAACAGCTGATACCACGAGCAGTACCGCATCGACCATCAGTGGACACTATCTGCGTTGGAGGAGGTACAGATGGTGAGGAGCTGCATGTTCCGTAGCCGGACTGGCAACCTTGACCACAATACGCGCTGCTTGAACCACAGTGACCGTACTGCGAGCAGCAATTACCGAATGAACCGCCCTTGCAAGTGAGACTTCCAAAGGATGCTCCACAACGAGCATTTTTGCTGATGGCCTGGGAAGCTGGAGCTCCCAAAGCAATTTGGACAATGACGGTGCAAACCGCAAAAGCGCGGAGAAGAGTCAACATTGTTTCAGCAAACGAGCGTATAGCGAGAGAGGTTTGGTCGTTGTCAGTATGCTCCGAACCCGAGACTCAGGACAAGCGGCCTCGATCTGGCAATGCGGAGGTTTATGTTGAAACCACGTTTTAAGAACCGGAGTCGATAGGGGTAAGCGTGGGCTATCAGGAACTGATGTCCAACGTCGTGCTCTCGCTAGATCAAGGTATCCGACAGCTCTAAAGTGCGCCAAACCTATGAGATGAGGTCCAGAAGAGCCACTGAGGCTGGTCTTCAGGCTTTCCGGAGATAGCGGTGATCAGTATACCTGTACTCATTTGTACAGAAGCGTGGCTAGAAGCCTCCAGGAGATACTAGTCGGACTAGACTATACCAACTAGCCCGAAATACTCTGATATCATTGCCCCTTTATTTTAGCTCTAGTGGTAGCAACACACAGAGCAAGGGAGAATTAGGATACTTTCTCGTCCATGCGAAGCTCGATGTCGATGATATGCATTTATATGCATTTATTTGACCAGTATATGTCCTTGTGATCCGGAATGTAGCCATCGAATGCTAGATTGCTACGAGACGTCGAACCAGTCTGAGCATGTGCAAAAAGGAGAAGTCTGGACATTTGAAAGATGTGAAAATTAATGAAGCGCGATCACGGCCACGAGGCTGCGTTTTAAGCGAGCGATGACGTCCCAAGGTCCGATGCACTAACCACAGAGCCCCAAAACGTGTTAAAAACAGGAAGCTATCAGGCCAAAATCGAATGGATAAAGGCTTGGCTTTGCCTTGCTGAAAAAAGCAACATCATCTAGTGGTACCGGTAAGCGCTGCGAATGAACAAGACAAGATTCTGAGCTTACTGAAGAGTCGTGCTTACGTATTGTTTCCAGCATTCAGAGCACCTGGATCGCTCCGTGCGGACGGGGACTCGGATTTCTGTTTACTGTCTCAGCCGCCCTCATATGTCTCTTAAGCGATGTGCTGAAGCGTTTGCGCTTTGATGCAAGACGACATGTAACGCTTGTCCATCTTCGGGCCTTTTGACTCACTGTCACCAAAAATCAAGGTTGCTCGCGGCTACTTCCTTCCTGGCAGCCCGGCCACGATCATCCGCATTGTCACGCTCAAAGAACGACGTCAACAATACCTGAACTATCACAATCATAGATGCATGGCTATTCAACACCCTATGCAAGGCCGAGGTTTCATCCTCTCGCGGCTCCCATCTTTGGCTTCTACTGTGAACATTCTCCGCGGTGCAAACTCGACCCTTCTGAAGGCATGGCAAGCAGCATGCGCCTAGTGTAGCGCCACTCGTTTTTGACTCTTTGGCATTGAAGAGTACGGCCTTACCGTGACGGGCGGCGCACTACGACCCAACAAACCCATCTTCGAGATCATGACTGAAGCCAGGTGCATCGATGTCGATTGTGGGTTCGGCTGCATTGTCAGCATAACTACTAGAGGCAGGCATCACGGGGCTTAATATGGATATCATCAAATTGTGCGCCGACGCCAAAGTTTGTGTCGACATTGCGATCAATTGCGACAACGCCGCGAAGGCCGTAGAGGAATTGACAGAAGGAAGAGAGATGGACAAGAGCCATTCATACCACTGCTTCAACGTCATGCGGCAACCTGATGCCGTAGACTTGGTTGATTGGAGCCTTTTGAACGATGTGAATGCGTATGTTGATATATATCTCAGGGATAACGACATTGTCGGCAACGTGCAGGAATGCGGTAGACCTTGCCCTAATTACGTTGCTCGTGCTACCTCTCATGTTCGATTCGAAGTGATGATGGCGAACAACAACCAAGTCGTCGTTACATATTGGCTCGACTCCAGAGGCTTCGAGTTCGTCTTCTCCCCCACTCTCATGCTTTGCCGTTATTGTCATTGGCACCGCTAATTCCTCATAGAGCCCGTAAATGTGTGCACCGGTACGGTCAGAGCCTGAACCTCGCCCGCGACGTCTTCTACGTACATGCAGATTCTACTGAGCATATGAGGACCGATCTCGATAATCTGCTGCTAATGATCGCACCAAACAGTGAGCTGGTAAGAAGTATCTTTGCAAAACTCTTGTACTGCTTTTGCGTGGATCAGACATGCTTTATCGTAACAAGCCTTATTGAAAGTCGTTACCATGCATGATTCCCTGCTGTTTACATGAGGAACGACTACCAGATTACGCAAAGGACCTAAATGCACGTCAATTGGAACTCATCATCTGAGCAAAATGAGTAAGCATTCACGAGGATTCGACGGCCCGTAACACTGCAACTGAGGTGTATCGGCCCGTCTGCGCGAGTCTGGGACGGAGGATACGGGGCAATACTCTCTTCGCCAGATAGACATATCTATATAATCGCTGCACGACACAGTAACTCTCGCGCTTGTCGTATCGTCTTCTAATCACGACTGAAGTCCGCACCGATGAAATCCCGCAAACAATGGCTACTAGAGATAGAAATACATGCAGTCTTACACCTACGGTAGGCCGCGGCAGGCAGTCGCGAGACGAAGGTTGGACGAATGCGCTTCTACCATGGGTATCCTCTGCTCGCGCGCAGAATATAGTATATCGAGATAATACCATAGCGCAATTGTAGCTGCAGCGCTTACCACAGTAGACAGGTCCACTGATAGAACTGGTTACAGGTTGGTCCTAGTCTCCACATATCGTACTCGCAGATAATTTAATTTACTTCGAGACTATGCTAAGGAGGTGAGTGAACGGATGGAGGTAAAGCAATTTCGGAGCCTCTTCGAAAACTGTAAGGTGATGCAACGCGACACCAGCACTCTATTTTCTCCGTATCCGGTGCAATAGAGTCCGGTCATGCTATCATGAGCCCGGAAATGCCCCGTCCATGCGTACATTGTGTCGAATAGGGATCGACATCGTGTGATGGTCGATGCGTCAGCAGCTTGGTGGAATACGAGGATCTGGAAAGGACCACCAAAACAGAAGGTCGAGGCGGCTTGTACTATGGTGACAGACGAAAGTAGACCTAGCTGGTATCGTCGGTCCTTCCTGGGAAGGTAGCGCAGAACATCAACACAGCCACTCGGCGTTGCAAGTAGGTAATGCCTGCTCGGCTTATTTGTTACAACACGCGCAGGAATAATTTCGCTCCACGGGCATTAATTATGCCCCTCCCCCCGGGCCGAATGCACCACTTTCGCTGTAACTGCAGGAGAATAACCTAACTGAAGTTGGCTAGCTGCCGTTCTCTAGCGCCTCCCCGTGGTGCTGACCTTCCAACTTCCTCCAGGTTCATGGACTTTAGCGCAGCCGCGCGTTGTTTCTTGATGCCTCTTCAGCCACTGTAGTGCCAAAATATCTCGGACTTCGCGAGGTGGTGGCCAACCGGTAGCTCAACGTGGTGGTCTCGGCGCCTGCTTGTAAATCCGTGCTCTGGAGGAGCTCTCGCTATATAAAGAATGGGCTTTCTCACTAGCATTACTGTCGCAATTACTTCCCTCCACACCAGCAACAGCCATATCGAAACCTGATCCAGATCAACCTCCACATTTCGCCATGCACGCAAACTCCATCATCGCTCTCGCCCTCGGCGCCACCGCCGTTTCCGCAGCTGCTGTCCCAGGCCTGGAAGTTAGACAAGCCGGCGATCTGTACCGCCAGTTCCCCGAAAGCCTCGACTGCCCGGTGAAGAACGGCGTCCACGTATTGAAGAAGGACCTCGTAGAGGCAGTCAAGAACGGCAAGAGGGACGGACCGCCATATGAGGCAAGTGCGGCAAACCTCGCGACTAGGCATTGTGGAAACTCGAACTTCAAGGGAATCCCTCTCTGGACCGTAAGTTATTCGCTCGAGATAGATGACTAGATTTCCAATAATTTCTGCATACTGACTTGCCATCTGCAGACCGAGATTCCAGATGGTACAGAATCCGCTGGTGCTCTTTTCTACGCTGCGGCATCCAACGGCACTTTCTATTTCTGCGGCACAACCTCGGGCCGAGTACCGTCGGGCTGGCCTTCTTCATGCACGGAGAACTACTAGGCTGGCTTCGGCTGCGTCTAGTTTACATTCTGTATATAAACTTTTGGTTGCATGGGGCGTTGGTGGTACGCACAAGGTGCGAGATGTTGGTGTCCAACATCTCTCCTTGTCGCTCCCCTTCAACCTTGTCATGGCAGCTAGAATTAGTCACCTTCTATCAAAGTAAATATTTCCCCTCATGGCGCCGCAGTATTCTTGATGGTTATCAGATTAGAGAAACGACTGCTACTAAGGTGGTCTTTTGGCCCTCTGCCCTCGATATCTTCGCCGTTATCAACCTTCAAATGGTGATATCTCATGGGTCCGCAATATACATGCAACAGGTGTCGTATCTCCGTTATTTTGCGCGTGAATTGGTGATGGCTTCTTGTGCTGTTCAGTAATATAATGCTGAAATTCACCTTGGGAAGGATGTTAGTAATCACACGTTAGGGACGCACCGAGGCGGTAGGCGTTACGCCACACCTGAAGCGTGGGGTCACTGACTACACCCAAAGCATCAACCAATCATGGCGTGACAGATTTCCTCCTAGGTTAACTTCGGGGCCCTGGTTACTGATTAGACTAGGCTGTGTCGGACTGATCCGATGTCCTGGTGCGTCGCTATGTCGTTATTTCTCGGAATTTGTACTACTGTAGTTGATCTGAGAGGCCTTCAAAGCACGAGAGCGAAGACGAGACATTTACACATATCCATTTGTCCGTCACATTGATGAGCGGTGAAGGTCCAGCAGATTACAGAAGTTCCTAGATGCACCGTCCTTTACAACGTCCAGCTTCCTCACAATCATCAGAAGTTTTAACCCTGTCGATTATTCTGTCTCAACATGGCTCATTCTCGGTGCCGCTATTCAGTGCGTTCTGGTAACATCACTACCTCGCAACGTTGCGCTCCTGCCCACATGCACTCTCCTCATTTTCCGCATACTTGGTGGCTACAAGATAGCCACCAATGTCATCACCAATCCAATTGCGAACGAAGTGGACCGTCGACGATACACGTGGCAGATCCCGCAGATGGCGCATCTACGGCTGGCTCGTCCGGCTCGATTGTTGTCTTCATACTTGCTACTAGCTGGAGCCATCCTAATGGTTGGTTTTCGCCTGGAAGCAAGGTGCTGAGCGAACACTTCCAGGCTACGTGGCGCGACGCCAATGAGAACCGCGAACAATATGGGTTTCTAGGAAACACACCAGGTTTGAGCACACAGGATGACGGAGAGAGACAAGATTCTAAAGGCCTGACTCAGGTGACTAGAAGCTACTAGAAAACTTTGGAAGGATTGCACCAGTTTGCGCATGCTAAGGTGCATATGAAAGGTCAGCTCTGGTGGCACAAGGGGGCCATGAATGAATTTCCTTATACTGGAATCATGGTAAGAGTTCGTAATTCGAGGCCATTTAAGATAGCATACTGATTCCATCCATACAGCATGAGCCATATGAGGTCCCTGCTGGGAATTGGGAGAACATATATGAGAATTTTCGCCCATTTGGAATTGGTAAGCTTCCTCTTTCACAACAACGACTGCTATCCAAAACTTATCAAACGCAGCAAACACAACTTACCCCGTGTCTACTATCGACAGCGAGCGATCTAAGAACGAGAAAACTGGATCCGCGCAATGGTCCAGTGGGCTGCGAGATGCGAGTGGAAAAGAGTGGAAGGATATGTACACCAGGATGGGGGCAAAGCGCTGTGTGGTGTGAAGCAAACAATACAGCAAAGTTTCCAACAGCATCCTGGGCTACATCTGAGTTCAGTGGCTGTTGCGTATACGCACTGCTGCTAGAAGTACTTTGACTAGCCATGCAGCGCCCCAACAGGCCGCGCTGTCGGCCCACTCTCGTAGAGAGTTTTATTGATTCAGCTACAACCTGATCTGCTCGGGTAGGATACATAATACGTTCTACATTTCGTAGCATCGCAAGAACCACAGGAATCGTCGTCAATACCCTTTTGCTCAACTCTCAAGAGACGGTTTTCGAAATGTACGCACGCAGGTAACGGAAGTGACTTATCTGTCTTCAGCACTACGCCTATGAATTGGGCATGATCTAAGTGCGTGGAGTTAGTCCCGATGCTACCTGCCGTGCCCTGATTTCATCGAGCAACTTCGGGACATCTTTATCCTCCTGCTGATATCCCATCTCGATCAGAGTTCTATGCTTTTCACTCCTGGCTTCGAAATACGCCTCAAACCGCTTAGGACTTGACACAAACCCTTTCGTAAACGAATCCTCATCAACGAACATCTGTCTCCCTGTGATATTGAATCCCCACAGTAGTCTCGAAACCGCAATCGCCAAGGAGTTGCGTGCGATGAAGCGGCCTGGGCAGATTCTGCGACCATACCCAAAATTTCCGGATTGCGCCTTCCCATTGAGCCAACGCTCCGGCCTAAACTCAGAAGGTGCTTGGTACAGGCTGGAGTCGTTGCGCATAGAGATGAAGAGAGGGATTATGATTGAGTTCTTAGGTATGAGGAAGCCTTTGTAGTGATCATCCTTTGTGGTTGCATGTGGGATGCCAGTAGGAAGAATGTGGCGCCATCGAAAGATTTCTTCCATAACAGCGTGAATATATGGCAATTTGTCGAGATCTTCGAAACTGGGCAGTCTTCCGTCGTCCACCACGGAATCCAGTTCCCTTTGTGCGATCGGAATCCAGTATGGATACGCCAGACATGCGAGCGTAAAGATTTGAAGCATCATATTTGTCGTCTCAATGCCCGCGTCGCACAACATGCTCAAATCCCAGGCCAATTCGACTTTAGGCATTTGTTTTGCTTCTTTGGAGTTTGCAAAGTCTTTGCTCCAGTTCCATCCATCACGGCTAAGAGCGTCTTGCATATTTGTTGTTGCCATGTCTGTACACTCTCGATGCCATTTTTCTGCCGTTTTCTTCCATGGAGCTAGGAAACCAGGTAGATACTTGAGGAATGGTAGAGAGTCCACTATCCATCTACCCATTTCTCCTGCCAATACAAGATGTTCCACATTTTGGTGATTGACCTGAAGCTGCCATTCTTTGCCTGTTTCAACGCGCAGTCCATATGCTAGAGTGTACACGATACTTGCAGCGTATCGTTCGAACTGAATCTCATAGTCATTGGTGTTTAGGAAATTCTTGAGTAAAATGCGGCTCTCGATGTCTTGCAGTGGAGTGTAGGAAGTTGATGCGCGTGGGCTCAAAACAGGAGCCTCCATCTGTTGGTGACGCGATAGGTCAGCTCCAGACGGCCTAAACAAAATGTTGTGACCTTTGCAGACAAGCTCTTGCGCCATGACCTACATAAGGGGGTAAGTGTAAATGAAAGATATTTAAGCTTCTTGACTGACCATGCGTGGACGGCTGCTGTAGATGCTGGCACGCTTGTCCAACAGGTCGCGAGCCGTCTCGTAGTCGCCGACGATGATTATAATAGTACCGCCAAAGTCGAGTCCTACCAAGGGGCCATATTGCTTGACCCAATTTTGAAAGGTAAGCCAGAGAGCATTAGTAGGTGCTTGATGCAGATTGCCAATGAAAGGTAGACGAGGTGGTCCTGGAGGCAGCTTGGCCCACAACCGCGCCTTTCTGATAGAGAAAAACGCAACCATAGCCACAAAGACTATTAAACATGTGACTAGAGACATCATGAGGGATGCGTGGCGTCGCTGTGTATATGATTTGAAAGTAATTTGCCTAAAATGGAGTCTTTGAAAATATCTACGTATGAAGGGGACGACATTTTAATTATAGGACTCGGTAAAAGCTCACACGTTTCTCATTGGGACGACTCACAAGCACCCGTGGGCGCGCACATAAAGAGGAGTTCAATCGGTCAGCCTTGAGCGGTGGCAACACATCGGTGAACAAGTTGCAGTCAGCGTGGCAGTCGCAAGTGATAGGTGTGCGATACGTCATGTCTTTCTCGAAGTGGTCAGTGGCAGGATTGAGCATTGCAGTGTAATGCATGGGTTGTTTCCAACATGCAAGTCAGGTCAATTGAGCACACCGAGGAACGGCTGATGACTTCCGGGCTGCACACGCACGTAGATCAAGCTGACTAGGTGGAGCGTTGAGTGCGTGGGGTATTCTTGGCATTTTCCCACTGCATACTCAACGAGGGTCGACACTACACTGGCCTGTGATGAAGGCGCCGGAAGACTGAAGATTGATTTTCCTCAGTATACATACAGAATAGACGGAAAGATATCTCTAGTGGTCGTTTGCGCATGCGTTATTGGTAGTTAGAGATCTTGTAAGTCTTTATGATGCAGTCTTCACATGCGCACCACAAGACCATTCCGATAGCAACACTTAGTCCCCAATGTCAGCCCTCCCACGACATATGCCCGTGAACACATGTTGTTCCTATCATTATTCATAGATGAAGAGCTGATTCTCATGTCCCTCATTTGCCAATGCCTCGACATCACATACCTTGACTAGTCTAGGGACTAGCTTCCCAAGTCTCGCCTTCATTGGTTCTGGCTTCAGGATAACAAAAACTGGAACCTTACATTCAACGGGGAATGATGCTCTAGACGCGTCTTGAGAGAACCTTATCGCCAGTGTTGTAGTCTCTGGGTACAAATTGGAAGTGGCCACAGCGACCTTTCTGACGAAGTCACCCGCTACATCTATATCGAAGCGATAGTCAGGAAATGCATTGCGAGGTAGCTTGTATATACTGGCGCCAGTATTTCGTGCTTTGAAAACGTATTCTCCGATGTTTTCATCATCGTATGTGACAGGGTAGAGTGACGTGGGCTCGATGACGAAATGGAAACGATCGGTCTTCTTTAACTGCTCCAGCTTGCGCGAAATATGTGGCGCTGCCTCCAAAATGATGAGCCGACAGGTCTATAATAGTGCAACTGAGAAGGTGCTGGACACTAGGGTGATGGGGCAGCCTGTGCGGCGAGTGTCCAGAGTACAGCGATGAGTCTCGAAGCCGACGAACTGATATACCAGGCAGCGAAGCCCAGGGGGGAGGGAGAGCAGATCCAATGGCATTGAGCGCATGTGCGGACGAGGGGCAGTGGCCCTAGGGATATTGGATCTGGTAGGGCTCATTATGGCAATGTAGGGTAGGAATTTGGTGGCGGAAGTTTATTCGACGAATACTGTTGAGTAGGATGTAAAGTCGTTAGTTGATACCAGTTAGGTGAGTCAAAGAGGCGATAAACAAAACTGAGTGGTACTTAGATCAGCTTGTTTAGCCAAACGTTAGTTGGAAAGCTGTGTTTCGGAGGCAGCCATGAGTCGAGAGTGCAAATGTGCCCATGAAGGTCCAAGTGAAAGCCTCGAAAGCTTTCAACGTTTTACCTCCTAAAGGCTACACCAAGCTGCACAATGACATGTGGCCAGCGAGTGGATTACCTAGATACTTGGTGAAGGTGATTTGCGCAATTCCGGGACGTGATGACAACAACACCCGGTCGCTTCTACTGCTCTTGGTTCCACTTGACACAGTCTTCGAACTTGACGCCCGAACCGCCAAAGATGTCCAGTGCACTGCCAATGGTCAAGTCGACTTTGCCGTTACTCAATCTCTTCACTAATTCCAGGTCCTCAATAGATCTGCCCCCACCAGCGTAGGTGACGGGGATGCTGCACCACTCAGCCAGTTTTGAGACGAGCTCGTGATCGATGCCGCTCTGCAGTCCTTCCACATCTGCAGCATGGATAAGGAATTCCGAACAGTATGGCTCGAGGAGAGAAATCGAGTCTGGCAGAATTAGATATGTCGATGTCGATGTTGAAGTTGAGGATCTGACATACCTTGGTTAAGCTCAAAATCTGTAATAGTTTGCCACTTATTAGTCGCAACAAACCATTTGTCGTCTTTCTTTCGACAGCTCAAGTCGATGACGAGCTTTGTCTTGTCGTCGTCCAGGGCCTGTAGGACGGCCTTCAGGCGGTCCATGGAGAAGATGGAGTCCGGAAACAGATACGATGTGATGATGACCTACTGCGCGTCTCATTAGTCTTCTGTTTGCTGAAGCAAGCAGGCTTTGATCTGCGCTCACCTTCTCAGCACCCCTGTCTATCCAATCTCTCGCATTTCTTTCAGTGATGCCACCACCTACTTGCATACCGGCCTTCCACGCGCCAAGCGCTTCCTTTGCAGCATCATCGTTTCCTGGGCCTAACATGATCACGTGCGCGCCTGACAGGCCATTTTGCTTGTACAGGGCGGCGTAGTATGCGGAGGGGTGCTCAGAAGTCCAGTTGGTCTTGAGCACATCAGGCGCGGTTGTGGAAAGGGTGCCGCCGACAATTTGCTTGACGCTGCCAGCATGCAGGTCTATGCAAGGTCTAAAGCGCGTCATTGTGCGTCTGCTGCCTTTAGGTACAAAGACTTGAAGCTGAGTGAAGTGGTGTGAAGGTTGACGGTGCGGGGGGCTTCGGGGGTCCGCAAAGCTTGGCAAAAATTATTAGCGCGACGAACTGCATGTTCGGGCTTTTTGCATGAGATGAACATCATCACCTGGCTTTCGCAATGGCACCCGCACTCGGAAAACGCAAGCGCATAAGCCGCAAAGAGCTCGAACAACCATCACGATCACCCTCACCCTCACCCTCCTCCGACTCGAATGAATCAGGTGAAGAAGATGTCCAGGCCATTTTCCGGCGCGCCTTTGAAGCCAAGTTCAAGCCTCTTGCTGTGGAGACCAAGGAAGCGAAGATAGAGACTCCCAAGGAGATTGCAGAGGAGGAAGCCGACGGAGAGGAAGATGCAGAATGGGCAGGCATAAGCGAAGGCGACGATGATGTCCAAATCATCGACTACACAAATACACAGCTTGGCCGCGACGACACGTCAAAAGCCGAGATGAAGGCCTTTATGTCGTCCAAACCACCAACCTCGACTGCTGCGCCCAAAAAGTCACTCACGGTGAAGAAAAGCCCAGACGAGGCCGATCTCGCCGAGTCCAACAACCTCCGGAATGATCTCGACCTTCAGAAGCTGTTGCGCGAATCACATCTGCTCTCCACCTCGTCCTCGGGAACCTCTACACCCACTCTAAGCGCAACAGGTATAGCGCGGCATAAGTCAACGGACCTGCATCTACAATCACTAGGCGCAAAGAGGTCTGTCTTCTCGCAGAAGAAGATGCCCATGGCGCAGCGCAAGCACATGATACAAAAGGCGAGATTGACCGACGAGAAGCGACGCGCTGAAGCCAAGGAGGCTGGCATCATATTGGAACGCCCTACTATGAACAAAATACCTGGCAAGAGGGATGAGACTAGAAAGCGGGACAAGGCCGTGGGCTTGCCAAGTGTTGGCAAGTTCAGAGGCGGAACTTTGAGCTTGAGCAAGAAAGACGTGCGAAGCATTACTGGTGGTGGAGGTGGTGGGGCAAAGGGCAAAGGCAAGGGCAAGAAGGCTAAGCGGTGATCCTCTGTTTTGAAATGAACCTATCTGCCTACTCGTCAGTCGAGCCATATACCTCTCTCACATGAGAACTGGAGAGGACGATGACTAAAGCCTGTGCTTCCACACCCCTCAATTCCAACTTGATTAAAGAATAGGATCGGTTCTGGGAGAATAGCAAGGTCCCGCCAGAGAACCCCGAGATGTCTCTTCTCTATTGCGATTCGAATGCGCGAGCGAAAGGATACTCGCAAACTTTACACAGTTTGTCTTGCGATTTGAACCCGTTTTGAGGTTGTCACGAACACTACACCAAGCACCTGCCGAGGTTGGCGTCAGTACGTATCCAAGGTGGGCTGTGCTGTCGAAGGCAAGCTGGGTGAGTCGGGCTATGTATCGTAGATCTGAGGAAACCTGCAAGGGAGGTGCAAGCGGAGAGATGCGGCTTCTTAGATTGTTGTCGGGACTGGGTGAGGATGGTCGGGCAATCGGATGCAAGAGGAAAGAGCATTCGAATAATATGGTCATCAAAATGCCCACAGTTGTGTTCACAACCATCACGTGACGTTTGTAGATGTTCGCCCCATCACTCGAACTGCCCCGTGTGCGTTGACTTTATTTTGCCCGATATAACGAGAGTCTGATGCATTCTTGAGAGCTATATACATATTGACAACACAGCGAAGCGACACGCGGGCTTTTCCTATCCATCATCCTTCCTCCTTCCTCCTTCCGCCTTCCACCAATCTACACACGACCAGATACTCCGGTTCCTCATACAGCTCACTCACCATTTAAAGCGCTGGCTTAGCATTCTTGACCAGCTCCTCAAAGTAAGCCTGGTGCCACTGACCAGCCTCGGGTGATGGCTTGAATGCATCGTCCTTTCCACAGAAAGAGTCGTAGCGGGTTGCGCTCGAGTCTGAAGTACCATCAGACTCGCCACCAGGCTTGACCCAAACGAAAGCATCGACGAGGGTGTTGCCAGTGTTGCCGGTGGGACGGACACCGAAGCCGGCGCCCTTGACGTTGCACCAGTCACCCCACTCCTTACGGAGGCCAGTGACACCATTGCGAGCAGTGTCTATGATGGCTTGGCCTGGCATGCCAGCGGACTTGAGCTCCGGAGAGAACATGGAGACAAAGAGCTTCTCGTTCTGCGCTTTGTTGTACTGTGCGTCAGTGGCCTTGGAGAACTCGCCGGGGCTGAGGTCGTAGGCATTCCAGCCGGCAACGTTGGTGGAGACACCGCGGACTTGCTTGGGGCTGCCAGCGTCCTTGTAAACAGTGGCCAGCTCCTTGGCTCCTGGCTCTGTAATCGTGTTAGTAAGCTATGCGGAAAAGTGGGTGATACGTACTCAAGTTGTCGTTCCAGCCGAGCCATCCTCCATGACCAGCATCAATGTACATGGCAATGTTGGGCAGGTTGAGCGACTTGAGGGCGTATGCAACACCCTTGCGGTAGCCCTCGGCTGAGTCCTTGCAGGTCTGGAGGTTGGCGTTTGTGACCAAGTTGGGCAGCGAATCGGGCTCGATGACTAGAGCAATGGCGATGTTGGGGTACTTCTTGAAGATTGCAACGATGGCTTTGACGGTTTAGCTTGTTTCCCTCAGTACTCACATGTACGTCAACACTTACGGTCAATGTACTCAGTCTTGTAAGTCTCCAGGCTCCCCACAGGAAGCTCTCCGTTGGAAGCCTTAGCGGCGCAGTCACGACCGGGAAGATCGTAGATGACCAAAGCAGCGATCTGGTCACAAGGAACGTCCTTGATGGTGTCTTCGACAATGTCGATCTTTGCTCGGGTATCGCTAAAAGCCACGTTAATAAGCGCACAGAGCTAGGAAGGCAACTTTACACTTACATCCACATGAATGTGCCGATTTGAGCGACCTTGGTGGCAGAAGCGGCGAGAGCCGAGTCAGTCATAGCAGCAGCAGCCGCTGAAACCTCAGAGGAGTAGAATTTGTTGGCATAGATCTGACGGGAAGCGAAAGGATTGCCGGAAAGAGTGACGGGAGTCGCACAAGCGGCGGCAGCAGCGCCGACAGCGCGAGCGGTGATGGGACCATTCTCCACGGGAGATGGAGCAGCGAGCACGCTAGAAGCGGCTGATGCCAGGACAGCGGCGAAAATACTCTTCATTTTGTCGACAGATGAATGTGAGGGAGTGATGAAGATTGTCGATGTCCAATACTTCAAGAAGCGGATGAGCCTCTTATATTTGCAAGAGTAGAGCACTCTGCTTGATGGCGAGTAGATCGAGCCATGTGCGCGGCAATGCAGCTCATAAGGAAACAGGCCCGCGTAAAGGGCGTCGTAGATGGTTGTGTGGGTCTATGCATCTTAGCGCTGGCAAGACAAGGCTCAAATGAAGATCGAAAGTCTATGGAACGGACTCCCACTATCGAGGGTACTCGTCATATGACATGTAGCGAATAACATACTGAGCGAATTAATCTCGTGGCGGCGCCGCTTCGGAGAGGTTCGAATGACCTTGGGATCTGTGTTTCCCGTATCGATGATATCTGGCGTTGTTGTCGTGCATAGACATAGTTTCCTAGTAGATGAAGCATAGTATTTGACCAGACGCTTTACTCTGAGTACCTTATACTCTTCCCTTGAACCTCTTTCCAGGCAGAGCCTCTGAGACCTCTGTCTTCGAAGTAGTGTTGTCAGCGATATTAACGCAATGTTTCATATCATCCTGTGCATGCGGGGATGGTCAATCCAAGCCCCGCAATCCCCACGCTGGCATATTGTGCCTCGCTGCAACGTATCACCCGAGTGTACGGGATCTGCTTAGTCTATGGCATAGATCTGCCACAGCCTTGTGGCGTTGAGATTGAGAAATGACATGCCGATTCAAGGTCACAGCGATTCAATCCAATGTGCCACGTCCGAGGGATGCCTCGTCCTGCATACGACAATGTGTCTGCAGCGATTTGAACGTCGAAGATCAGCTACTGGACTATTCTAGTTAGCTTCTTCGATCAATATGAAGCCTCAAGTTGCCACCAACAACCATTGCAAACAGGGGCAAGCCGGACCGGTGATTAACTTATTGAAACCAGTCCACCTGTCATTGGAGAGAGCACAGCTTGTGTTTTGGTACCGAATAGATGCTTCAGCATCGGTCTGGGTTGCGTCCAACAACAGAGCAGCCCCCAACAGCTCACACGTGCACACGACAAAGAGTGTTGATGAGTGATGATCTTGGAGGCTCTTTAATCAGACATTTATCCTGATGCATATGATATGTGCGCCCTCCAAAGACAGGTATACAAGACTGAGCCGGTCGCGCCGGGTATATTCCTTGAAATATGGAGGGGGGTCATAGCTCCATGCAGATAGCTTGTCAGACACGGAAGGCTTCTCGAAGGTAGGGGATGTGTTAGTTCCCCGGGACTGGAGACCCGTGAATATGGCATATTCCAAATCGTCTAAAATGTATGCGGCAACCTACCAAGTCAAAGACTCCGCGGGATTGCTATTACTTTTGGATAGAGGCACTGTTTCTGAGCGCTTGCGAACCTTCAGGAAGCTGCGACTAGCTCTCCGCCATTGTCCTTGTCGTCATAAGGGCTCAAGAATAGTGTAAACCTGGTTGAGAGGACGCGGGATCGCTGATGCATCTTTCAATCCTGCATTGGAATCTGAACAACCGATGATCGTCAAGTTCATGACTGTCACCTATTCATCGCTAAGCGCGTTACGTTCGACAACGAGTTCCCAGCAAGAGGCGTGAGGCTCGTAGCCCTGTTACAGGGATCACAAGCCAAGGCGATGTTGTTTAAAGGAGCGTCTTTGAGTGGACGGGTAAGATGGACGGGCATGAGGTTCGAAATGGCAATCCAATATGCGGGTCCTCGTGATCGGCACTAGTCAGCCGTCATTGCCCCATCGGGGCCCTCAAGCTTCACACTAATGTGTTGCAAGCCTCGCGTCTGAGGAGAATTTTAAGCTTGAAAGGACGACATGATCTGCGCGTCCATCGTTCGCGAATGTTAGACACACATGGTGAATGGTTTTCGGCTTCGTAGCCATACTCGGTGGCGCACGCGTACCGGCCGTATTAAGTGTCTTGTTCTGACACCGACCAAAGATTCAGCCGCCAGAGACATAGGCCGACACGCCGCCATATGTCGATATTGACATGGTACAAGCCGAAAAAGTATTCAACCAGCATCCCTGAGAAATTCCTGGAAGATAGGTATGTAGGATTATTAGTGCTCCGTGATCCTTGCTGCGGACGCCAATGAGCGAGCTGTACACAAGCAAGACTGTCTGTTACAGCATGGTGCAAACGCTTCGATTCAACTAGATCAGAGCCGCTATGAATGGTGACATATTGCTGTACCATATTTCCACGCTTTCTATTACGAAAATCTGCAGTTGTGTAATGTTCCAGACTCCAAACGCCGAATATGCCCCTTCTCCCCATTTCCTCTCACACATTATTTGGTCCAGGTCCTTTCCCTGGGTCTAACAACAAATGTGGTTTCAGAAAGCCATCATCGATCTGCTTGAAGGCGTTTGCAGGATCATGACTTAATTCGTTGAACAGTTGCTTGACAGCACCAGTTGCCGTTGCCATCCTACTCGATCCTTCGGCCGCGCCGGACTCATCCGCCCTATGGCCTGATGTAGGATACATGGCGGCATCAGCCGAGAGGCCCAGGGGCGATGGGTTGCGGTTGGGAGAGCGGCGGGCATTGGGCGGGAGGTCGAGGTCATTATCATCTTCTTCGGAGCCACTGTGGCCAGGACTGAGAAGACCTTGGTCTGCGCCGTCTATGCGGCGCTGGCGACTTGAGTTACGGCGGCTTGCAAAGCCGTTGGGTCGTGTTGGAGGGCTGTTATGGGCAAACGCACCGCTGGAGTACGTTCCTTCGTTACCGTTGACGTTGTTCAATGTGAAGCCGTTCTGGCCGGGGCGCGGTGTGTGACCAATGGCCTGGCCCTTGTTACGGGCGTACATGCCGCCGTTGACAACCTCAATGTCAAATTCGTCGTCGGAATCGATTTCTTCGACGACGCCTGTGCGTATGCCTAGGATTTCTAGCATGCGCGCCGTGGTTCCACCAAAGATGATAACGGTTAGCACTACTACAACTAACACGGTCGCCCGTAGGGTGTCGCCGTTGTTACCAGTAAGACCTGCAGCGAGCGCGACACCTACCGCACCCCGCAGTCCGGCCCAATAAATCATAGCTTGGTGAGCATAAGGAATTTCTTCCACTACCTCTTCGCCACGACGACGCTGGCGATATCTTGATATTGCGTTGATGAGCTTGGAAAGTGGAAAGACGGCACACCATCGCGCGGCGCAAATTCCGGCTACTGTGATCAGGATGAAGAGTGGCTTGTACTCGAGCTTGTCATCGGTGAAGAGCGACAGACCCAAGTAGATGAAGATGAAATTCTCCGCCAATTGCGCCGTGACTTGGAAGACGAACTTGGTGGAAAGTTGGGTGCGGCGAGACATGTTGTGGTAGGCATAGTGTTTGAGGCATATGCCACAGAAAAGCAGAGACACGATTCCTAGAGTGGTGTAAGTCGAGGGGTTGTTAAGAAGAGTGTGCTGCTTACCAGACATGTGGATGGCGTTGGAGAAGAAATAGGTCAAGTATGCGATGAGGATGATCAGACAGCTCTCCGTCTTTGGGAAGCGTCTCACATAGGTAAACTTCAACATCAGCGATGCGCCAATTCCAACCATGACACCGATGAACAAACTTCCAAAGAAGACGCCAAAGAAGATGCCGAAAGCCTCGAAAAGACTCAGTATGCCGAGTGACTCGGCGCCGTCTTTGTACTTTTGGGCAGTTTCGAACAAGACAATAGCCACGGCATCGTTGAGGATGGATTCTCCAAAGATGATGGTGTAGAGCTTTGGCTCGACCTTGTACGTGTCGAAAATGGCAAGAATGGTGACGGGGTCGGTGGCGGAGAGTGTGGCGCCGACCGACATGGCTTCAACAAAATTGATCTGGAAGCCATCGAGAGGGATTCTGGTCCAGAGGAACAAGATCAGGCCAAGGACGAGGGCTGAGATGAATGTTCCAGCGAAAGCAAAGGTAAGAATGGCGCCGATATGCCGGAAGAAGTTCCCCTGTTACGGTAAGTGGGTGTTGGTAGATTTTTGGGAAAGGGAGACGGACTTGGTGTAACTCATAGCCAGCAGAAAGGATGATTGGTGGTAGGAGTAGATTGAAGAACATCTGATAGTCAAAGCTCACGACATCTCGCACTGATGCCACTGCCGTCAGTCGCAGCACGAGGCCAACGACCATACCTGAATGGTGTTAGTGAAGTGCAGTAGTGCAGTAGTGCAGTAGTGCAGTATTGCAGGCCACATGCGCAGAGCCCCACTAACTACCAGTGGGCGATCGAGTTCTCCGATGCCAGCAAAGGCCCCAGATGTCATGTATCATGCACACTGGGGCTAGGGCACGGCAGGTCGAGCACGGGGAAGAAATAATGCACCAGCAAGACTAACGTACCAGCAAAAATGGACAGGACGGTCTCGTGGACGGCTTGTATTTTCCGTGTGTGGAGAATATAGCTCGTGAACAGGGCTATTATGAGCAGGACGATGAGGATGGACAGCGCCCATGATGTGAATATCTCCTTCTGGCCTGCCTCTGGCTCTTCTGTTGCGGCGCATTAGTCGGGTCGGCAGAGGGCTGGAGGGGCATGAGAGATGCAGGAACTGACCGTCGGGGTCTGCGTCGACGGCATCGCGCTCTGGGGGGTTGTGTTAGTGACTGCGTTGGTGCTTGTTCTCTTGTTCTCTTGTTCTGAGGTGGTGGTCGCGTACTGAGTATCTGGCCGATGGCCCACCATCCGAGCACCGAAGCCATGGTGTGTCTACCGTCGCGGGATCATCAGCAGTCGCCGTCTGCAAAGTGCGCGCGGGAGTGGAAAGGTGGCTGCTTGGTGTCTGGTGCACCAAGGGCGGGCTTGCGTGCGTGTGCGGTTGGGACGTAAGGCAACGTTGCGCCAGGCGTAGGCGTAGGCGGAGGCGGAGGCGGCAGTCGGGCGGCGGCTCTGCGATTGCGATGCGCGCGTGGGTGGAAATGGCGTGTGGTCTGGTGTACGTGCGGCTAAGACAGCGCGACAAACAATGGGCCGGGCAGGTCTGAATGTTCGAATGGCGGCCTCTGACCTGGCTGCCACACATGCATCCTCCAAGACCAAGACGCAACAACGCGGCTCGGACCCAGTGCCCGCGGCCTGAGCGTCTTGGGCAAGCGCGAGGCTCGAGCTGCGCGACAAGGGTCTCGCGAAAACGTCCCCACCTCACGGCGACGTCATTTCACCCTCCGAACTGCTCCTCAAGGCTGCGGCTGCATGACATCCAGCCAGAATCACACGGCACGACGACGCTACAGAAGCTCCTCGGAACGCCTGCGAGCGTGCACCACCTGACCTTCACCGCCTCGTAAAGGCACGCACACTGCCCGCAAATATTATTCTCGTCCCCCTCCCTCTACGCATTCTACGCATCATCTGCCTGCGCTTCTTGACGCCGTCTCACCCAAGACCCGGCGGCTTCCCCCGGTGGCACCAACTCCCCAACTGTTGGACAGGAACATGGCATCGTGTGCCTCCAACGCCTAGCACCTTCTAGATACAAGATACACACCCTACCCACTGTGCCCTTGACCTCATTTCTACACGCTTCCCTCCGCATCTGTCTCTGCCTGTCCCTCTCCATCTCTATACCGCCGGTCAAATTCCATAGCGCCTGCCAATCATATCGTGTCCGATCCTCGATCCTCGTCGCCCGTCCATCGCAGCACGATCCGCCCAGCGACCGCAATCATGTCCACACAACGGCCCGATGGGCCTTCCTCACCCTCACCTCCCATCTCCCCGCTTGACTCCCCGCGAAACACCCCCAGAATCGACACCACCTCGCAGCAGCGTCCCAAGCCTCGCCCAAAACTCGTGTCGTTTGGCCGCGATATCTCTGGCTCTGGCGACGGCCGTCCCACGACAGAAGGCAGGCCACGCGTTGACTTTATCGAAGCAATTCAAGAGCACTCGCCCTTCATACAGCCAAGCAGAATGTCACGCGAAGTCGACCCGCTACTCAAGGAGACCATGTCGCCCCTCGACGCACGACGACTGGACTGGCAAGGCGAGCAACAGACCGAGGAGACCAAGAGCAGTTTGTTCCCTCTTCCCGCGTGCGTCACCGTCTGTGGGCTTGCGGACTCCAGATTGGCTGGTCGCGTTGAGACCTCCAACGGTTCGGTGAGTTCCTCTCCTAGCTTTTGGGATTCGCTTTTGTCGGGACCCTGCATATATATAAAATCTAATGCTGGTCTCTGCATGTGCGAAACCTTGCACTGCCTCTGCCTCTGCCTCCGCCCACAGTACTAATCTTCCATGTAGCCCTACCTGTTGTCCCTTGGTCTGAGCAAGTCGATGCTCGCCCTAGTCTGGATTGCCGGTCCGCTTTCTGGTGTCCTAGTCCAACCTTATGTCGGTCTCAAGAGTGACAATTGCCGCATGCGATGGGGAAAGCGACGACCCTTCATCGTAGGTGGCGCCGTCGCCACCATTCTGTCTCTCATGGTTCTAGCTTGGGCCAAGGAACTCGTTGGAGGCTTTTTGGGCATTTTCGGTGCCGACCCAGAGTCCACTGGCGTTCGCACAAGCATCATGCTCTTCGCCATCATGTTCGTATACGTGTTGGACTTTGCTATCAACGTCAGTAAGTATCCCCGACATCTTCTGCATTCGGTTGCCTCCTGACTCTGACCTTCTGCTAGTCCAAGCTGGTGTCCGAGCTTATATTGTAGACGTCGCCCCTACCCACCAGCAGGAGTCGGCCAACGCATGGTTGATGCGCTCTGCTGGTATTGGAAACATTGCTGGCTACCTGGCTGGTTACATAAAGCTACCGGAATATCTTCCATGGCTTGGTGACTCACAGTTCAAGGTCCTCTGCGCCATTGCATCCTTCATCATGGCCCTCACTGTCGGAATCAGTGTAACTACCTGTGAGGAGCGCGATCCGACCTGGGATGCTGCCCCAGCGGAACAAGAAGGTGGTGTCATTGCCTTCTTCAAGTCACTGTTCCGCTCCGTCGGTGCCCTCCCTGCGCAGATCAAGCGAGTCTGTGAAGTTCAATTCTTCGCATGGATCGGATGGTTTCCGTTCCTCTTCTACATCACCACCTACGTTGGCCAGATCTATGTGAATCCCTACCTGGAGAAAAATCCCAACGCGACAGACAAGGAAATTGACCTTGTCTGGGAAGATGCAACCAGAATTGGAACCAGAGCACTCCTGCTGTTCGCTGTTGTCACCTTCGCAGCCTCGGTTTTCCTTCCATTCGTCATTCCCCCGACTTTCCAAGCGCCAGAACCCGACCGCCCAATGACACCCGCAACGCCAATGACACCTGCGACTCCACATTCAATGGGTGGCTCTGGCTACTTTGCCTTGTCTCACACGTCCAAGGGCACTCCACGCACACTCACGGAAAAAATTTCGCAGTCATTGGACGTCCTCCAGATCAAGTCGCTTACTCTTCGTCGCGCATGGGTCTTCTCGCACCTCGCTTTCGCCGCCCTCATGGTCCTAACATTCTTCATCAAGTCCACAATGGGCGCAACCATCCTTGTAGGTGCCATTGGTATTCCTTGGTGTATCACCAACTGGGCTCCGTTTGCCATCATCGCTTCTGAAATCTCCAAACGCGACGCCATCCGACGTGGGATTATCCGCCCCCGTGATCGGGAGTCGCAACTCATTGCCGAGGGAGAAGATGACGCATCTGGCTCTGGGGCTGATTCGGCAGGCGTCGTTCTTGGTATCCACAACGTCGCCATCGCCGCACCTCAGGTAATCGCTACCCTTGTCAGTGCAGTCATGTTCAAGTTCCTTCAGAAGCCTCGAGGTGTTCCAGGTGACGAGAGCGTAGCATGGGTCCTTCGCTTTGGAGGCATCTGCGCGATTGCAGCAGCATATCTCACATTGCGCGTTCACGAAGAGAAGGAAGAGGAGGTCGACGAGCCCTTCAGAAGGCGATTGTCTTAGGAAGGCCTGGACCGCGGGGCCCATAGACGATTGAGAGAGGAGCTGGGGAGCATTTTTAGCAGCGAGGCAAGCTCGTGCTAACATATTCACGATTGATGAAGATGAAAACGAAAGATGAATCTTGTTCCAATATGCGTTACGGCACTACAATGTCTCTCCTTACTTGGCTGGGTTTGAGAAGCTTTTGCAGCATCAGGCGAAGCGATGGAGTTTATATGGGAGGCATCATCTTCAGCGATAGGCGTTTGAGCAAGAATACATATGCTCGGGGTTCTGGAGTTCTGGAAAATATTACCTATGCTCTATTAGCAAGGAGTAGATTTACATGTTCAAGCTGAATGGGCATTCAACGCGTCTCTCGGCCCGGTGTACTATACTTCTTTAGGACTAGCCAAAAACCGACAGACCCATCTTGAAGAAACTACGATCTTCACACATAGCTTCGTGAAAGCATCTGTCGAACGAAATCAACATGCCATATCTTCTTTAGTCCAAGCCAAGTCTGTATGCTTTCTATTTATCAGCATTGGATTCCTCCCGGCAGATCAATGCGGGGCACCCACAATTGAAACAATCTCGATTTTAGTTGGCGGCCCATTGTGGTATCGGTCTTGCATCCTAGAACAGACCTCCGAGATTCGACATGGCCCAACCTCTGTCTGAAGCTGACATTCTGTTTCCGCATCTTGCAAACAACCCCAACTTCTCCAGCACACTTTCCTCGCTGAAAAGGTCTGCGCTGTCGATACATAACCGCCTCACTTCAATCATCTCAGACAGTGAATTCGTTGCCTCAGTCTCAGAAGCATATCGCCTTCCACTTGTAGCTAATGAGCGCTGTGGCTCTTGGTACATTCCTCTCGAAAGAAAAGCAGAGGGCGTGTACTTCAAGAGCACGGATGGTCATATGAGCCAATGGGGGTTCAGTTTGCGGCGGCTGAATCTGCAGCTGCTCGATGTTGTTCAAAACCATGGTGGTGCTGTGGTTGTGGACTCGACTAGGCGAGGGAAGAGTATGCCTGATGCGCTGAGTAAAACGATACCGATCTGGTGTTGTGTAATCAACCGCGCCGTGTTTGGTGCGGAGGGGCAGTATGCGATGTACACGCCGCCACAAGCTGTTTCGTCGAGCGAACATGCGCAGATTGCAAGCAGGATTGATGGATTTGTGGCCCACTTCCTCGTGAGTTTGCCCCGAAGAGATCTTGTGTTCCTTTTTAGTAGTCTAACTCGGGAAGGATATTTGCAACCCCAAAATACCAGAGCTGCGCAAAAAACTTCAAAAACCACTACGACCAATCTGGATCACTCAACAATCATCATTGCCGGAATCGCCACCAGCATACACAGACTTCCATCCGATTGTTCTTTGCACAGCATCACGGCGCGTCCAAGGCGCTGAAGCATCAGAAGGCGGCTACATTCAAGGCGCTGCTGATGACCACGAAGCCTGGAGCCATGGACTCACACCGCCGGTCTTCTGGAAGCATAAGGCTCTGCTCATGAGTACAAGCGAAGAGGACGCACCAGATGTTGTGGCGAAGTTGCTCGAGGAGGAGTCCCAGAATAGTACCGATTCTACAGCCACTTTAGTCAAACCCACCACCAGCCTTTACATCTCGCCGAGTCAAAACGTTGACTTGAACAGATTTGATGTAGTTGTTAGCTGTACTCCAGAACCACTGTCGTCCGCCAGCCTCAAGGAAGCAAGGATCAAGCATTACTTGCCACTCAAATGTCAGAGTGGCAAGCTCGGTTCTCGTGATCTCCGGAATGAACTGCCTGTGCTTCAAGGTTTTCTTTCCTCTCTTCCCGCAGTTTCATCTCTGAAGGTGCTAGTCACCTGCCCAACCGGCAAAGACCTCTCCGTTGGAACCGCTCTCGCCATACTTTGCCTCCACACTGATGAAAGCGGCCACATCGATCTCAGTACAAGACGCGGCGCTGCGGAAATCAACAAGAACTTCATAAAACAGCGCCTGAGCTGGATCACAACGTCGAACCCAGCTCTGAACCCAAGCCGGACGACACTGCAGAGTGTAAACTCTGTGCTTTTGACGACTCAGGATCCCAAGGTGATGAGTTTGCCGATACGAGCCAGAGATGCCTTGGGAGATAATGGTACTGCTGTCAGTGGTATTAGTCCTGAGGATACCAACACTCGAGAGAAAAGCAACAATGATCCGCCCCAGGGCCCGTCTCTCCCTTCCATAATATTCGCCGCTCTATCATCTACCCCGAAATGGTCTTTCCACCGCACCCTCACCTCGACACTATCTTCACACCCCTCCGGCACGGTCACAGGTAGCGCAACATTTACATCATGTTCTCTACCCCCTTCTTTCCCGCCAACACTGCTCTATGCCGAAGAGGGTGAATTCATCACAGATGGCGGATTAAAATTCAACGCAAGAAGGAAATATGTATACCAACTGATCGACGATGCGGTGGTGGTGAAGTTCTTCGACGACGAGAAATTTCCGCGCGCCAAGGTGGAAGACGGAGTTGGCAAGGAGGGCGAGGGAATCGGCGGGATGTTTGTTGAGATGGACACGCTTGTCGTGAAGGAGGCATCGAGCGGAGAAGTCGCGGCAAAGAATAAAGAACAACATCTCTGCGCCGAGGACTTGTATTCTGCGAGTTGGAGATTCAACAAGGGCATGACTGGAGGAGAGGGCCCAATGTGGTGGGAAGTCAGGTACGACGTCAAAGGACCGAAGAAGGATTACATTAGTTCGACTCGGTACGAGAGAAGCGTGTAGAAGAGGAGAATGCTCTAAAGTGGACTATATAGGGTATCAAGTCAATCGAAGGATCTGCGCAACGCCCCAGCGATCCGAAACGCCATCCAACATTAATCCTGCATATAATAAGGCATCTCCGTCACTTCACCCTGGTCAGTCTCAAAACAACATTGGCCATCTTGACCAAGACGTTGATGACCAACGCTAACGCCGCGGTAGGAATGAACACCTGCACCCACTCAGCCCACTTGACAGGTCGGACTTCGGTTTCAATCCATCCCGCACCCTTGATGGGTTGCCCTCCGTTGACGTTCGGCGTCACCCCCTCATCGGCTGGAAAGCGGTTGTTTTCGACATAATACTGCAACATGTCGTCTTTCTCGCGCCATCGAGCCAGTAACCAGTCGCTGAACTCCTTCTCGTCGTCCAGCGGAATGTCGGCGATGCGAAAGCGACGCAAGTGGATGTTGACCGACTTTGGGGGACGGCCTTGGAAATAGGTGCCGCGCAGGGTGAAGAGGTCTTGGCCGTATTGGCCTACGGGTACGCCTTCGTATGCCAGTGTACAGTCGTACATCCACTCGACTGTGTCGTTGAGTTCTTGTAGACAAAAGTGCAGACCGGTGCTGCGTGGAAGCAATGCATGTCGGAGATCGGGCATGTCATTCTTGTCCGCCCACTTCTTGCTCGCAGCCCGTCCATTCTTGCTCAAGTTGGTGCCCTCGGGGAAGAGCAGCAACCACATGGGATCAAGGCCTTTGCTGCCGGACAATGGCCCGCTGTGGCTTGTGGAAAGCTTCTTGAGCCGGTATCGGAAACGCTCCTTGTCTGTGGCCCATTTGCGACTAAGGAAGACGAAGCCGTAGAACATCATGCCAGTGCCGAGTATGGGGATGTATTTTATGGATTCTTTGAGGATTATGTAGAGGTGGCCGTGCATGGAGGAGGTGTAGGCAATCCACCAGAGGTAGACCCAGTCGGTGTAGATCTATGGCTGTTAGCTTCTCGTGATGCTTTTCATGCTTTTCCAGATGTTGGCATATGGGTACCTGGTGGTTCGAGACGTAAACAATACGCTCTGGAAAGTCGCATTCGAGTCGACCATCCTCAGTCTTCCGCATTTGTCCTCTGACGCTCTCGTCTCCGCTGATCCTGATCTTGACGGGTGCCCACCAATATGTCATGGTGGTGCTGACGATGCCGAAATGCTGCTTGCTCATGGCCATCCAAGCATAGAACAAGTCCTTGCTGTAGAAGTACAGCGGCGCGCCGATGAACTGCGTGACCGCGATGCTGGGCGAGGTGTAAGCATATTGTACATGGAGCAGGAACAGAGGGGTGTGCTTACGCCAGTATGCTGCCGTTGAAGTAGACGGCAAACAGAAACATGCGCAGGGCCTGCTGCCATGGCCCATGCTTGATCTTACCGCCTGGGTGCGGTGTTGGCTCAGAGCGTGGCTCGTTGGAGCTGGAGTTGGGGTCGGCAACTTGGGCGGTCGCAGGGCCATGCCGCTGCCTGAGGTTGTCGGTCGCCATGTGGTTACTCACAAATGTGGTGTAGGATGTCTGGAGCCGCTGTCGGAAGGGTGCAAGGGCAGAAGAGGCATGCGCGTGTGTGTGGTGTTTATGTGGCTGCGCTCAGGTGGACGAGGACGAGTGGCTAGGGCCTAGATAAAGCATACGGCGCGCAGTGGGGTAGCTGAGGCGGATGATCATGGAGCGCTGAGATGGGCCTGTGTCTGCAAGAGGCTGAGATGAGGCATGCAGCAGGTGTCAGGCCACAGCGAGGTGACCATGGTTTTGTGGTTTTGTGGTTTTGTTGGCGTCTGAACCGTGCAGGAACGAGCTGTTGGGCGATCCGCAGGCTTCCACGCATCCACGCTCCCACAAGCTATCGGGGAAGCACACGTGCATGACACAATGACCCATGCCCATGCCATCCCATCTCCCCTCCGACGAATGCCATGACCCCGCACCTGCGCTCCGCAGCCGCGCAGAGAGCTTGGACCGCGCTCGAGTCCCTGCACTCGCAACTTTTGACATTTTGCATCTTTACAGAAACTCGGCGTCGGCGCGTGAAGATGGAGATGATGGCTTGGATGCATATGCGTCTTGTTCTCGCAGACTAGCATTCCCTTCCGCGTGGTGAGCACGAGACTCGTCATTACCCCGTCATACCATATGGCTACTACTTGCTGAAGCGAGCGTTGCGCCCATCACACCGTGGATGCACATCGACAGTACCTCCTCACCATAGTCTGCCATGAAGCTTGTACAGCATCGCGTCCTGCCGTGGCGGCTCTTTGTCAAGCCCCCACAAGCCCGAGCCTTCTCCTCAACCTCGGCCCGTCCCGACATCAAGCACATTCGCGAACTCCCTCCCCGGTTACGACCTGCATACGAACAGAACCCGACCAACACCCTTCTCAGCCTGCAGTGGCCCTCTCCGCCTCGTAACATCCTCATCACCAAGAAGAAGCGCTCGCCCAACATCAGCAACTCCCTTCTCGAATTCGCGACCCACATACGCTCCACCTACCCTTCCATAAACATCATTCTCGAGCCTGACTCAGCCACTGAGCTCCATGAACAGCTGCCCTTTCCCGTCTACTCGTACGACAAGGTTAGCGGCTTTGGTACATCGCATCATCTGTCGGATAAAACCGATTTGATATGCACCCTGGGCGGTGATGGCACCCTGCTTCGAGCAAGCAGTTTGTTCAGCCATGCGGAAAGTGTCCCACCAGTTCTAAGCTTCGCCATGGGCACGATTGGCTTCCTGGGAGAATGGAAGTTCAAAGAGCACAAGAGAGCCTTCCGAGAAGTGTACATGAGCGGCGCACCAGACACCTACTCCACCCTGTCCGACTCTCTAGGCGCACCACCATCGAGCCCAATCTCTTCTCCAGATGACCCCCTCGACCGCCCGCTCTCCTACGCCGACATCCGCGGCAAAGCAATGGGCACAAATCGAACCGCACGAATCCTTCTTCGCAATCGTCTCAAGGTGGGCGTCTTTGCACCGGACGGCTCGCGCATCGGTTCTCATGGAGACACCTACGCTCTGAATGAAGTCACTCTCCACCGGGGCTCAAGTCCACACCTGAAGATCATAGACGTGTACATCAACAACCGCTTCCTCACCGAAGCCGTCGCCGACGGCATGATCATCTCCTCGCCCACCGGATCGACCGCATACTCCCTCTCCTCCGGCGGCAGTATAGTACACCCCCTAGTCCCTTCCCTCTTACTCACGCCCATCTGCCCGCGCTCCCTATCGTTCCGTCCACTCGTCTTACCTGCAGAGACCCCCATCACCCTGCGCCTCGGCAAAGACAAGAACCGCGGCCGTGAAGTCGAAGTCAGCATCGATGGACAGACCATCACCGAAGGCATGGGCGAGGGCATGGAAGTCCGCGTCGCCGGCGAAGAAGTGAAAAAAGAGAATGGAGACTGGGATGGTGGGGTACCAAGCATTGTGCGCGGCACTGTGGGAATGGAAGATGAAGCCGAGGATCATTGGGTTGGCGGGCTCAACGCTCTCTTGAAGTTCAATTATCCCTTTGGAGATCAGGACAATTGAATCCAAGTCGATCCGAACATGATATTGTACGATATCTAATGATGCATTCCCCTGCATGAGACCACAATGTAGTGTGATTATCTGAGTTTGCATTTTCCTGAACCATCCATTGGTCCACATGTCCGTTCGTATGACCATACTATCGAAGAAGCTCGCTGTAGCTGACAAAAAAATTCCGTACTGTTTCCCCATCGGCAGAAATCGCCGACCTCAGGCAACAGAAAGAAATCGACTCGAGGTCTGGTTCTAGTAAAACATGCTGTCACACCTCAGTGCTTCCAATCTGATCGTACACAGTCCTTTCGTTCTTGCGCCGTTCCCTTGCGCCACCGGACGTCGCTAAAGGTGGACCGGCCGCATACCAGACGCCTAAAAACACCCAGCAGTGCTCGCTCGCAACAAAGTCAAAAAGAAGTGACAAAAGGAAAAGAGGTGCTATTGTACATTGCGAAAAGTTACCGTGGTCCTGGGTCGATCAAATGTCCAGAAATTTGAGGGTATCGTCGAAGAAAAGTGTTTATAGGTGAACCCGCATTGTGTCGTTGCTTCCAAACGCTTTACCGCAGTTTGGACACTTCCGGGCGCGGTTGGTCAGGCGGTCCTGTACGCACTGATCGCAGAACAAATGTCCACAAGTCTTGATAACCGTGTTCTTGAGATGGCTCTTGCAGATCTGGCACTGAATCATCTGCTCCATAGTGGCTGTCTCAGAGCTTTGGTCTCCAGTGCTCTTCTTCTTCCATGTTTGTACCTGCTTCTTGAGGCCAGTCACTTGCGCGGTAAGCGACTCTCGTTCGGTTTCAGCCTCGCGCTGAGCCTGTTTGGCAGCCAGGCAGGAAGCGTCCTTCGCCTCCAGCACCTTCTTGAGCTCTGCAATCTGGCTGACGTGGCCTTCGGATATTATCGCGTTTTCGCTGACCTTCTGTTGCAACTGACGGTGTTGCAATGAAAGCTCATCCATCTGTGATCGCATCTCGGCGGTTTGTTTCTCCAACTTGTCCACCAAGTTTCGACTGAGAGCATCTGCCTCCTTCAATTGAGAAACGACCTCGGTAGATTTTGTAGTCTGCAGGCGAAGAGCCCGGACCTGCATTTCTAGTTCCGTCTTGACCTTCATTGCGGCAAAGTACTTCTGGTCGGCCTTGGCTTTGTCTGCGTTTGCTCTCGCGATGTTCTCTTCCCACGCGACAGTGTCGATCACTTTCTTGTTAGCAACAGACTGTGCCTTCTTCCATGCCGCCTCCATTGACGGGAGCTCGCCGCTGAGTAGCTTGAGTTGAGTCTCCAAGTTCTTGGTCTTCTTCTGCGATTCCTCCAAAGTCAGTTCGGAAACAGCTGGTGCCGTATCGTCTGCGCTTGTCTGGTTCTCAGCAATCTGTAGCCTCAACCTCTCGCACTCCGACTCCAGCGCTGCAATACGGCTCTCGACCGCGCTGACCAGCTCTTTCGACTGTTCGGTTGACGCTTCCGAGTTCTTGCGGCTGCTTTCGAGCAAGTTGTTCTTGGCCAACAAATCATCACGCGCAGCTCTAATTCGTGCCAAATTCGCCTCCGCTTGCGAAACTGCGCTCTCGGACTCGGCCAGAGACGAACGAGCCTCGTCGTCAATCTTGATTCGGTATGCTGTTCGTTCAGCTTGATATTTTTGCGCCTCCTCCCGTAGCTGAATGTTGGTCGCTTCCAGATTGTTGATGCGTTTGATCACATCTTCGTGCTGCGACTTCAAAGCCTTGAATAAATCCGTTTTGGCATAGTCATCGTCTGAGAGCAGGCTGAACTTGACTTTCAAAGATGTGACCTCTTCTGTAAGCTTCTTGTTCTCTTGCTCCACTTGCTCGAGCTGCTCTTTTCTTTTCGCAGCCTCGGCTACAGCTTGATTCCGGGCAGTCTCCACCTCTTCACTAACAGGTGCTGGTGAGATTGCTTTGCCGTTAGAAGGCTCGACTCCATTGGTGGCAGTTGGAGTCTCTTCCTTTACCGTGCTGCTGGCGACAGCTTGCTGCTCCAGCTTTTGTACCTGTTGGCTCTTGAGGCGGTCGATCTTCTTTTCGGCAACTAGATACCGATGTGTTGCGGTGTCCAAACGATCAGACAACTGCTCTTTTTCTGTGCGGACGCGTTGAAGTTGTACGACATGATCCTTTTCGAGTGCCAAAAGCTTCGACAGCTGTTGTTGCAGCTCTGCGACTTCTGGGCTGCTAGGAGGATACTTTGCGAAAAGACCCGAGAGCGATGAGAGGATCTTCTCCTTGCGCGTAGAAAGATGCTTCTTGAAGGTTTCACTGTCTTGGAACAAAAGCGTAGCAGGTACAGACGAATTGGCGCTCGAGTCAGCTGATGATGCCTCCAGTTTTTCTCCGCTGAGCAGCTTAATTTCATCGACCAACTATATGCCATCAGCGTTGGGACTCGCTCGAGCATGTGAAGTGCACTAACCTGATCAAACCAAGCATCCATGGTCCGCAGGTGGTCGTCGTGGTACTTTGAGGAGCGCTCTAGTTCGTTCAGCTGGGCCTCGACGGTCGTCTTCTCCCGCTTGTATTCGCGCATCTGTCGCAGAATGGCATCCTTCTGGAAGGCCTAGTCACGAGCGCAGTATTAGCCGATGTGTTCGCGGTATACGTGTGCGAGGGCGGTGTGTGATCGGGGGATGCGAACCTCGATGTCATCTTTCCACGGCAAGTCAGCGTCTGGATGCGAGCGGGCACCGTTGACAGTCACAGCTTGCCTCTTTGCGGGAGGAGCAGAGTCGTCGGCACTCGGCCGCTTGCGATCCTCCATCTTGACGGCGTCAAGTGATGGAGCAGCGACGGTTCTGGTCTCGAGCCTCATCGGGGAGGCGACGGCGAGGTACGAGGGGCACTGTCGACGCGCGCACCACTCAGATCATGAACAGGGATGGACGAATGAGCGGATAGAAGGACTGAGATGGGCGGGCGGGCGAGAAGGAGCGGCGGTGTCGTGGTCGTGTGAGGCCGCGGGTGAGGAGACAGAGGCGACTGAGTGTCCTTGACTGAAGATTCGTGCCCTGCCAAGAGCCGCACTAGCGTTGTGGTCCGTGAAGGCGTGTCAAACGCTCGAGGCTTGCTCCCCACCAAAACCTCTCTGGAGCGGCACACCTGCATGTCCGTACATAGCGGAACACGTGCTCCGAGGAAGCACTCACATACACGGCCATGTCTGTCGAGGAAGGCTCGGGGCAGCCACCTACTGCGGGCGCCGACAAAGCGCAGCCCGCCAAACCAGCAGCCGCCGCCTTTACCAGCTCCTTCATCAACAGTGCGTTGCGCCGAGCTCCTCCACGGACCGTGCTAAATGGCATATAGAGAACACGACTGGCAAGAAGTTCGCGCCCAAGGCTGCCCGACGAAGGCCCGGCGCAGCACCTCCAGCTCCCGCTCCAGCACCCAAGTCCAATGCGCCAGAGATAGAGCCAGCGCCGCCAACTGTCGACGCGCAAACCACAGCAACTGTGCCCGAGTCGTCCAACGCACCCAGTGAAACCGCAGCCCCAGCACAATTGCCCACTCCTGCCGCGACTCAAGAGCCCATCACAGAACATGTTCCTCAAGCAACACCGCAAGCTCCCGAAGCTGCGACCGCCCCGACCCCCACGCCAGCACCCTCGAACCAAGACCCCCCAGCGACAGACGAGCCATTCACAGCAACCTCCCCCGCGCTGCAACCCGCCGAGGTAAATCAAAATGAAGCAGACACAGGCAGGGCAGTCAAGAGACGCCGCATGGAACCTCCTGCGCGCCAGAGACTTGTCGTAGAATCTTCGCAGCCAGCACAGTCAGAAGTGGAGGGAGAAGCCACGGAGTGTGCCACACAACCAGCAGACACAGATGCACCACAGCCAGCTTTGGAAGAAGCTGCTGCCTCTCGGCCCCGCAAGCGGAGAGTCTTGCCATGGGTAGCTGTTAATCGGCCACAACAAGTCCAAGAGGAGGACGAGCCCGTACCCGCTCCCGCTACCGTCCCCGCTAAGAGAACACGCAAACCGCCGAAGCCCAGAGGCACGGAAAACACCGCAGCGACCGCAGAAGAACAAGAGGCTGGGAAGGGGGAGAGCGTCGAGGACGCCGAGGCTCTACCAGTGCAACAGCGTCCCAGCGCCACAGGTCGAAGCAAGCGCAGGGCAAACGCGGCTGGCGAAGATGACGGCTCCCAAGCACCCACTCAAGGGGCAAGAGCACGCAGACCCCGGAAAGTTAAGAGCAGTGCGACAGTGCACGACACAGACGAGGAAGAGGCGGCCGGGGATGCAGCAGAAGGCCATGCAAGAGGAGATGGGGAGCCCGTAGCACGTCGGCCGCCAAAGCCCCGTCAGCCCAAGCGGAAGCGAAAGGCAGTCACAGAGGGCGGCACTGAGGGAGAGCAAGATGCAGCACAGCCCAAGCGAAAGGGCCGCCCACCTCGAGAGTCCACCCCATCAGACGCCGAGGAACAAGAAATCGACCCCGAAAATACCTTCATGGACACTCTAGCGTCCCGCAATATTCGCGTTGGCAAGTTGTCTGCTCGCGAGAAGGCAATGCGCGCGATCAATTGGGAAGATATCAAGCAACGCCGAAGAGAGGAAGACACCCGGAAGGTCACTTCGAGAGCGGAATTGGAGGCTGCGGAAAAGCTCCAAATCGAAGAAGCTCCTGCAATCGAGGGTCCTCGCTATATCACGATCGATGGACAGATCCAGGTCCTCCAATCATCCACAACGCTAAACAGAGAAGCTGACGCGGATCGCGAAATCGAGAACTACGAAGTCGTGGAAGAGCGGAGTCTTACCACCCGCATCACATCGCGTAGTTTTTTGAAGAACAACAAACGCTTCCCAAACGACTTCATACTGCCTGGTCAAGGCAAGCGCTGGTCGGCCGCCGATACAGAACTTTTCTACGAGGGCTTGCAACATTTTGGCACGGACTTTCAGATGATTTCGCACATGTTCCCTGGCTCTACGCGGCGCTCCATCAAGCTCAAATTCACTCGAGAAGAGCGCGATGACCCTGGGCGTGTGCGCGAAATACTTCTGAGTCGCAGCACTATAAATACCAACTGGGATGGCTTCATTCAGGCTTCGCAAATGGACGAAGAGAGATTTGCCGATGCAGACGAGATCAAGCGTCAGCTGGCTGAAGAAGAAGCTGAATTCCGAGCAAGAATCGATGCTGCAAAGGCGGAGACGTTGGAGCGTAAGAGGCAGCAGAAGGAGGCCGGGCTTCTGGATGACGAGGACGAAAATGGCGATCCAACTAACAAGGAGAACGGCAAAGGCAAGAAGAAGAGGAAAGGCAAAGAGAAGCAGGTTACCTTCCAAGAAGAAGCGGGCGTGGAGATACTGGGCAACGCCGATGATGATGCGACTTGGGGCCAAGAGTAGTGGAGGCGGATGGGAGCTTAGTAACAAACTACATGATACCCCTCGAGACAGTTACTCTCGACAAGAACATTTCACTTTCAGCTCCTTTATGGGCCATTTCTTGATTCGCGCCAGTGCTTCCCATGTATCACATTGCGTGAAAAGGAAGCGGTGAAGTGTAGCCTTGCTTGTGTAACAGGTATGTTTGCAGTGGTATATTCGCTCTATACACATTCTTCGTCGTCATTCGTCACGACTGGTAAGACTCTGAATTCTAGTCCAACCCTGCAGCAGCCGGTGCTATGCCTTTCGCTGAGCTCTTCTTCGCACCACCGCCACCGCCTCCAAAGCCACCACCACCGAACATACCGCCCAGCATATCCATCATAGGATTGCCCTGTCGTGGCACCTTGATGCCGAAGTACATCTCGCCCAGCTGGTCCAGCGCCTCGTTCCAGTTCACGTCCTTCAGATTCGTCGCGTAGTGGCTCTTCAGTTGCCTGAATAAGCTCGGGTCGCCTCTCTCTACGCTCCTTAACAGCAGGCCAAGGAAGTTGAGTAGCGGTAGTGTAGGATATGTGCGCAGGTCGGATGCTGATGTCGATATTTGTTGTGTGTTCAGGCCAGGCTTTTTGGACAAAAACGATGTGAAGAGGAGGAAAAACTTGTTCGCGCCGCGGAGGTTGCCGGTGAGAAGGTAGGGGAGGACGCCACGGGCGCAGTATAGCGGTGCGGTATGTGAATCGTCGGCTTCGTACCAGGCGTATTCGAGAGAGGCGAGGGTGGAGGGGGAGTCTTGGTTGCCGAGTAGAAGGTGACGCTCGGCTTCGTATGGCTCGAGTTCTACCATATTCGTCAGCATGTGACAGCGGTCCTATTGGTGTTGCAGGTGAACATACCCTCAGCATACAAGCTTCCCGCGACATTATGTATCTCCGGGTCGCCTGCGGGATACTCCCCAAACTTTGAGCTCCACGCTATCATCTCGCCCACGAATTTCTTCTTGGTCGGCTCATCTTTTGGGAATGCTCTCAGCAGACCCAATAGCTTTCCCTTACTGCTCGCATCTGGCTTTACTTCGCCCTTGTTGAAGACATCGAGGAGGAATATGCAGAGGTCGCCGCCAGATCCACCCTGACCTGCTTGGAGAAGCGACTGGGCACCGGAGTATAGAATCGATGTCGCGTTCTCCCAGTCTTGCGCCTTGACGTAGCGCGAGGCGATCACTCGGAGCTGTTGATGAGCTTCGTAGAACTGGCCCTCGGCGATTCTGGCGGGGTTAGCGAGGAAGTGGGGTAGCTTGTGGATGCGATGTACTTTTCCTGTTGTCGCTGTATCGTCTTCTCTAGTTTAGTTGCCATTCTGAAGTGTTGATGTCGTAAAGTGGGGTGTTTATTTGGGTTTGAGTTGTGGAATACTTGGTGTTCGAACTCCAAGCTGCGGACGCGATGACGCACAGACGGAACTTAGTGGGTCGCTCCGTCTGGTTCAAGTAAAGCACATTTATATTTCTCTCACGTCGCATTTTCATAGCTATTTGCGGGTCAGGAATCAGTGCAGCATGTTGTGATCATCTAACACTTTTGGCCCAAAAGTCTCTGCTCGATCGACCTCATGTGGTTGATGTTCAAAACATCTGTGTTCAATATACCCGATACGGAAGGTTTGGTTGTAGTGTCGATTGCAGCCCGTAGTCTTACTCTTTTGCTTCGGAACGTTACTCTTCTCCGCGCACAGCCACTCAGCACTAAATGCACTCATTTGTAGGCTTTACATACTTTCGTCGTACAATTGGTCCAGAAGACTGAGGATGACGTCTGTAAATTATCGTAAAAATGAATGAACGCAGTGACTTCAGGTGACTTGTATCTGGCTTCAGCGTGGGAAATGTTCGTCTCATTTGTTCACAAAAACCACCTGTATGTGCACTAACGATACCTAGGTAACTGTGCTTCTCAAAATCGGCAGTGGCTATGTTAGGTATCTCGCATGTGTGGTGTTTCACATGCCTGAAAACTTTACCATCGCTATTCTGCATGTTAGCACAACGGATTCCGTTGTTTTGGGCGCTTGAGTATCTTGACAGGTTGAACAGACATACAGGCCAATGAACTTGCTATGACATACTCGAACGCGTGTCTGAAGCAGATTACCGAGAAGTGAAGAAATCGATGGTACGTCCTCAAAGACCTGCTACTCTTACGATTCCAAAAATTCAACCTCCCCACTCAGGCTTGCCTGGGAAGCTGAAGCAACAAAAAGGAAGGTGAGGTTTGCATCCACCGAGACTCGAACTCGGACCACGAGCATAAGCGTGCTTGGGAACATGGGAAGCTCGTATTCTACCCCTAAACTATGGATGCGGGAACAATAGCAAAATGTGGTCTTTGACAGCTTATATAGTACTAGAATTACATCAACGATTACAAGAGCTGTTAGATTTCGGTATCAACGAACGCATAATGCTCCATAGGCCGCAAGTAGGTGTCTCTGTTAGCTCTGGTGGAGGAAGTTACCCCTCAGTCGTGCGGGGCTAATGTGGTCGCGACTCCCCGAAGGCCTGCTGACTTCGACTCCTATTTCGCTCTGAATGTACGACACCAACACTCAATAACGTACCCCATACAACACTGCGTTCATACAAGAAATGCAATGGACATTGCCACCTACCCAGTTCGCTCACAAGGCGCACCATGGAGAGCGGGAAAGGGTACGAGTCTGCAGGCTGCTGCATGGGACGCACCATTGCGGCGCCCTGCCTCGTCCCTCAAGACTGCCGTGAAACCGGATGCCTTGGTCACTGATGCGCTTCTTTCTGATTCCGGTCTCCATTATCAGCTAGTTGATGTCAGCAACCTCCACCGTCTGTCTAATCACCAGCCTTTTTGTTTCCTATAATTGCTTGCTCAACTTCTACACCACCAAGTGCTGCATCGATTTGTGCGCACTCTCAGTGAAGTTAGTCAACTATTAGAGAGCAGTTGTCATGTCATATAAGAGCCTGCATAGACTCGGTAGCTTATCAGTATGTAGCAAAGGGCTTGCACGGTCTAAAAGGTAGACAGCCTAGCTGATCGTTCTTAGGTAGTGCTTCAAGTTCCCAGACACAGCGCGGGCGAAACATTGCAGCACCTGATGACAAAATGGCAGTCAATGAGGGCACCGTTGCGCGTGCTGCCCTGGTCATCGCTCTCTCTGCGTTCGTTATCACGTGCGGCTAGCTCTTACAGCAGCTATTCGCGACTTCGGATGGTCTGCGAAGATGCGACGAATTTGTTATTGGTCGTTGGTCGCAACTTGTTCGGCTGCGATTCCGCTGGTGGGTTATTACATCAACGACCTGTATCAGATGGACTGCAGTATCCTGCCTGCTCTTCGGCGAGGAACGCGTGCCCAACGCAGGGAGCACAGTGATCTCCAACTTAGAAATTATAGCGAGCCTAGTAAAAGATAAACTTACCGCTGCATCTCGTAGACTAAAGTTGGACAGCAACTCCATCGAAGTATCCGCCTGCGTAGGTAGTTAGGTTATAATTCAATAGAGATTCACGAGTTAGTGATCGGCCAACAGCCAGCCTGAAGAGTTTCACGGTCCTTCGAAGCAACTTGCATACACTGTCGTCGAGCTGAACGCGACCTCGCAACACTAGTGTCAATCACACAGCGCTTCTACAGGTTCTAAAGTACTCCAGGATGTCGCAACTTGAAAGCACATTAAAGGATCGACAACGAACTATCGCTACAGATGACAACAAGACCATTCCATCCTACATTCCCCCACACCCATCCCAACACCCCCCCTCAATATCTCCTCATCACAAGGCCCCAAAATCCGAATCCGCCACCTCCCTCCACACCTCATGCTCTCCCTCACCGCCATCAGCAGCCTAATGAACCTGCCAAACTCTTGCATATATATATCATTGTCGTTGATATCTGGCACCACCGGCGCCTCAGTAATGTCCAATATGAGCGTGCGTCGCCTAAACCCTTCTCTGAGAAGTGCCTCAATCGGCTCACCCCACTCCCTCAACCTCCCCTCAATCGCTCTGCGAATCATGTGGTATCTTACAGGACTGGACGAATATGGAAAGAAATTAGGGGAGTTGAAGCGCAGGCGGATGTGTTGTGGTATCGTGGTCGTGTCCCAGACGTGTGCGAGGTAGTTTTCGAGATGCCAGGCGCCGGGGAAAGTGTGGATGCCGTGGAGCTTTGAGGCGCCTATGACTTCGCTTTGGATGTAGGAGCTGGTGCGTAAGATAGGGGACGGGCTCCAGGTGAAGGAACGAGTCCAGATGCTGTAGGTAATGGTGATGTCGCGGAGGAGGTGGGACCAGATCATGTCGCGTATTTCGGGGGAGGCTTTGGAGAAGATACCTAAGGGGTTGAGCGTGGAGATGCTATTGGCGGGACTGTTGATGTTTGAAGACATTTTTTGCTGTGTCGCTTTAGACCGATCAGTAGTTGTCGGCGATTAAGGCTTTGAAAAGAATTAAATTTGAATGATCATCTAAACACTTCATTATACATAACAACAAGCACTACTGCTCGCAGTATCTATGGTTCTTTAGTCACTGGTTCAGAGTAGAATAGTGTAAATGTGATGTTAGTTCCGTGGTTGTCAAGGGTTTGGAACCATGGTACTTGCTTTATGGGGTTTCGACGCACACTCGTCATGTTTGCTATTTCGCAGCAACATCCATATCCACAGACTCAACGATGTCAATGAGTCTTACAATAAAACGAGAACAGTATAAAAGACGAGTATCAAATATAAGGGAAAGCGAGTGAAGAGAATCTGTGGGATATGAATACTTCTCGTATTGATACCATCTATTCCTACCAAATGCAATTCCAACGCCGTGAAAGGGTATAACTTCAGCTCATAATACATGCCTGTCGTGGCGACCTCTGACGCCAATCAAATTAGCACATGAACCTTTGACAAAGACACCTATCTACATTACAACACATCGCTCTCGATCTTCCTGTCCATTCGGTCCCACCTGACCCGCGCTCGTCCTTCTCCCGGGCCTACCTGGCGAGGACATTGGCCGACCAGGTGGACGGAACGGCATTTGTGTGCCGTTTGCTTGATATGCGCTTCCTTGTGCTTGTTGTGGCAACGGTGCATGGGCGCTCGCTGGATGACCTTGAGGGGGGTGATACTGTGGCGTGGTCGCAGCTTCCTCGTAGGTCGGCGGTGGTGCAGGCTCGCCAGCTGGCCGGTGGGTTGTGATGTTGTTGCGGCGTGGCGGGATGACTGGCGGATTCTCGCCTCGTGATGTGCGGCGATTGTTGGGTCGGGCTTGTGACTGCGCTGCTATCGCACTAACGGACGCTTGGTCATCCCGCTGTCGTTGTGCAGCTTCGCGTCGCTGCCGGTCTTCTTCTTCCTCTTGTAGCTGCAGTGCCAATGCGAGATCGTGGTCCTCTTGTTCTGCCCTGCTCAATCCGCTTGGTGATGTTGTATCTGTGCTCTGGGCTGCCTCCGGGATGCCTGACTGCTGCGTATCAACATGGGCATCAGACGCACCAGGAACCTGCTGGCCCTGCTGCGAAGCCATGCTGGTGTTACCAACAGGGCGGAAGTCGCCAGAGAAAAGTTCACTTCCCTGGCCATTTACATCAACAAGCGATTCCCATACGATCTCGTCGTGACCGGAATAGCCCTGATCTGTGACAAGGGTGAAGAGTCTGTTCGTGCGTGCATCTTTGAACAACGTCGAGAAGTGATCATTTCTGAACAAAATAGCGACTTGACCCGGCTGAATGCTGTCCCTCACGCTCTGCAAGCCGAAGTCTGTCAGCTGAGTAGGCCAGCGATTGAGAAACTCCTTGATGGAATGGATGTCGGTGAACATCTGCTGCTCGTCCGGGGTCAAGGCTTCGCCAGATTGTAGCTTCGCGTCGAGTTCCTCTTCTTGGAACTGGACATACTGCGACGTCTCGTACGTCTTCGCGACTCGATTGAACGCTGCAAACGCTTCAGAGTTGGTCTCTGGCAGCCACCCGTGGAGGAGAGGGATGTTGAATGTCCGGTACAACTTCATATCAGGAGTATTCTCAAAGCCTCCGACTCTTCCGCTTATTTGAGTTGGAGATGTGGTGTTGCCATTAGTGGCATCTTCGTCCGGTACAAACATCGGATTGACGTTCAGACCGGTGTGAAGAGTGAGCAAGAACTTGTACAAGTCGCTCACATCAGGCAACTCTTGCGCAGCTGTACCTCGTCTCCCTGACATGAGTTCGTCGAATACAGCATCGAGCAACAAGCCTAGACTGACTTGCTCGCGTGTGCGCAGTGTTTCTACCAAAGCGGTCTCGATACCTGATGGCGTTGACAACACAAGCGCGTTGACTAGTGCAAGCAGCGGACATGGGCCATTCAGATTTTGAGTCAAGATTGGTGACGTGCGGATTCCTGGCTTGTTGACATCATGCCATCGAATATGTTTGATCTGATAGTGCTCCTTGCGCTGCCTGTTCATCTTTGTGTTGGGCGACTCTGGGCCGGGTGAGGTGGCAGTCCCTACGCCAGTGTCGATCGGTCGCGGAGGCATTGACGGGACCATCGCTTCATGCGATCTGCGTGGAGGGAGTGCTGGAGGCAGCTCTCCATCGACGGTAGCAGACGGAGGTGGAAGACTGGATGGTGGCGAAGGAACGAAAGGGTTCGTCGAGGACATTTTTCGGAGCGGTTGATCTTCAATTCTTGCTTCAACTGGAGCTTGCTGCGCAGTGTTTGATTTGTGCTCGCCAGCCCCCCACCCCTCCTCTTCAGGCCATGGCATGGCGTGCTTCTGCTTTTTGTGTGTATCCGGGAAGTCCAGAGCCTTCTAGACGCAGTCTCGGGCCCAGAAGCGCGGCTTGTCGGTTCCCACGGGTTGGGATTGATCGATTCCTGTGGAGGAAAGGCGGTCAGAGGGCTCGCCAACGGTGTGGCAGATTTGATAGCAATCAGCGGTGGCTGATCCAGCGACTCCTTCTTGCCCAAGTTGAGGTACGACATGTCATGCGAGGGTGTGGTTGGTGTCTGGAAAGCAGGAAGCTCGACAGGGTCGTATTTGGCAGTCTGGGCCGGAGAATCGCCCCACACTTGCTGACTGCTTTCATTCCCCCAGTTGCTTTGCCCAGTTTGTTGCGCTTTGAGGTATGGGTTGTTTGTTTGCAAGGGAATTGATCCATTCGACTGCTCGGATACTGCGCTCATCGCGCCATACGAGGCAGAGCTGGCACCGGTCGGCATGGGCGATATGTTGTCCATGGATCGCTTTATGGGTATGCCTGCTGGCGGCCCTGGCCGCAAGGCGTCGGGCAATGTCTTGGGCGTGACGGGCGCCTTCCCTCCTGCCGGTTTCAGTGCATCTGGGACATCCTTGGCGTGGACTTGCTCGAAATCGTCGTCGTCGGACCTGTCCCACTCGTCATCGCTGTAGTCTGAGTCGCTATCCTCGTTGCGTGGCTGCTTTTTTATCTCATCTGGTGTCTTGATGTTGAAGGCCGGCGACTTGTTCGGAGCTGATGAATAAGGCGTGCCGTGTGCACTAGAAGGAAGGGCAGGCGGATGTTCGTTGGGAGGTGTTGAAGGATATGGAGGGCTCGCTTTGGAGAGTGGCGCCGGTACGAGGTCTGCTGGCGTCCCGGGCCTTTCTTCTTTCCGAAGCACCATGTTGAGAGTGTGATGGGAGCGTTGACGGGGAGAGTACTGCGAGGTGCTTCGGGCTGCCTGTCGCGGGTTGGCAGGTATCGGAAGCTGCACACAGAGAAGCAGAGTTTAGGTAGGTCGAGATGAATAATGCGGGTGAAAGAGAGGCAGTACAACCATGTGGCGGTGGTTACTAGCTGCAAGCACGTGAAGAGGTGTACGCGGCGTAAGGAAGGTTACGAAGTCGCGAGCAAGCGAAAGGCAATGACGACACGTGTGGCTGAGCAGATGTGGCTTGAGCTCTTAGCGCAGACATGTGGGGAACCCGCTCGAGGATCCCTGCCGCAAATTCACTACTCTGCCACTAAAATCGCGAACTCTCACTGAACCAACATCCCTCGGAGTCCGTCCACCAACACCGACCTCACGTGGCACTTCATATGGCACGGTGACAGCATACAACTGGAGCAATCACCTCCGCCGCCACAATGCATTCAACCATACGCCCCAATACGCACGTTGCGCTGCGACTGCCCTCGGGTCTCTTCAAGATCCTGGAAACCACCCCGAATACGTACGTCGCATGAGTTGTTGGCGTGAGCTCTCCAATTGCGCATCATGTGACCATGGCTGACTCGACGCAGGAGCATAAATCTTGGAAAATTTGGAACCTTCAACTCGAACCTGATAATTGGGCGACCCTACTACCTCACCTACGAGCTCCTCGATAGGGATGACGGTCGGTCAAAGACGGAGTTGCGCGTGGTGCCGGCCGCAGAGCTCCACGCTGAGGCTCTAGGGGACGAATATGCGCCACCCGCCGAAGCGACCGAGGAAACTGTCGAAAGCGGCGCAGGATATGACATCGTGGGAGAGGATGGCGAGGTCATCATGCGCAACAATCGGCTCACAATCGACGATGCATCACGGCAGAAGTTGTCGATGGAAGAAATTGAGGAACTGAAAAAGGCTGGCACCGGGTCTGGCAAGGACATAATCGCAAAGATCATGGCGTCGCATAATGCCATTGGCGAGAAGACGACATTCTCACTAGCAAAGTATACTTTGCGCAAGTCGCGGAAGTATCTGAAGCGCTTCACAGCTCTACCAATGGACGTGGGAGTGCTCACTGAGTATGTGCTGGAGAAGGAGGCATACAAGATTATGGAGCTACGGGAGGACCTGTTAGGATTGATTTGTAGCTGGGCTAACATCCACTGCGGCGCCACGAGCCGCGTCCAGACTGCGGAAGATAGCGTCAGTCAAATTGGTGGAGGCCGATGGCTAGTCGTGGACGATACTGGAGGATTGGTCACTGCTGCGCTTGCAGAGCGAATGGGCGTACTATACCCTGATGACGACGAGGAAGAAGTCTCCGAGGAAGAGGAGGTGAAAGTTCAGCATGAAAATGGTGCGACAGAGACGACACAGAACGTTGAAGAGATTGATGCAGACACTGCGATGCCAGATGCAGATGGGGATGCAGATGCGACGACCGTAGCCACCTCCGATCCATTGAAACCTAGCGATACGTCAGCAGCCACATCATTACCTCGCAAACCAGTCCGCCCTCATATCCCACAAATGTCTGCGCGGGCCAATACCCTCACCGTCCTCCACGCCAACAACCAACCCAATCTCTCCTACCTCAAATACTTCGGCTATGACTACGGTGCACCCGCCCCATCACATCCCCTCTACAAACATCTCAAGTCTGTATCATGGCTTTCCCTCCTGCACCCCGAAGACGATCCACAATACGACGAACCTGAAATCATCAGCGACGAAGTCCTTGCCACAATGAAGAGCAGCAAAAGAGGCACGTACTACCGCAAACGGAGAAGATGGGAGCGCGTGAAGAATGTGGTGGACGAAGCGAGAGCAGGTGGCTATGACGGCTTGGTTGTAGCGACAGCTATGGATGCCAAGACCGTGCTGAAAGAGCTGGTGCCGTTGGTCCGAGGTGGTGGAAAGATTGTCGTCTACAACCAGAACGTCGAACCACTCGTCGAGCTATGTGATTACTATAGCAAAGAGCGACGGGCGGCGTTCATCGCGAGGGAATTCGGACCGCCACCAAATTCGAAACAAACGAATGGCAAGAAACACAGGATCGAGGATGACGTGGAGAGCACGACAGACGGCGGGAACGAGGAAGACGATTTCCCGCTCAATCCGACATTGCTGCTTGCGCCCAGCTTGCAGACTGCGCGTGCACGACAGTGGCAGGTATTGCCTCAACGAACGCATCCTATGATGACGAGTCGAGGTGGCGCAGAGGGGTATATCTTCACAGCGACGCGAGTCTTGCCAATTGAGGGACGGGTTGAAGCTCGAGGCCACCACGGGAAGAAGAAGAGAAAGGTCGAGGCAGAGCCTATTGTACAGTCATAATTATGCTACCTTGGTATCAGGAATCAGAAAATACCATTACACGCAATGACCCGGGATTTTTGAACCGCCTTCGAATTCCGCAAAATCAAGTCACGTGGCCATGCAGTCGGGCTACAATGGCGTCGATGTTTCTCCTCCATGCTAAAGATTGCAGTGAAACATAAATAGAATACAGCTGCTAGCCTCAGAATGACAGCTACTGCAGTTATGCAGCGCTAATCTTTATCACTGTCAGCCTACCTACAGTGTACAACCCTACCACCTGGGCACTTTCGCCGCAATCTTTGCGCGGAGGAGCGGCCTTGAAGTAATGAGGCTAACAGCTAGATCTCGCGATTCCGACACGATTGGCCAATGCAAATCAGTCTTCTCCTGCGTTGGCGGTATTTGCAGTGAGGGAACGTGTCGAGGCCTCGGAGGGAGATACCAGTTATGATAAAATTCAAGGCAGTTATCGAATAGCATGAATGAATACCCCTAGTCCACTATAGAATCCTCCGCCTGCGCAAATATGTTTCATAAATAAAGTAGGGCATCGCCAAGGTCGGTACTTTAGCAATCAGATTTTGGCCCCAGCTCACTTGCACTGCAATCTCTAGTACGAAGGAGCTTATGTGTAGTGATTTAAATGGTCTTTTCATTTTCCAACCTACCGGGGCTCAGAGTCGCATTCTCATTTTCCAGGACGTGAAGCGAACATTGTACTCCAGTCATTAGCGCAAGAGACTAGACTGTCTCCGGTCCCGTGTAAGAATGTCTCAAGCTAATGCAGTTGTTCTTATCTGCACTGCAATCTTTAGTGCGGAGGAGCGGCCTTGACGTTGTGTGCAGGAAAACGTTTGAATCCCACGATTTTATCACAGATGCAACGTTTACTAGGGTTCTTGGGCGAGCTGCATGGCTTATGAAACAAGTTCGGGAATACGAACATGGATATTGCGTACGACAAGGTTTCCATGGTAATTTCAGGTTACGTAATCCTGTCTCCGTTGCTTCTCGTACGTTGGACTAGGCTGAAGCTGTATCCCCTCTTTGGCGCTAAGAATAGTAGTGCAGTCGTGGCTTAAGCAGTACTTGAATGTTGATACGTTTTACTTGTACATACCCCGACAAGCCGGCATACTGCACTGCCATATTACACTGTAATCCTTAGCCTGGGAGAGCACTTTCGGATTCAGCCTACCGCGCAGCCTTCTTATTGTAGTCTGTACTGCAATCACTAATGTTATGCAGGAGAGAATTTGCCTAGCAGTAAAACTTTGGGTGCGTTGAGGAAGTTGCGTGGAACTCGAAGGAAGAGATTCTGCTTAGGTATGACTTTGATGTACAACGTGGGAGCTTTTCGAGGCTTTGCTGCAGATGTGCTGTCCTAATCGATCGTGGCACTACTGGCTTGCTCGATAGCAGTCTCTTCTAGGCTCACATTGTTGTACGACGTCCAAATGGCAGTGTAGTTCTTACAAAAATTACTCCGCGTTGCATCTCGCTATGTAAGCCGTGGGGCTTGGACAAGTTCGATGGCTTTACTGCAATTCTTAGCGTGACGACGAGAAGTTTACGTACCCGCATTCTGTGTGAAGCCACATCCCCAGGTGCTTTAGTCCGCGCTGGGGCAGTGCATGCACCCGCATGCCACTGCACACCGTTGTATCCGAAAGCATTTGTGACGTGGCAACCGGTGAGCGAATTGTTTGTGGCGTGAGAGGCATACTCGCAAGGCAATAAGGCATCTGCAGGATTGTTTTTGTGGCTGACCTTCGAGGAGCGTTATTCGTCAGCTGCATGTCAGTCTGCATGAGGAAACACTTGGCATGAGCCGAGCGACGACAAAAGTTATCAGCCTTGCTGCAGGTGCCTTACGTGTGTGGCTGTGAGACGTGTGCAGGGCGATTGGAACAAAAGTATTTGTCTAAGCGGTGACGTTGACAACAATGCAACAATAACCCATATTATAATCAAAATGCACGGACCAATTTGCACCAGGTAGCGGCAAAATTCCTGTCCGCATTCTCTAAGGAGAGCAGGTAAAGAGGTAACTTGTACATATTCAAACGTCTCTATAGAGTAAGGTGGAGTATCTTACAGCTGCGAATATATCCAGGCACCCTTGAGGTCATAATGAGTATAGCTCTGAAAACTATTAACTTACATCGTGTAGGTGCAGAGCGTGCACGGTTTTTGCCGCTGCGTGCCCATGCGGTGTTCGTGTTCCTCATGAGTTGTGACAGCAGAATAGGTATTCTTCAGGAAAGTGCCTAATTCCTTTCCACGAGGTTCGCTCTTTCTAATTTCTTGTCTTGTAGTGCTCGCATGTCCTGAGAAGCTGTTAGCATTAAAGATGATGAGAGAGATTGTCAGCCTACCAGCTCTACCGTCTGATCGACTACGTAGCGGACGACAAGCACCGACTGTTTCTGGCCTAATCGTAAGGCACGAGCTATGGCTTGGTTTTCGACGGACGGGTTCCATTGCGGCTCGACTATGAAGACACGATTTGCTGTCGCGAGGTTGAGCCTGGCAGTGTATTAGCATAGAGCACCGCTGATTGAATGAAGACTTACCCGACGGCACCAGTGCCAGTAGTCATTATAAGCACACGTAAGTCGGGGTTGTTCGCAAAATCACTCAGAATACGTTCTCGTTTCGTAGTTGGGCATTCGCCATCGATGCGCTGGAACTGTTGTGATGCAAGACCAGAACGTCTGAGGTACATCTGAATGAGGTCGAGGGTTCGTGTCCAGCATGTAAATATGATACTACAAAGTGTAAGTGGCGTGTCAAATACTTCATGCTATTTCAACCTCACCTCTTTGTGCTGTAGACGTCATACATAACGTCGTTCATAAGCATGTCCAGTTTCGATGAATGCCCCTCTGGTCGAAAGTATAAATCTTCCTGAGATCCGTACTTCTGGCTATGCTTATTTGTAGATGGACACCAAAGTGCAGAGCACATGGGACACCGACTCGGACGCGTGTCTTGACCGGGAGACATGCTGCCGTCAACACATTCCGAACACAAAATGTGGCGACACTCTTCATACTGGTGAAAACTGGTTCCAGTGCCAAACACTGGCATGCTTCCATGACAGGCAGAGCACGTTCTCTCGCTTTCCCTGCCTAGAGATACTTCAATGGCTTCTCTCTCGTCCAACAAATGCAGTTTGCGGCGATTCCAGGAGAATAATTGCTGCCAAGTTCCATGGTTGCAAATGATGCGTAGCTGGAGCTGCACTTGGAACATCCCTAGTGTGCTCTTCGAATCGAGCACGCCATGTTGGTGTCGGATCGCCCGCCACATCGTATTGTGAGTTTGCTCATACTGATTTCGCTCGCCAGGAGAGAGTCTGACAGTCCGAATGATATTTTCCAAGTCTGGAAGATGCAGTAGATCTTTGGTACGGCGAAGGCACACAGCATCTAAAAGTCGGGTAAAGCGTTCAATGGCACCGTTTCTGGTCTTGCCACCCTCGTCGAAAGGGAGCGCAATGTGTTTCCTGAAAGTCGCAAGAGCATGAAAAGGCTCGATACGAAGAAATGACAGAAGAGATCCGATATCCTCAAGACGATTTTGAATAGGAGTCCCGGTTAGACACCATCGCGAGTGGGCCTGAATGCTGGAAACGGCTCGGTTGAGCCCCGTTGACTGCCGTCGAATGATGTGCGCTTCGTCTAGCACCAGCCTATACCAGTCAATGTCACTGATGAGTGCCGTGGAGCTGGCAAGTTCGGCTGCGAGTGTGTGATATGTGGTGATTATGATATCAGCATCGCGAAGAGTCGCGACTGACCTGTCTCGGTTAGGGCCATGATATTTGATCGTGCGAAGAGCTTGAAGAGTCTGCCGATCGAAATGCTTGTCCAGCTCCTGAAACCATTCGTTGATCATGAGGTCGGAAGAAGCTACAATCAGAGTTGCGCGGGATCTAGGCCTTGATTGATAGCTCGAACAGGTGTTTTGGCCAAACTGTACAGACCATTGTTGAGCGAACACCAACGTTCGTAGAATCAGGGCAAGAACAGACAGAGATTTACCCATTCCCATTTCATCGGCAAGTATTCCGCCGCCGGTCTCGTCGGGTGGTTCAAGCCTGCAGATCAAGCCCGTTGTGGCATGTCGATTGCAGCTCAGCCCATCCACCATCGTTGGTTCCCACAAGCGATAGGCTTCGGATATCGGACCATTCTCTCGTTCGATCATGAACTCGAGGGCTGTCTTCTGGTGTGGTAACAGTGTAGTTCTGAGTCGCGAGTCACCTTCGAGGCCTCGCAAATGCTGCTCTCGCGTGAGTGACGAGTAGACGTCGGCGATCGCATCTTTCAGCACGTCATCGGCGCCCTTCTCGGGTGCCGTCTCTTCTACAATGACGCTGACTTCTGGTACAGCACTTGGTCGGTCATCAAGCTTGAGGACATGTGGATTGTCGTGCTCCGCTCCTGGGCGCATGTAATCAGGTCTTTGAAGATATATCTTCTGTCGAGAAAGTTCCCGGCCTACAGATTCACCCATTCCACTCGGACCGTAAACGTTGATCTGCACCCGGACAATAGCCTCTTTCTCTTTCGTGGCTCGTGTGATAGTCTCACGGATGGCTCGAACGGGAGCGAATACTTCGAAGTCGAGGCATGATCGATGCTCAGCGAATTGACTCAAAGCTTCCTCCAAAGGCTCGTTCACTTCACCCAGGACTTGCCCGTCGTCGAACGTAATCATGAATTGGTCTTCGGGCCGCGTCAGATTCAGTAACGTGTGGCCTTGTATGGGACTTGGTGCACTGGCGGTTAAGTTTTTATCGAGCTGTGCCATGTCCCCACAGAGTTTTATAGCAGTACGAAGGATCTGAAAGGTGTCAGATATCGCCGTGAGCGTTCCAGAAGCAACTTTGAGCCAATATTGGCACAAGCTCCAACCAAACGATAAGAAAGACACTGGGACGATAGAATACGAAAACCCACCGTTCCATAACAGATCAGTCCATCCTCTTCAGGTGACGCTAAAAGCGTACTTTGTGCTCCAGAAATTGCCTATCGCCCATAGCTCGATTTGCTGTTGAGCGTCTTTGAGACCATCATATTGAATATGCAAAGATTGGAAATCAGGGTCGGAACCGCCGATGTTCAAGTCAGAGCCATAGACTTCACCAACCAAGTCGTCCCAAGGCTGGAAGGGCAAAGATGGGATCGAGCTTGTGTACTTTTTAGCTTTTCTGGACTTGCGATATTGTTGTTGTTATTTACTCTTGGAAGTAGCCATTATCATCCCAGCCGAGCACCGGCTGATGCATGAACACTGTATCGCTACCATCATCGTGGTTTAGCAGATGCTTGAGGGATGAGATCGCCATCGCGAAAGTAACACGTCTTCACTTAGCGTCTTGGCTAGTGCAGAACCAAGGTCAGACTGGAAACACTGTAGAAGGGCTGAAAGATCACAGCCATCAAGAGTATCTTTGACACGCCTATGATCTATTACGTGGAAGGACACTGCACCCTATAAGTTTGCTCGCTTCGCTCTGGGCGTCGGACGCTCACGCGCACTTTCTTCGGTGGGCTGTGCCTGGGGCCACCAGGTGGCGCAACAATTCCCGCATGTCCTCACGAGCTAGGTGCTAATAGCTCAAGCTGAGGCTGTATCGCTTCAACAACTTTTGTGGAGCTTACAGTGCGCTCATAGGCCTTCGAGGCTATCTTAGCCGACGCATGATATGAGCCATTCTCTAATACTGGTAGGTGTTTGAGCAGGCGGGTGCACGACGAGCCCGTTGGTACGGTCCCGTCCCGCCCATGTCCAGCTCTTCAGCCTTGCTCCGCCTCCGTCGTGGCGCGTCTCCAAGTTGCCTTTTTTTTTGCCTGAATCTTGATTCGGTGGAAAGATTCATTCAGTATGCGCACTGGCCAGGCGCAGTGTGCATTTGATGTACATCCCCTGAACGTCGAGAGGCTCCTACATATATTGTCTTCACCCGACGCCATGGTTCGTGGTTCTTACTCATGTGTTAAAACTACATACTTCAAAGGCTCCCATCTCCCATCTACACAAGCAGTACATCAACATGGCGAACACGCCGCCAGCCACCCAGCAAAATAGCCGAACGTCCACTACGCTTTCTCAGCAACCAACGCTGGTAACATCGACTCCACCTGGTCAGCAGCCTCAATCAAACAAAGTTCCAAGCGCAGCATTCAGAAGCGCTCTCGACGAGTTCCAGAAGCGATTGACCAAAGATGAATTAGTCGGCTTCCAGACCACAACCTACTCCCAATTTTGCGATGAGCTGCATGTCCTACAAGAGAAGCAAATAAAGCGTAGAGAGGTCATGAACCTCTCTCGCATAGCAGGCTTTCTTGAGGGTATGCATCAACTTGGTAAAACGATTGAAGTTTTTGTGAACGCTTCGAACATGGTCGCATTTATATGGGGCCCAATCAAGTTCCTGCTTCTTGTAATTGCTCGCCAAATGAATATGAGCAAAAGCTAACGATCTTTCTAGACAGGCAGTGAATATGTGGATTCATTTGAAACCCTCCTAGATGCGTACGAGCTGATTGGAGAACAACTGCCGCTTCTTCTCGAGCGGGAATCGCTTGTCAGGCGCAATATCCATATGGAGAAGGCTCTGGAATCGATATATATGGACATACTGAAGTTTCACCGACAAGCACTTCGCTTCTTCCAAGGCAACAGTTAGTTGATCATCGCCACTAGTTATAAAGTCTACTAAAATCGATCCGCATCAGGGTTAAAAACAATGATCAAGAGCATGTGGAAAAGTTTCGACACCGAATTCCAAGGTATCCTAGCGAGCCTGCACCGGCACAAAGACTTAGTTGAGCAACTCACTAGTGTTTCACACTACAGTGATAGTGCTGCACACTATCGCCAGTACCAAACAGATATGGAGGATTTGCGTGATCGCCTACACAAACAAATAAAGGAGGAAAAGGAGAAGGATATGGTTACAGTCGTGACGTGGTTGTCTGTCGGCAAACAGGCAGAAGACGATCACACAGAATACCAGAAGATTCGAAGCAATTTCTCTACAACAGCTACTTGGATCTTTAAGCATGAGTACATCAAGGACTGGATCAACTCTACCGTGCCAGAAACTTCCTTGCTGTGGATGCATGGCATTCCTGGTGCAGGTACGTGATATCCCTTTCCATTCAATGCGTCGCTAATATTTCGTAGGAAAGACAATCCTTGCATCAGCGATAATTGACAACTGCAGACAAAAGCAAGAATTCATGACTGCTTTCGTCTACTGCCACGATGGCGATTCGAACAGCAACTCAGCTGTCGCCATACTAAAAGGCCTCGCAAATATGCTTCTTGACCATGGACAGGACAAAGACCTTCTCCTTTCGTTATTCCACACAAAACGATTCTCTGGAGGCGATCCAACACTTCGATCGATAAAAACTATTAAGTCGCTGCTGGAGCAGTGCTGTGCAATTGTGCCAAAACTGTTCTTTGTGGTTGACGGACTCGACGAATGCGATCCAAACGAACGACGGGAAGTCCTCAGTGTTCTTACCAAACTCGTGAACGATTTGGAACCCGGTAGTCTTCGCGTACTCATTGTCAGTCAGCACTTCCCAGACATACAACGCGGAGTTGAAGGCTCTGGCTCAGCTCAATTGGCACCCAGAATCATCCGAATTACTGAGAAAGAGGTAGACAGCGACATAGTCACGTACATAAGAGCACTGGTGGAGGATATTGCAACCAGGAATTCTTCAGCTGGTGAGCCGTTCAATGAGAATATCAAAGAATACCTCCGGAACCTTACATTGGTCAATGCCAAAGGTTAATATATACGAGGTCCCAGCAAGCAATATGCCGCTGACCTTTATTCCAGGAATGTTTTTGTATGCCAAATTAGTTCTGACCAACCTGCTCGCTTTGCCAACACGAATGGAGGTCATAAATGCCATTCAGCATGAGAGTTTTCCGCAAGGTCTCAAAGAAGCGTACGTCAAACACCATCACTTCCTTCATCATTCTTTGCGTGTTCTTTATCACGAGACTAATGGAAATGTAGTTACGAAAGAATCATTAAACGAATCAAAGTGCACTCTGAAGAAGCTGAATGGATCATGGCAAGAAAACTACTTGGGTGGATGATATGCGCAAAACGACACCTGACCTGGAAAGAAATCCAGGTTGCGCTCTCCATCAACATCGAGAATGAAACGATCGACTACGAGGATCGACATCTTCGCACAAATATACAGGACATTTGTGGGTCGTTAGTGGTCATGAGTCAAGATCGTGTGACTCTGGTACACAGCACTGCGAAGACGTAGGTACAGTAATCAGATGCTGATGCGTATTGACTAACCTTTTCAGTCACATCAGGGAGAATACAAATGATATCCACGAACCTACAGTCGAATGCGAACTGGCTACTATGTGTCTTCAGTATTTAACCTTTCCATGCTTCAGAATCGACCCAGATGACGGGCCTCGAGAGCTCCGTCAACACATGTTAAGCGGTCACTTTGCCTTCCAGGATTATGCTATTGCTACTTGGTTCCATCATGTGAACGCTTTTGTTCAGAAAGGAGAGCAGTTTCTCCGTGACGCTGATGAAAAGGAAAAGCATCTGAATGATCTTTGGGAAGCTCTCGAAGAGTTCACATCGTTCCACCAAGAAGACTGGTACGGCGGCATCGTGCAGAGCTGTTCAGAAGCTTGTGGCATGTTTCGACCATACATGCTCTACGAAGTTTTGGTGCAAATAAAGTCTCACATCTACACATTCCAGCAGAAAGGCTTTGATGCTCGGCACAAGATTAGCATCCAGGGCCTCGACGCCGCGCTGGAGCGCAACAGAAAGATTCTCGAAGATCCGCCCAAAGACATGGCCCCTGCCGAAAAGGTACTATACACTAAATTCTACGACGACAAGAAACTGTTCAAATGCACGAAGATCACATGCCGATATTTCTCACAGGGGTTTTCGGACAAAAAAGCGCGCAAAAGACACGTCAACATCCACGATCGTCCATTTCAATGCGAAGTGAGGGATTGCCTCGGCCAAGAAGGCTTTGCGAACGAGAAGGACCTCCGTAACCACAAAAGATCCTTCCATCCAGACATGTGCGATCTTGCCGAGTCGTTCAAATCCTCCATTGCCAAACGCACAAACGCAGGGCATGCGTGTGGTTATTGTGGGAAGACCTTCACGCGCAAATTTCATCGTGAAGACCACGAGAAGAGCCATCGTGGCGAGAGACCTCATGTTTGCTCGGAGTGTGGGAGGGCCTTCACGCGAAGAAATGACTGTGAGCGACACAAAAAACTACACGAGCGCGGCAGATAACAAAACAAATTGATAGTCAGAATCAGTCAAGCTGATGTGAGACTGAAGCCTAGGTTCTGTTATATTTCACTCTCGCACGGCAGACGTGCGCACTCATTTGGCTAAGACTGTTATACACGCACCTGCAGAGTTCATGCAGTTAGAATACAATAATCTAGAAATCTTTTGGATACATGAGAACCAAGTCCAGACGTATCATGGTTTCCATCTCGATTCAAACTCTCGTTGGTGAAGCCATGTAGCGAAGGATTGGATGGACGTAAGACACATCAGTTCATCTAGGTAGAAAATAATGAGCCGTATGCACGCACTTGATAGTCCTAAGTATTTTATCCTACGTGTCTTCGAATGCGCTACGTACATTCAATGGCACTCTATATAGCACATCCTCCTCTGGCCCGGGATTGCATCCGCAAATTTACAAACACTGGTTGCTCTATCTAGATCTTTGCGCAACATCAACAACCTCTTCAGCGCTAAGAATTACAGAGAAAATGAGTTCGGGATGAAAGCACCATCCTTGACATGGACTACGTTTCGCAAACTTTAGGTGGGGGACATACTTGGAATTGGTGTGACGGTCTTCGATTAGGATAGGTACTCTTGGTAGCGAGGCCATACTGGGTGCTGTCGAAGAGCGTGCCGCTCCGTAAATCAGATATGTCAATAGCTAAAAGGGCAAATAAGAACGTAGTCAGAGTTAGAAGGGCATGTAAAGACCACACCCATACAGCATTCATGGCAATGGGCGTTGAATATTCCTAAGTCAAGGGTAGATTGGGCTATCCCGAGCTAGAGTTTATAGTGAAATTTCCTGCAAACAGCCTCATTCAACAGCTGTCAATGGTGCGAGTCAATCTCGTTATCGGGCCACAAGGTCATATAGCAGGGAAGGCTGACATATTGCAGCATGTACCCGGAAGCCCACAAGCCGTAAGAACTGGCTGCAACTCGAGCCTGCTCAAGAATCCTTCAAGTCTCCTATTGGTGTCTCGGCTCCTGCACTGCAATTGTTAGCTCCAACGAGCAGTCCGATATTGGTTCGGCCACACTAATAATGTCAAAGATGGCCGGTACCGTGCAAGAGAAATGCAACGGACGCACAGTGTTTTGCCCATTTTTATCTCCCATGGATCGCCAGATCTACAGCTCTGGATCATTACCCTCACCCTATCCACTTGCAGCTCACTGAATGGGCCACATAAACTCCAAACGTCCGCCTGTAGTACTGCAATGTGCTGTCGATGATCACTGAAGCGCTTACAGTGCATCGGCATAATCTTCGTTCCTATATAGCCATATAGCGGATGCTCCAAAGTATTGTGAAGCTATTCGGGCCATCATATGCCGGCCACGGATCCGCTGGACCGGGTGGCCAATTTGCGTCACCGTCTGCATTGTCTGGTCTCTCGCGAGGAGAACTGATCGCGCACCTGACGAGAATTGATTTGGCACGAGTGAATATCTCACAGTATTTACACTCTGAACATCTGGAACGCCGTCCTCGGGGACTGCACTATGCTACGTGCTCAGCAAACCCAATCATCCTTTCACCAATGCCTGCAAAAACGACAAAACTACAACAACGACTTATTTCTGCTCATCGCACTCAATTGTACCACTTATACACTGCAAACAGCACGATGGCAATGAAAGCCAGCGTAGTAAAGCCGATGCATGAAGAACCCGAGTCATCGTGTGCGGGTGTTCGGACAGTGTTGTGCGTCCTTGGTAGAAGAGGAGTTCGTTGTGATGTGTGAATACGGGCCGGCCGATCTGTACTGTGGACCCATTGCCCAGGGACACGATACTCTGATGCGCAGGTAATTGTTCGGGGTGTTTGCTTATATCTAGGTTCTGTTCTTTGAGGTTGCACTGTGAGTTGATAAGGCGGCGGCATCTGATAATGCACTGGCGGCTGTCGAGGTTCCGGTTGTAGAGTAATAGCTGGTTCGTGGTGGTGCACATTATTGGGCCTCGGAGAAGCGAAGTTGATCTTCTTTAGGAGCTTGCGCAAACACTTGGTTTTGAGCCTGCACTTTCCCTGATCCCAAGGCTGAAGCAGTGCAACCTTTACGATCCGCACAGGTGTACTCTTCACGTAGCTTCTCTTGGAGAGGTGTTCGCCGTCTGCGAGGAACAAGCAGGAGCCGTTGTCTGGATGCACATGGCTAGGATAAATGGGAATATGCTCCTCGCGCATCTTCTTGCCCCGTTCGCGTGGAAACTTTGCGAGGAGACTCTTGCCGCCGAAAGATGTGATCTGCAGACTCGTCAGGCTGGATACATGGCTTGTCGAACATGACACGAACTATCAGCACTGCAGCCTCTTTCTGTGCAGAATCAATAGCCAAGATGAGGACCGGATGGCCGAAGTAACCCTCGTCAATCCCATTGGTAGTGGTGAGGTGTTCGCTTGGGATTTTCTGTTTCGGTGGAAGCCACGATATGGTACCAGCAGAGTACATGGCAAGTATGCAAGCCAGGCCAGACTGTGTGCCGACTGACTCCTGAGCTGAAATTATACAGCAACTCTATCCTAGTATTTTCAAGGTTACATGAGCATGAAATAAAGACAACGGGCACTGCGGCACGGTCCGGTGGCTCCAAGATCGGGCAGTGCAAGCGGTAGGCATTGAGGACGCAGGCAGAAGTTACCCACCAGCAAATAAATCCGCAGACTTGTGGCGGTCATCTATTGGATTACAGTGTCGCAGATGGAACGGCGGGCTTTGCGGGGTCGGGACTGAATTCGCGTAATCGACCAGTGGTTCGATGTTTGCGTACGCGCCCAGTTGAAGCTGGCTGCGCCTCGTCAAGCACGCCCAGCTCGCGCAGCCATGACAAGGTTACCGCAATTGCCTGGAGATACGATCATAGGGTGGAAGACTTGGCAGCGCAGTGGAGGTAGGTAGGCTGAGCTTGTTGATCGAGTCAGTTGCATCGCATCCGTTGATACAGAGGTTCGAATAGAATGAATAGTGTTGGCGCAATGTACCAGGGTATCACGAGAGAGGGAGATGTAGATCGACATCCATACTCTGGCTCAATCCCTCCAGCCGACGAACACTTCGTCGGTTCGGAATCGCTGCGTGCATGTTGTATCTTCCATCTTGGTGACCACGCCGGTGCAGTACTCCAGAAGTCCGGCATGTGCGATCATAATGCCGTTGTCGATGCAGAATCTCTCATCAGTTGCAAAGACGCTGCCTCCTCTATCTCTTGCCATCATGCCCATCATCTGCTGCAATCTTTCGTTCGATCCGACACCTCCAACGACCAGAACTTGCTGCGAGCCAACGTGTGCCATTGCACGTTCAGTAATCTCCACGAGCATCGCATAGATGGTCTCTTGTAGCGAGAAGCAGAGATCTTCTCTCGTTACCAGTTCCCCCTCTTCGGTCTTTAATCGTTTCTCGAGGGGCAATGACTCGTCCAGCCCTTTTGCCAACAGATCTGCCGCAGCGAGGATACCGGAAAAGCTTGCATCCATTCCCTTGACGCCGTATGGTAAATCGACCAAGTTCTTGCCCTTCTTTGCCAGCTGTTCCACATTGTAACCAGGAAATGGGTTGTTCGGTATCATGAGGGTGCGGGCAAATCGATCGATACAATTTCCTATCGCTATGTCGAGAGTCTCACCGAATATGCGGTAGCGTTGCGCAGAGTATGCGATTACTTGGGTGTTCCCACCTGAGACATAGAGGACGACTGGATTGTCGGCTTTTGTTATGGCCCTGCCCATCTCGATATCTGTATGTGTTGGCCCATTTCTCGAGAGAAAGCGTGAAGGATTACTTACGTCCAACGCAGTGATTTACTCCCACTACTGGTTTGCCCCAGAGTAGACTGATGGTTCTTGCAGCCAGTGCCACACTCTGCAACGGCGCACCCATTCCAGGTCCTTTGGTGTAGCATATGCACTCTATGTCCTCAATCTTTACGCCGGCTTGCTGTACCGCTTGCTTTATTAACCTCACGACCCATGCTCGGTGATGTATCGCGGTATCCTTGGGCAGAAATCCTTCTCCTGGTGGGGAGATGTAGGTGTGTCGAAGATTCGAGAGGATGATGGGCGTTTTGTTGGGTCCAGGATGCGATATGACGCCGATACCTATCTTATTGGCACTTCCTTCCAGTCCTATTGCAATCATTGTTTTGGATGTTTAGTTGTGAGGTGAGGTGGGACGCGTCAAGTTGAGTATTGCGGGGTGGCAGAAAGTGTAGCCGAGCCTCGGTGCCCTTATCGATAGCAGACTTGAACAATTCTGAGACGAATGAAATTGTTATAGTATGGTGTCTCAGAGCTGAGGACTTGAAAGATTCGTAGAATCGTGTATTTCCTCACTCTATCGTTGCTCTATTACCGTAGTCGCCAGCACCATACGTCATCTTATCTTAACGAGGGCCTGAGCGTATCATACACGAAGCGAGTCAACATTGCAAGCACGTTCCCTTCTTTACACCACGATCTTCTCCAATATCTTTCTACAACGGCAATATTCGAAACATGTAGTGAGTACTCATGTGTGCCGAGTGCTTGCAAGGGACGGAATGTAGACTCGGAGGCGCTAGTGTGTATGAACCAATGAGAGCGCATGTCTCGGCTGTCATCAAATGACCCACCGACCATATTTCTGCTCTCCTCCACCGTCGCTCACGACACTCTGACATTGCGCATGGCAGACTTTGACGGTGCCAGCCAGGCCTTCTTGGCATGGCTACGACGATCTGGCGTAGAAATCAGCCCAAAAATTCAACTAGAAGACTTGCGGAATGCGCAGGCCGGGAGAGGTGTTGGTAAGTGGCATCTTCCGGGTAGTGAGGATTACTCTCCCTCTCCCCACCACTTCACCCACCAAAGGGCCTGTCACAGACTCCAGCTAACTTTCACCAGTTGCGACTCAAGACATTCCCGAACATGAACTTCTGTTCCGCATCCCCCGCACTGCCATTCTCAGTGTCGAAAACTCCATCCTCTCCACCGAGATCCCCGCAGCCACCTTCGAAATGCTTGGCCCATGGCTTTCGCTCATTCTCGTCATGCTATACGAGTACATTAATGGCGACGCTTCGAATTGGGCGCCGTATTTCTCCGTCCTGCCAACTGAATTCAATACCCTCATGTTCTGGTCTGAGGATGAGCTTGCGGAACTACAAGCCAGCGCAGTGCTGAACAAGATTGGAAAAGAGGGAGCGAATGAGGCCTTTATGGAGCAGCTATTGCCAATAATCAAGGAATTCGCCGACATTTTCTTTGCTGGTGATGAGCGGGCAAAGCAAAGGGCAGAAGAGATGAGGGATGAGCGCAACGTTTTGCTTATGCACAAAATGGGCTCCTTGATCATGGCATATGCATTCGATGTTGAACCGGCCACTTCGCGCAAAGACGTCGATGAGGAAGGATTTGCCGAAGAGGAGGAAGACGAGGCACTCCCCAAGGGCATGATTCCCTTGGCGGACATGCTCAATGCCGACGCTGATTGCAACAACGCGCGCCTATTCTATGAAGAAAAATACCTGGAAATGAAGGCCTTGAAACCCATCCGAGCCGGCGAGGAGGTCTTCAACGACTATGGACCGCTTCCACGATCGGACCTATTACGCCGATATGGCTACGTAACAGACAACTATGCACAGTACGACGTTGTCGAGATCAACATGGACCTAGTAACCGAGCTTGCAACTGATGCTGGCATTCACTCAAAGGAGAGATTGGAGTATCTGGAAGAGCAGGAAATCGTCGATACTGGGTATGACATCACTGCCAGCAATCCATTTACGATACAAGAGAGTCTGTCCCCAGAGCTTGTAATTCTAGTCGAAACCTTGCTTCTGCCAGCGGAAGAATTTGAGCGCTTGAAGACAAAAAGTAAGCTACCGAAGCCTGAGAAGATCACCAGCAGGGGTGCAGGGTTCTTGCACGAACTTGTGCAAGCTCGAATTGCGCAATATGCCACCACACTCGAGGAAGATGCTCAGTCGATAAAGGAGGCACCGCTTATAAGAGACGCAAAACCGAAAGAGCGACGTTTCGCCATGGCCAGAGCTGTTCGCGTCGGGGAGAAGCAGCTGCTCAAGCAAACTCAAGATGCGTTAGCCGAGCTAATGACAAGAGGAAGCTTGTCAAAAAGGCATCGCACAGTCGACGAAGAAGGCGACGTAGAGATGGGCGGAGTGGGAAAGAAAGCGCGGGCTTGATCAATGCTTTGGTAAGTTTTCAAATTTTTATCTCCTGCGGCTCAAGATTCATCTCAAGACCGCAGATGTTATACAAATTTCAATAATAGCTCGCTAATCGGCTTGAACATCCAGGCATATCCATATCCACTCCCCTTCCAACCTGGGATGTTGTACATAATCTTTGATAGATCTCTCCACGGCGCATGGTACCTTCTCTCGAATGAAACAAACAAAGGGTATAAATCGCCACAAACCAACACCTGATACCATGGCCACAACTGCTGAGAAGCGAGAAAAGAGAAGAGGAGTGCTGATCCAATCACCCAGCGCTAGCATTTGTGGGTGTCGGGGGCATCAGATGACCAGAGGCCGACCGGTTGTGGTTTTCGATGGACCTTCGATTCGGGTTTGGTGCAACTTGTTGTGGTTGCTGTTTTTCGCCTTGCCGGTCAATCATGTTCCTATATCTGATGTGCATGGTGTCGGTCCAGTCCACTGCATATATCTGCTCGTCCTCACTGCTATCACCGGAGAACTTCCATCGATCCGCAACGCGCTCGTCGACTTCGCCGTTCTCGATCTTCTGCCGTTTCATTCCGCGACGATCAATCATCACACGCCCACCTCGACCGATTCTTCTCCGGAACCGGGTTTGGTCCTGAAAAGGAACGTCTTCTGGAGGCGTTGCGAAACGTATCCGCGCGCTTCTCCGTGGCTCGTCCTGTTTGTTCACACGATCTACGGTCATTGCATCAGCACCTCCTTCATCAGAAACAGAAGCTGGTGGTGTGGGCAACTGCGACTGCGTGAAGACCGTACGGAAGTCTGATTTGGCAGCTGGTAGCTCCAGCGGTGGAGTGATGGGCCGCCATGTCGCATCCACCCAACCAACGTTCCATTTCTGGTGCTTGACGAGGTTGTCTTCGATGAAGCTTTCGATTGCTTCGGTCTTCTTCGTTTGCTGTTCCTCCAGATAAACCAGGTCGCCGTCCACGAGACGTCCGTCGGAACGAGTGTCTCGCGGCTTCATACCCGGAATATTCTGGCGCACTCTCTCAAGATCAGCTGGCCTCTTCGGCTTAGGAGCAGGCTGTGATGCATTAGCTGGATGCGAGACGATGTCATTTCGAAGAGGTGAACGTACCTTTTGAGTGATCAGGAGCTCTTCGTCGTCGCCCTTGATACTCAATTTCCTCTTGATCTCCTTGACAGCTGCGCGCTGTTCGAAGATGGTCTTGTCGATCTGGATCTGCTCTCTCTGCAGTACTTCACGCCGGCGCACATGTGACATTAACAAGCGTGCATCTTCAAGGTCCTTGCGAAGTTTCTTGAGCTTGTCATTCACTTGCGCATCTCGGCCACGTGTCTTTCGCACTTGTCGTACTTCGCGGCGGCGGAAGCACACGTATGGGTCAGCATCATCGGTCTCAAGATTCTTCTCGAACTTCAATGACGGCAGCAGAGGGCGGTTGCCTTTCAGCAAACGCTGGTTCTTCCAGTGCACATAGACTTCCTTCGCGAATCGACGCGCTGACTCGCTGATCGTTTCATCGAAATCTGCCTCGAGTTCTTCGAAGGGGAGCACAGGGGTATTGTCGACATCTGCATACGGTTGCTTCTCCTGGGTCTTCTCTTCGAAGAAGTACATGATCTCCTCGAATTCATCTTCAGAGCAGTGGGCTTTCTTGCCTTGCTTTTGGTTGAATGACTTGAGGAAGGCAGCATCGTCACTTGTCATACAATACGGGCAACCTGATGTGTCTTCGACAGTCGACGAGAATCGAATGTATGTGGCAGGCTGTCTGAATACCTTTTGGTAGAGGTCATCATACTGAAGTTGACTCGCGACAGCATCTGGTGTTGGTATGAAGAGCTGCGCGATCTTACCCCCGGTCGAGCTTGCCTGGGCGGCAGAGATGACAGCCTGAAGATGATGTTCCTGCAAAGATATTAATGTGTTGCTTGAAAATGCGCGAGAGGTAAGAAATGCAGCACATCACGACATCGACCATCGCGTGCTTGTGCATGTTGAGGCGCGTCGATGAGGTGATGCCGAAAAAGGAAAGGCGTGACCTACAATCTCCTCGCCCTTCTCAACACCAGTCTCGACTTTGGGAATGTGTCGCGAGGCGTCGTCATCGGCAAGCTGCTCAACCTCATGCTCGCGAACAATAGGTAAGTTTTGCTTTGTAGAAAGTTTCCGTTGCCGAAAGCGGGCACTCGCGATGCGCGCAGTCATGCTTGCGTTGGAGTTGTGGTGTTCGTCAAAACAGACGGCACGTGACTGCAAATCCTGCTACCCAAAGGCGCAGCCCGAGACTGAGGGGAGTCAGGCCAGGTGGCCGCTCCGGGCGCGACCTTGCAGGTCCCGAGTTCCGACCCTCAACGCGCTCTATAATTGCCGATATGGGTCTCAAAAGTTTCGCAGCGCCAGTCGCATTCGAATGATGGGCGTAAAGCCGATGGTTTGGGGGTTGGTGGCGCGTTTGGTGATGGAGTTGTTCTGGCGGTTTGTCGTGCGGTAGCTGATTGTTGAGGTGTCGAAGCGGGCTGGCATTCGGTTGCGCGGAAGCAGCAAGGGTTCTTGCCTTTCCCCCAACCGATTGCGAGCCAATCATCGTGCACGGTCACTTTGATTGCTGGGGAATGCCATGTCCAGCCTCACGCGGTGTGTATGCCGGCATGCAGATTGTATGTTCCAGATGCATGCAGCACAGTATGCGCATCATGGCACTTTTTGAACAACTCCAACTCTGGTAGACTATGGGCGTTCGTCTCATGATTGATGAGGAAAGCCGCCCAAAGCAGGAAGGTGCATGTGGGTCTAGCGCGGAACCTAGCTGATGATGAAGCTTATCGTCAGCCTGAACACTTCACAACTTCATCACAACGGCTGCATGCGCTACGTGCTGCGTTCTTTATGTGAGACGGATTTTCTCACCCGCAATCTTATCAGATGGTAAAGAGTTGTAGATAAATTGTATAGTTGGACATATCACAATACCTCGGTCGTTTCCGTAAACGATGTTAAATTCTTGTCAGCTTTACTAACATCTCTCCTATGAAAGATTGATACATATTTGCTACCTCAGCAATGGGAGGATATGCTAGCGTTGAGCAGCGCGAACCTACATCGCCTAGATGGATTCGACGGTTCTAAGCGGAAAGTTCCTAACCCTGATATCAGACTGTGCGACTTTGAGCACACTTTGGTCAGGTAAGCTTTTGTCTCTTTGAGCACCTTGAACGGTAAAGGAATAATCAGTTTCTTGTTTGTGTTTTTCAATAATTTTATACGTTCACAGTGGTCTGGAATATCGGTTTCTTATGGAACAACAATCTAAGTGCACAATTGTAGAGTTGTTTTCAGCTTTGGAAATTGGTGTTATCTCATCAATAAAAACAGGGAGGCCAGGCGCAGTGCATACCTAGGTAGGTTGCTGAATTAAGTTTTGCGCTGCTAGATCATCGCGGCACTGCAGCAGTAATAGGAGAAATAATTTGAAACGAAGTAATCGTATATTCATACTCCCCCAATTCACGAGCTGATTCCATGGCCAACATTCACACATACAGCGAGGAATGGGATCAGTACCTTCTCGCGCCGTATCTTCTCCCCGTAGAGTATCCTGAGCGTTATTAACGCCTTGAGTTCGCGCTCAACTTGACGGGCTCGAGTCGCGCGACGCGCGAGTGTCTTCTTGCGACAAGGACGACACCTAGAATTTACATTATCGCAATAGTTGACAGCGTTAGGATTCTCTGGCTCGACGGCTGCGAAGAATCGGCAGCGGGCACGTAAGCAGACGCTATCATAACCATGACCGCAACCGTAGACGTGGCGTCCGACTTTATACTTCGCCATAGAGATGTGGGAGTTTTCTACAGTCTCCAGAGCCTCGTCGGATGCGCAAGGCTTGGAGATGAAAGGACCGGTGATCGGACCGTTGGCGGGACCGTTCATGATTGCAGTGTTTGTGTTAGGTGTTGTTGATCTGGAAACTTGAGAATGGGTGAGTTGAAAGCTGTGTGATCTCAAGTGCAGACTGCGATGGATGAGGGCAGAAGGTCTGGGTAGAGAATGATGGGAGGCATCTACAGTTCGGGGCGATGTTCGCGGTCTAGTCTCGTGCAATAGCAATGGCTCGTGCTAAAACACTGTGATAGCAGGTCGTTGAACACCACTGCGATGTTGATCCAGTACGAGCATACTTAAGCTATGGAAATCAATGATAAATTTGTTCAGGCCGATATCTCAACCCCCATGTTGAATTCTTGGTCCTTTCATTTTGCCCTCTAACCTTTCTAGTAAATCTCTAGTGGTGATACCTCAAGCAGCGTCAGTGGATGAGGGGTGTACTCATCACACTCATAGAATTGACTCCACGAATAACTGTTGGGGATGGCGCAATTGAGAGCCAAGCTTCCACTCACCCATCCGAGTACATCTCAAGACGAGGCTAATTGTGGGATATATATAATTATATTCCTCGCTTCGATGTAGACAGCTCTACTAGGCCTATCTTTAAAAAGGTGAAAAGACTTCCTAAAGGAAGTTGCAGCCTTTCCTGGTTAGATTCATTTTCTTCTTAAACTGCTGTCGCATTCTAGCTGCATCAGCTATTTCTCGCGTCTTCTGCAACATGAGAGAGTGAGTACATTGGGGTGGTGACGGCAGATCATGCGCACCTCGGAATACCAAGTCCACTGTGCATGTCGCAACGCAGCAACGCAGCAACGCAGCAACGCAGCAACGCAGCAACGCAGCAACGAACGTCTCTCTTCATCAAGCTTGTTGTAATATTTTGTTCATGAAGCGTACATGTAGGGTAAAACTAAATCCCTCAAGAAGCAGGCGCAGCACCGCCATATGGCACGCTCTTCACACTTTCAATATCGACATATCCATACTTGCTGCCATCCTTGTCCTCCTCAAAGCCCTTGCTCCACGTTCCAACATCCTTCTGAAAGGCCTTCAGGTTCTCCTCATCGCTCAAATCAATGGGCTGCTGATCCTTACCAAGCTGCCTGATCTGCGTGCCCGCGGCAACATTTGTGGCGCCGAAGTCGTTGTCGTCGGTAAGTTGGTTGATCGCAGCGTCGACCTCACCAGCGAGAATCTGGCGCGGCAGTTCGGGCTCCTGGCATACAGGGCGCGCAAGACCAACACCGTCTACCGTTTGAAGGGCATCGACCATAGCAGACGCCGTCTTCAGACCACCAGTGACATATGTGCGAGTCTTGGAGAGGGAGGGTGTGATTTTTTCGGCGAACTCGATGAAGAAGGCTTCGCGCTTCTTGGTGGATTCACGCTTGTGTCCAAATGCCAACTGCTCATACGTTCCGCCAGACAGCTCCACAAAGTCAAAGGTGTTGTCTTCTAGCAGTTTGCACAGCGTCACGGCTTCCTGGGTGTCGAAGCCTTTATCTTGGAATTCGACAGAGTTGAGCTTGATGGCGAGGATGAAGTTGGAAGATGTTCGCTTGCGGACTTCTTGACCGATCTCGGTAATGAGACGAGCGCGGTTCTCCAGGGAGCCGCCGTACTTGTCGGTACGCTTGTTGGTGCTTGGAGAGAGGAATTGCGCAAGGAGATATCCGTGAGCGCCATGGAGCTGAATACCATCGTACCCGGCCTTCTCGAGGTACTCAGCCGCATGTGCAAAGCCTTCAATGACATTCTTGATATCCTCGTCGGTGGCTGCACGTGGCTTGGCAAAAGTCATGCCCATTACGTTGCCCTCGAGCTGTACATCCGATGCAGATATTGGGTTCTTTTGGATGTTCTCGGCGACCTGGCGACCTGGATGGCTGACCTGACCAACGATCAAGGAGCCGTGCTTCTTTGATTGAGTGGCCATCTCCTTGAACGCCTCAAAACGCTCGCCCTCGAATGAGGAGCCGCGAGGAATGATTGGGTTGCCGGCAGCTTCGAGATGGTCGTATTCGATCATGATGTTACCAGTCAGGATGACACCAAATTCACCTTTACTCCATCTGCGGTAGACGTTGATGAGGTTCTTTGATGGAACACCGCGTGCCTCAAGGTTCTTGGGATGCCATGACGAGAGACGCTCAGTCATCGCACCTTTCAAGAACCGGTTCTGTGCCGTCTTTTTCGCAAACGCAAAGTCAAGAGACTTGCCTAGAGGCGAGACATCCTTCTTCTCTGCTTCGTATCGCCGTGGTGCCATTATATCGGTGGTGGTAAAATTATGTTTAGGTGGGAGTCGTTAAAATGAAAACCGGAAGTCGTACAGGTGCAATTCAACGGACCTATATGCAAACCAAGTTCTAGTTAGGTCCTGCATTTCTAAGCAGTTGCACGCGAGGTGCCGGGCGCTACCAAAATTGCTCCATCACGACGTCATGAAGAAGGTACATACGCTAGACGGCGGTGAATCGGCAAATATCGTCGAAACAGCGCGATCACAATGGACGACTATGGCCCTAAAACGATCCAGCCCACTCGTTCGCCGGCAAGTGTTCCGCATAGAGTTTGGGGTTGTGGCGAGGCTGAGGCGTCATTGATGTGAGAGAATTAGCGGATCGGCCCGAAAACGCCTGAATGTTGCAATTTCCGCACGAAGCTAGTAACGTACAATACACCGCTTTCAATTGCCTCTCAAGAATTCTTTTGATCTATAATAGCTATTCGGTGTCTGCAAGGTACGGGATGGCACACGACCGAGTTCATCTGACTAGAGCTTGAGCTGGTGTGCGAGCACGCTTGATCTCTTCCCTTTACCACTTTGTTCTCTCCTTAATCAAATCAGCTGCCTTCTCTGCAACAGCATAAACTGTTGTGCATGTATGTGTTGCAGGCAAAAATGGAATGATGCTCGCATCCACCACACTCAATCCTTTGATGCCATGTACCAATAGATCTGTACCAACAACGCCACCTAGTTTCTCTGGCAGCATCGAAGCAGTCCCCGAAGGATGATATAATGTCGGTTCAAATGTCTTACGCAAGAAAGTAGCGATATCTGCATCGCTCGTCACATTCATACCCGGCGCAACTTCCACGGCACCAAGACTGGCAAAGGCGTTCAGACTGTTGAACTTGCGACTGAATTGCACTAGCGAGATGGCCAATTCTATGTCAAGCGGGTTGGAGAAAGTACGGTAGTCGACCACAGGTTCGCTCAATGGACTTGTCGTATTGATGTTGATAGTGCCACGGCTGAGGGAACGCTCCAACGCGCCGCTGCCGGCAGGACCAACGCCGATCAGAATCTCGTATGCTGCGCTGTCGTCTCGTGCGAGCAGCTTAGCTGTAAGCACTTGTTGGGCTTTAAATCCCGCGATGAGTGTTGATTCATACGTAGAGGGGAGATACGGAGTGGGATCTTGTGCAGCCGTAGCATCCACAAGACCCTTCCACTTCTCTCCTGCGACGACCTTGAGAGGAAGAAATGCAACTTGATTTCCTCTGGCGACTGTGAGTGGGCCGGTTCGGGAGGACTCATACTCCTTCTTTGCTTCCGCGTAGAACGTCGCGTTGGTTACCAGGTCGCCCTGCGCAGGTGAAGGGACATTCTTCGTCCACTTCCATACTGCTCCACCCGCTGGATGATCTTGGAAGTTTGCTCCGACACCTGGCAAATCCTTTTTGATAGGAATGCGAGCTTTCTCGAGCACTGATCTTGGTCCAATGCCGGATCTCTGTAAAAGCCAAGGTGTCCAAACAGCTCCGGCTGCTACGATAACTTCTTTCCTTGCTTTTACGATAATCTTCTCCGCACTTCCTCCTCTCTTGATAACATTCACCCCCACCGCTGCCAGTTTATCGTTGAGGACTACCTCAGTCACCCTGAATCCGGTTTCTAACACATAGTTTGACCGGTTCTTGAACGGATCGTAATGCGCAGTCCTTGCATAACTCCTTGTCCTTGTCACCGGGTCTAGTGGCGAAGGTGCTTGAATTGCCCCTATCGCCTCACCTGAACGTGTCAATCTCTGCTGCACCATTGTATGTATGCAAGATCACTCACCACCTGCTGCCTCTTTCGGCCTCTTCACACCCAGCTCTTTCCACGCAGCCCGGACATATTCTTGCCCAGGGAATTGATATGGCGGGAAACTGAGTTGAATGTCTCCCTTGCCGCCATATGCGGCTTTTACGTCATACGTCCAGTCGTATCTGTCCCTCAATTCGTCGCTAGGAGGCGTGAACGTGACACTCTTTCTGAAGTATGGAAGTAAAGAGGCAAAATTCCATCCTTTGTTGCCTAGAGATTCCCATGCGTCGTAATCGCTCTTGCTTCCACGGTCAAAGAACATGCCGTTCACACCACTCCCGCCGCCTACGAGAGCGCCTACAAGCACGTTGCGTGTGATATTGAGCAGACCGGGGATAGGAAGGGAGGTTATGTTATAGAAGCGAGAAGGATCGAAATTGAGGGTATCAGAGGGGAGGAGGATGGCCGGATTGTCATTGAGGTAGTTGTATTCGAGGACAAGGACAGTGTCTACACGTAGTCAGGAGAGTGTTCGGTGTATATAGCGACGAGGTCTGATGTACGTTTCCCATTTTCTGTCAAGCGATTGGCGACCGTCAAACCTGACGTACCGCCGCCGACGATTACGTAGTCGTAGGTGGCATTTGGCAGTAACTCACTGCTTGCTGCAGTGGCTGCGATTAAAGACAGGAACAATTTAGACAACATCTTAAAGCTCAGATTGACTTGCTTCCGATACCAACAGATCAACCCTTCCTCAGCTTAAGTACAACCTAGGTCCTCGTCTTACTAATCTTTCTCAACTGGGCGTAACACTAAGGGCTGACAGTTGAACGGTCGATGCCCTGGCGGTGTATCAATTCGCATGGTGTAAGCCACACGAATACCTACGATCCGCCCGGTCCTCATCATAAACATAGGGGAGGTGGGCGTACATGCATAGCACCTTACCGCATTCGGGGTAATTTTCATGCCGGCAAGCGATCCATGCGGTCTCAAATCTCACCACTCATCTTGCCGAGACGGGAGAATGGTTGGGAAAGGAAGGTAGTGCATCTAGCATACGGAGCGAGGGCTTATTGCGGAAGAAAAAAAAACAATTTACGCTTTGGGCCTTGGAAGCCCAACTCGGTCAGATCCAATTACACTACACTCTTTAGCGCCACAGAGGCTGGGCGCAGCTCGAAGATCCCGTGTAGTGCATGGGCGTTCGGCGGTCTGAAACATGGCCAGAATGGACTTCGTGACTGTCATACAGGGGTTTCGCGCAGGACAGACCAGGGATCGCTGTGGGCGTGAACAGTGTCAGGGAACAATTGACCTCTGACCAATTACAATGTACTTTGAGTTTATCGCATGCATTAATTGAGCGTTGGCAAGAGTTGGTTGGCGGACGCGATTCTGCACAGCAATCTGTAGCGTGGAGGACGAGCTTGATGTCCATGCACTGGCTTTCCACTGCAATATCTTGCCTCAGATGAACAGGTTGACCGCCCATGGCAGACCCTGATAGTCGTTCTCGAACACGCTTACTCAAGATTCACTCACTAGCAAGACATGAGATTGAACAAACAATCGAGTTCGTCAAGAATAATTTACTGTGAAGACACTCAGCGTAGCAAAGGAAGAGAAACATGCGCGTTCAATGCAAAAAGAACTACCTAGCAGACAGCTGCCACATTGCCAGACATAGTTATGTATGCAAAGTTCACTGCAATGATCAGCGCGAAAGAGAAGAGATAGAGCGACACAATGTCCGTGTTGAGGAAGTACCGGCGTGTAACCCACGTCCGCAGTCAGCGTGTTCAACAGGCCGTACTACCGTGGTCATACTCTACGAGTTACTGCTTATATAAGCAGTAAGTGACGACTGAGAGTAAATAGGTAGGTCTCGTAGCAGTAGTAGTAACTGTTTAAGAATCTTAGTACATCTATACAGTCACGTAGCTAAATGCATATGCTGGAGTTGCTCAGGGGCAGCCTTAGGGGTAGACGTTGCAGGTTGAAGAGCCAAGTCTTTTACCATGGTAATTAGGGAATTACAGCAGTACTCTGTTCTACGCTCGTAGCTATAACCCTGAGCGTCATCACCGTAATTAAATCACTCCAAGGGTGGTGGTGGCATAGCTGAACGAGGCCTATAGTAGCCGTAGTACGGCCTGTTGACCGCCCTGTCTGCAGCCTTCACTGCAATCTCTAGCGTGGGCGAGCAGATTTTAGACCAATAAAGCTACTTACATGACCGCTATTATAATTAGTCCTGCAACGCCAATGAAACAATTGGCACTGTAGTTCTCAGCTTAGACGAGCAGCCATAACCGGACTTCAAAGACCGAGACCCTAATACACGCGGGACGCGAGGCAGGTTTGGGCCTCCGTCTATTTTGTCATGCACACAAGTTCCTCCAGTGACCGTTCACTAGAGTAAGCACTTGGCTGCAATGTCTAGCCTGGAAGAGAGGATGAAATTAATTCTCATTGCTGACAAGATTACATGGATAATTGAGATAGTGCATTCTATAGCATTGCCAGATACAGAACTTTATAATTCTTTCCAACGTTTTCGCGAGTAGATGCATTTTTCTTCCTATTGCCTTCTTAGCTGCGACTCTGCAGGGCGAACCATTTGCACTGCAATTCCTGGCCTCGACGGACAGATGTAGTCGAAGGCGATGGCCTGAGCTCTCGGTCATGGAGATTAAAAAGCAAACATGCAGGTGGCTACATTGTAAAATTACGTATGGAATGCAATCTTCGGGAACCGAAATAAGATGAGAACAAAACCAATTGGATAAGAAGTTGTTTTAGCCTTGTTGTGAACCATGAACCAAAATTGGCATGGAGGATTGGGCTGAGTCCTCCGTTGCCCAAAAAATGGTTTATACTGGGATTCTTAGCCTGGGCGTGAAGAAGACCTGCAAGTCTCAAATTTGGTAAACCCCTGCCTCGTATACTGTACCATAGGATAAGAGTCTAGTGCCCAGTTAACCAGTAATGCATAGTGAGAATAGGACCCATAAACGAATCCTCCTCAAAAGTAGTGCTAGAATCGACGATGTTTATTTAAAGAAGTCCTTTGCACAGTCTTGTACTGCAGTTTTCAGCCTGGACGGACGGACGATGTCGACTTTAGTTGGCTGAATGTTCAAGTCAGCCTTTGGGTGGTTTACGGATCAGAGGTGATATTTTAGCCCGTAAAGTCTTCTTCAGTCGGGCAAATTTCGTTGAAACCAGGCAACTTTGCACTGCAATCTTTAGCCTGGAAGAGAAGTCAAGATCGAAGATGATTGGTCCAACTCTTGAGTCAGCCCTGTGGCGGCTTATCGGTGAAGCACGTACTCCAGGTGCGATTGCCTTCTTTTACACTGGAATTCCTAGCCTGAACAACAGAAGGTATGAGCTGACAGTAAGAAAGTAAGCAGACCGCGACAGAAGGTCTAAGCTGACAGTAAGAGAATTACTAGACAGCGCCACAAGGTATAAGCTGACAGTAAGAAAGTTACTAGACAGCGCCACAAGGTATAAGCTGACAATAAGAAAGTAACCGGACATCGCCACAAGGTATAAGCTGACGATAAGAAAGCAACCGGACATCGCATGCATACCTTAGCGAAGATGACCAGAAGCTGCTGCCTAGTCTAGATACGAAGCCACATTTGTAGACTAGAGCGAAACTGGACAGAAGCTGTCGTGGGTGGTAGACAAGGCCGAGAAGCTCTCTGCTGCTCTACGCTAAGAATTGCAGTGCAGGATGTCGTTGATTGGTCGCAGGGTTTTGTCTGTTCTTTTACACCTGCATGAAGTAAAGCTTCTGTTTGCCTTCTAGACTCCTCCTGCATGAAGGTAATCGCACTGCAATTCCTAGCGCGAAGGAGCAGGTCAAGCAAGCCTGATTACTGAACAGCATGCACTGTAGTGCTTAGCGCGGAAGAAGAGGGACCGATGCTCAACAGCCCATTGCTCTCGAGACCCTCAACCCGCCCATAAATGAAGTGTTTGTGCATTATGAGACGTGTCAGGACAACTGTCTGGACACCATTGTCTTCTCAAATATCGGTCAAGCCAGAAGCTCGACCGTCAACCTTTCCTAGACATACCATATAGTTAAAATCGACCTCGGGCAATCGCATGTGTGTAATTTGATCCTCATGCTCACAACGTAGTCGCGGATATGACCCCAACCTCACTGCAATCTTTAGCGCGGCAAGTTGGACGAGTCCTCAGATGAACGCCAGTGATTGGCGGGTGTAGGAATGGGGTGTCCCTGTGCCCACTGTACAGCATTTCTTAGCGGAAGGTAGATGAGTGCGATGGATGAGGCTGTACGAATGACGAGGAACAGTATCTAAGCGAACATTTGAATGTCCATATCACTCGTCATATGGTGACAGTGGGATATGCAGGAGAGCGGAAAGGATTCGAAGCGAAGCTGGGATCATGACGCGACGTCGAATAAATATTTAGCAAGGATGATCAAGGGAGGCTCCTGGGAAAATTTCACAATATTTTGGCCCCATTTTGCACTGCAATACTTAGCGCCAAAGGCTGCATGTGTGTGTGCGGCCTTGCGCCCACGCCCTCAGTCATGTGTAAGATTCACTGTAATCTCTAGCGCCAGCGAAGGGCTCGGGAGAGGAGCTGACTAATGAGATCCGCCTGGATTCGCAGATCCGCAGATTCGTACTTCGACCTGAACGCTGCCATATTTACTGATCGGTAATTAATGTCGCATGTATCGCGCAAGTGTATAGCACGAAGAACTGTAGTCGCAATTGTTTGGCGTTCTTCCGCTTTTCCTGGGTGCGGAATGAAGCCTTACGCGAGGGGACGAAAAGAGAAGCTTGAAGCAGAGAAGCAGTAAGCTAAACAATTCCGAGGGCTTTGGACAACACAGATGGAGCTGCAGTGGCTTGTAATGTTTTGCAAGACCGAGAGCAATATTGACATGCAAGGTTGGGGTTCTCTTGATGATGTTTATATTCTGCTTCTTGTTCTCCCAGTCATCGCGACGAACCCTTACAGCGCCTTGCCCATAAACTTCCTCTTGGTGTAGCTCAGCCACCACTTGCTCGGTAGGCCAGTTTCGTCTGCATACACCCTGTTCAATAACCGCGCTGCCAGCTCTTGTCTCATCTGCATGATGTATTGCCGCAAAACCTCCGCCGAGTTCCTGTCTGAGGGTGGTTCAAAGGCCTGGTTGAGAGGGAAGCCGGCGTCACCTGGGATCGCGAAGTTGTTGTCGAGAGCAATGTTGTTGACCGACTGAAAGCATGTTAGCAATTCCAGCTCATATCACCCCTTTTCATGAATCCAGATGTGGTATGCGCACCTTCTCGGCCTCTCTCCTGCTCATACTTGGCTTGATCTTGCTCAGTACCTCGCTCACGAAGAGGATGCCATAGATCATGACTCGATCCGCGGGTCCCTTGATCTCAAAGTTGCGGAAGAATGTGTTGGCACGGAAGAGGGCCAGGATCTCGTCCAGTGGGTCGTATGATTCGTGTGCGGCATCGATGGTGAGCTCTGTGACATCGGCGGGGAGAGCCGGTAGCTGGATGGCCGGGCCGCGGGTGCGTGTGCGGAGAGGAAGGAGGGCGAAGTTGCCTGATACATGTGTGAGGGCCCATACTTTTGCATGAGTGTGTCAAGGGCTATACCATACCAATCAGCTGCTGGTTTGGCTCATCGAGGAAGACGGAGTGGTAGGCCTGGTGGGGTATGTTAGCACTGCCCTCGCATGCGCGCGCATGGACGCATTTAGAGTCATTGAGAAGCTTCGGGAGCGTACCGGCATCTTGTATATGTGCTAGCCGAGTTCTTCGGAGTATTATGTCGAGGTTTAGCGGTGGGCGGAGGTGTCGACGTAGCTCCGCATTGATGTCTTGGGTCGACGTGCGGCCATAGGGCTGAGCCGCGGGGGTGACTAAGCCGCGACTTGCCAATCAACGCGTCCACCAGCGCGAACGCTGAACGCGTCGAACACAACTTTGAGCCTCTTTCGACAGTTCGCCGCTGTGGGCGTACAAAATAAATAACAACAACACGTCACTGAACTTCACCACATCTCATTCCACGCCTACATCACCCACCATGTCGGACTTTGAGGACGAGATGGATGTTGATGCGCCCGTCGCAGACAACTCCATAAGTTTTGGCGGGGACCAGAAGAAGGGCAAGCGAAGTGCTGCGAACCTGCCTGTAGAAGCCGAGGATTCACTGCCCTGGTAGAGTGCTCGGATTGGTCTGCGCAACCAATTGCTGATCTCCTGCAGGGTCGAGAAGTACCGACCAACTTCACTCGACGATGTGGAGGGCCACAAAGATATAATTGCGACCATCAACAAGTTTGTTGACTCAAATGTAATGTCACAGATGCCGTGTACGACATGCTAGCTGACATCCACAGCGGTTGCCCCATCTTCTTCTCTACGGCCCACCAGGAACCGGTAAAACATCGACAGTCCTTGCCCTTGCACGACGCATATACGGAAACAAGAACATGCGCCAAATGGTGCTGGAGTTGAATGCTTCCGACGACAGAGGTATCGACGTAGTACGAGAACAAATCAAGACCTTCAGCAGCACGAAGCAGATCTTCTCAGCCGCACCAAAAGCTGGTGACTCTGCACTGGCTACTTTCAAGCTCATTATCCTCGACGAAGCGGATGCTATGACTGCGACGGCTCAAATGGCTCTCCGAAGAATCATGGAAAAGTACACGGCAAATACGAGGTTCTGCATTATTGCCAACTACACACACAAGCTCTCGCCGGCACTGCTCTCTCGATGTACGCGATTTCGGTTTTCGCCGCTCAAAGATCAGGACATCCGAAACCTGGTCGACAAGGTCATCGAAGACGAGAAGGTCAACATCACACAAGACGCTGCGAGCTCGCTCGTGACCTTAAGCAAGGGCGACATGAGGAGAGCATTGAACGTTTTGCAAGCATGTCACGCTTCAAGTACGCCACTACAGCCACCTGGAAAGCCAGCGCCAGATCCGAACACGATCGAGCGAGACGAAATCACACAGACTACCATCTACGACTGCATCGCTGCGCCACATCCCTCCGACATCAAGTTCATTCTTGAGACTTTGCTGTCAACACAGGACATGACGCAGTGCTTAAGGACTGTCAACAATCTCAAGACCATGAAGGGCTTGGCTTTAGCGGACATCCTGACAGCCGTCAGTGAAGAGTTAGTGACCAATGACGTTCCACCCCAGGTCATGGTCACTTGGATGTCAGGATTGGCAGACATTGAGTACAGATTGAGCGGCGGTGGTAGTGAAGCAATCCAGACTGGCGCCGCGATTGGTATTGTGAGAACGGGTGTCGAGCTTCTGGAAACTGGGAAGAAGTGAAACAGTCTGGGAAAGAGAGTCCGAGAAACGGACGCGAAGGGAAAGCGTAACGATCATAAGAGACGAATTGTCGTCCAAGCGTAGAATACGATACCACTTTTTGGCCACCAGCTGGACCCAAAACGCGCTAGTCATTGTTTCACGCGTCAGCGTGCGGGGCCACAACACTGACATAACCACAGCCAGTCGTATACTAGTCGCGTAATCAGGCAGCTCATACTTTCCATCTAGGATATAAAACATTGCTCGCGCCACCTTCTCCAAGCCTACATCACTTGCCCAGAGTGTCCCTTCTACCACTTCTCGACTCAACCCATCTCTAGGCTCCAAGTTCCAAGGATCATCTGCAAGTCTCTATATCCAGCATTAATTCAAGTTCATGGATGATGACGGTTGAAAACAAACGCAAGTCAAGGTCGTCGATGTCGCCTGTGAGTAGATGATCACAACCACTCTCAATGTAAACTAATATGTACCAGCAATCATCAACTCAGCCCAAGCGGCGCCCTAGTGTTCGAAGTAGAGCAGATGTGACGACTCCTGGTACAATTCCACAGTGCCCAACTACCTCACCCGTGTTTTCCGCCCAGAACCCGCGTCCGGCCCGATGGCGCAAGTCTGTAAGTTAATGAGTTTATCCAAGATGCTATATCAGAGAATTGACAGATCACGATAGCATGCTGAGGCACGCCCGCCTGTCTTGGATTCGCCTGTCTTGAAATCCATATATAGGTCACCTTCCCAAGAGCCTGAGCCAGTCCCGCGCTACGGGCTTCGATCTCGACAGCAGCAACAGCCACAGGAGCGGCAACGCCAGGAAGGCATTGAGCTACGATTCTCCTTCTCACACCCCGCAGATGAAGAGGATCCCACTCCAGAGGTGGGTTTACGTCGAAACGTCTTCCGAGAGGCGCAAGAGGCTCGTACCAGTATTGAGGATCCTGAAGTCGTGAACCGAAGCTTCTCCAACTTGTCCGTTAATCAAGATGCGGTTACAAAGGTCTCTCCATATCGAGCGCGCTCCGTCACGCCTACCAATGGCCCTCGCCCTCGTGTTCCATATGAATCCAAGGCAAAGGCAACTGCAGTCTGGGCTCACCAGACCTCTCAACAGAGGCGCTCGCGATCTCCGCAATCTGAACCCGTCGCTACGATCCGTATGCCCACCATTCCCGAGCTCAGCAAGCCCAAGCGCGGAGGCTACGGCTTCAGCTACTCCGACAGCAACTTCTACGATTCTGACGAGTACCCGGATACAGAGGTTGGCTCTGAGACCAATTTCACTCCCGAAGAGAATTCCGCATCAACACCCGATCCAACATTCCCGAATCCCTCCTTCGAAGAGGCAACAGTTAAGAACTCCTCCTTCGGAGAAGATCTCGTCGTCGTTCGAGAAGTTGGCTCGTTCCATTATGCGCGCCCCCAGCGCCGTCTTCCTTGCACTACCGCTACGTGTGAAGATACGCTTCGTCTTAAGGTGGCTGCTAAGAACCTGCTCAAGTACAAGGAATCACAGGACGTGTATGGTGCGCTTGTTGGCCGGGTCGAGCGTATGGTGCAGAACACTCTCAAAGACAATGGCGGTGACACTTCAGCAGCAATGCTCCTTTGCGCTTCCAAGCTTCTGAACTTCCTCCAGAGGATGGCCGTGGAGCGTCTCGAGCATGGAGAACCTGCGACCCTAGTGACCCATGAGATCCACTGGGCCAAGTGGCTGGTGGAGGCTAGCCACACTGGCGTCATGCATCTTAAAGGCGTGGGATGTGAGTGCCAGCCGGATTGGGAGGAGTAGAAACAGAGGACCGGTGGGAACAGGATTGATATGCGAGATGAAGATGATACCCGCGTACGCCCGATAGTGGGGATACAGCAAATCTATGAATGACTGAAGTCGCTGGTCAACGCCGGTGTCACTGACACAATACAAGCACTTTGGAGACGCCCATCGGAACCATACATCCGTCTCTACCAACTGGGTTATGCAGGAGTACTGATAGAGGCGGCTGAAATATATTTGCAAACACTGACACTTATGATCTTCAGCGCAGAAAATGGGAAGAAAGGCATGGCTGCTGAAACGAATGTGCCAGGACCTACACCGACCAACCTGTCCCCGGGATCGATATCAATCATGCCCTTCCCGCCATCAGCTCCTGCACTGCCATCAAGTCTCCGCCCCGCCACCACAGCTGGCATCAGTCTAGGCGCAATATCGGGGGCTGCCATCCTGATAGCTCTTATGATTTGTGTTTGCAAGTGGCGCCGAGACAGGAACCAGGCCAGAGCCACTGATACAAATCAAGAAGTTACTACTCCACGACACTCACGGCAGAATTGCAGGGAGATGAAGAGAAAGGAAACGGCGCCAGTGAGCTCGAAACTCAAGAAGCTATCTGCGAATTACCCAGCCCCGTTCCGGAATCGGAAGCTGCAAGCACGTGGAAGGGCCGCCGAGGTCTTGAAGATGAGCTGATTTCGGTATACTGAATTGAATCTGAGCACCGGAATACTCACTTCTGCCATACAACGATTCTTGCAGATGTTCCGCATTAGCACCGAGGGCTATGCTGCAAGCTTGTACCTTCATACGAGCATCTACACAATGGTGGACGGAGCAAGTCATATGATTGTGCCGTGTTTTATAACATCATCGAACGCGAACTTGTGATTACCCATAGCCTATCTTCTCCGTCTCTAAAGTACCAGCCTGAAGTGTTCCAAAGTACTTTGAATCATCAACAGGGTTTCCATGTCTAATCATGCCAACCGATCTAGTGAACGACATGTAGAGCGACGTTCGACGCAGCACATGACAAAATAGTCTGCTTAGAACGTGCCGTTCGACACTGGCGGCAAGATGCATGCGGAAGTTGCATTGTAGCAGAGACTTTCTGAGTATAGCACTAATACGAAACATGAAAGAAGCCAGTTATTTAAAGACTTCAGCGGGAATACTCGAATGCGGCCCTCAGCGCAGCACCTATTACCGTCCCGTCCGTCTAAAATCCAAGCACTATTAAGTAGCAGCTGTGATGCTTTACATATGCCTAAAAGGCTTCAAGGATTCATTAGTCCTCCATAATGTGCTTGAACGACCTTGGAGATAAACAGCCTTACCTACCAAAGTTATCATAGCGGGGCTACATTTCTTCAGGAGAACAAGAATTATCGCACTTCCTGGTGGAAATCTATCTCTCTCCTCTCTCTCTCTCTCTCTCTCTCTCTCTCTCTCTCTCTGTCCTCTGTCTTTCATGTTCAGCCGTATACCGCACCTGTACTGATGCATGTCAGCTAGTATCTGTGTTAGACAGCATGGCCTTGAAGATAGTTCGGTTGGCCAGGTCTACATACAGACGCCTCCTTCACGCTAGGAATTGCAGTGAAATCCGCTGCCTTCTTACGGCTACGCGGCGCTAATGCAGCTTACTTCTGCGGTCCAATAGATATTGCGAGGCATGACACTAGGACCCCTGGTCAATTCAATCTGTAAAACGTCATTTATGCATGTCAGATGTAAGCCGCCACTGGTATTGCACAACTTGCCCGGCGCCTCAAAAAGCGTGGAGAGGCAGAAGGTCAGCTTCACCTAGTAGATGTTGCATTATGCGCCCAGCTGCTCGACATTTTATGCCACAATAGAATGTGTCGTGTGATTAGGGAGGCGCCGTAGATTCCTGAATGCTTCTTCCAACCCGAGGCAGACTGTTAAGGGCTCTGGTGGAAGACACGATCCCGATACAGCTTCCCAAATGCAACATCGCACATACAACAAACGCAACTATTCATCTTGATGCTCGAAAATGGTATCATTTTACAACTGCTAATCCCATAGAACTTATGCTTACTGCGCCTTGCCCGCCTTACCTGCCTTCTTTCCACCCTTTCTCCTTGACTTCGACTCGACCTCAACCCCATTCTTGCCCGCACCGGTAGCGGTGGTGACCTTAACCTCAGCAACAACGGGCGCCTCCTTGGCCTTCTTCTCTTTCTTTGCCTTCACGGGCGTCTCGTCCTCCGTCGTGGCATCTCCGTTCTGCTGCACCTTCTCATTCTTCTCCTTTGCAACACCGTTCGACTGTGGTGACTTGGGTGGTGCAGCCTTGGGATCTTTGCCCTTCCTGCGCATGGTCTTTGCCTGGGCACGTTTCATGTACATCTCATCCTCGTCGTCGTCGAAACCGCCAAAGTCGGACTCTTCCTCGTCCTCACCAATCGGTGTCTTGTCCACGACTTCGACTGGGATAGAGCTGTCTGATGGCTTCTGCTTCTTGTTGCTGGTGGACTCGTTGACGCCAACTGCGTTCGCGGGCGTGGGGCCGATCTTTTTGAACTTTGCGACGAAGAAGCCGTCGACGTTGTAGGTGTGGGGATAGTAGCGTCTGGTCATCTAATGAAGTGTCAGTATGAGTAGACCCAAGCATGTTCATGGTGAACGTACCTTCATCGAAGGATGGAAGACCTTTCCAGCAATGTTTGTGAAACCCTCCTTACCGAAAGTCAAGCCGGTCTCCACGAGCTTGACGTTCGGCCTCTTGTTCAGCGCATACTGGATGACCTGCTCGTTCTCCTCAACGGTAACCGAACAGGTAGAGTAGACAATGTATCCACCAGTCTTGCTATGGTGGTCCACAGAGTCGATGGCGGACAGAATAAGCTGCTTCTGCAGATGGGGGAGCTTCATGAAATCGGCCTCGGTTTTGTTCTGAGGAGTTGTTAGCAAAGGAATTGCATGCGGAACATCAGCAACTTACTGTCTTGACACTGGCATCCTTTGCGATGACACCGGTACCTGAGCAGGGCGCATCGAGCAGGACGCGGTCAAAGCCACCCATGACCCTGGGGAACTCGAGTGCAGAGTAATGGCATACGACGCTGTTCCTGACACCCAGACGATGGATGTTACCGATCAGACCCTTCGCACGATCCTTGTTTGCATCGTTGGCGAATATGCAGCCGGTGTTCTTCATCAGAGCAGCAATATGCGTCGTCTTACCACCGGGCGCAGCAGTCATATCGAGCACACGCTCATGCTCTTGGGGCGCAAGAGCCATGACGGGCAAGAACGAAGAGGCTGCTTGAAGGATGTAGTGACCAGCAAGATATTCGGGTGTGGCACCCAGAGGCACTTGCGACTCGAAGATCTGCAGACCGACCTTTGACCATTTTCCGACAGGCTCAAGCTGTACGCCACGGTTGATGAGCGACTGCGCAAGTTCTCTTCGATGTGTGCGGAGGGTGTTTGTGCGGATCACGATGGGTCGGGGTGTCTCGTTGGCTTCGAAGAAGGCGAAAGCTTCGCGAGCAGGGAAGAGGTTGAGCAGCTTGTCAGCGAGGAACTCCGAGTAGCCGTAGTATGCGCAGATATCCTTCAACATCTGCGCCCTGTATTCTGTCCTTGATCGACCGGGTTCTGCAAGGTTCTTGAAGTCGTCCAACACTCGGACTGTGTCGTTCAGTCGTGTTCGCAGGAGCTGCACGTCTTGCGTGACAAGGTTTGTGATCGGGCGGCCCTCCTCATCCACGTCATCAAGGACCTTTGGTCGCTCTCCAGCGATGTTCGTCTGTAGGTTCGCCTCCTCGAGTTCAGCGGCTGCCTCTGCTTCCTCCACTGCCTTTTGCATATCGAGCTTCCGCGACAGACCCTCAATGTTTGCTGCCGTGAGCTTCTCCTCAACGTCGTCCTCGTCTTCCTCATCTGACCACATGCCAACCTTCTTGATCTCATCGTCTGAGTCCATGATGTCCGAACCAGAGTCTGCAAAGTCGTCATCGTCGAGCTCGATGTCCTCCTCATCTTCCGATGCACTGCCCAGCGCGTCTAGTCCAGTGACTTTAACATTTGCCATCTCGACATCTTCTGCGCTATCGGACATGACATCGTCGTCGTCTTCAGCCGGTGCAGGCGCAAATTTCTTCACGGGCTTTCCGTTTACTCGCGTCTTTGCCCCATTGACCGCAGGAGCTTTCTTTGATTTCGGCGCTGGCACTGGTGCCTTGAGAGCCTTCTTCTCCCTCGCATCTGTCCTGCTCCTCTTCGTTCGCTCGGGGACCGCAGCAGGCGGCGCATCCTTTCGCTTCCGTGTAACGAGAGATTCGTCCAATGGTTCAGGCGGACCTTGCTTCTTCATGCGACGACCGACACCCATCTTGGCGGTAGTAGAGTAGGGTTTGGGTGGTGAGGATTGTGTGTATTGTGTTCGGCGCTGGAGAGCTCAGGCGCGATCGCGAACTTTTGGAAATTTTAGTAACTTTTCGGCGGGTCGCTCTTTCCCGCGGCCAGACCGCCTTCGGCACCGGCAGAACTCTTCGGCGTGGTCCCGCAGCCCACCAGCGTCATCGTCGAGCTCCTGTTTACAAGCTCCAGTACTGCACGCGCTCTCATCTACACGTACTTACGATCTCAAACTAAATTTGCATTGAGAGGAAAGCCAATCTCGCAGCCTTGCGATCAAACCTCACCATGTCCGAACTTGCATTCTGCAAGTCGTTCCTCACAGCGCTCGACGCGCGCCCAGCAAAGCTATCTTCAGACCACATCGCAGATGCACGGCAATATCCCGCACAAGGTGCCGTACGTCTCTACCCATATTCCATAAAATAATCCCCAACTCCTTGCCAACCCAACTAACACCTTCACAGTACATCCTCCCGCGCCTCCCCCACCCCCCTCACCCAACCCGCCCGCTCCCCAAAAATGCCGCCTCCAGCTCTTCCTCCTCATCCCTCACCGTCTCGCTCAAGCCCATGAAGCCCACGCACCCAACAATCCCGCTGACCGACATCTCCACCTCCAAAACATCCGTCTTCGACCTGAAATCCCACTACGCCGCGCAGTCCAGCATACCGGCTAGTAAAATAAAGATCCTGTACAAGAAGAAGCCCGTCGCGGATTCTAAAACGGTCAGCGAAGTAATTGGCCAGGATGCTGCCGGCGAGGTGGAGTTTGGGGTTATGATTATGGGAGGCGCCGTTGCGTCGCCGGCGGCGGGGACGCCAGTTACGAGTCCGCCTGCGGTGGCTCCGAGTGAGGCCGAGAAGGGGCTGGCGGGTGAAGCAGCGCCGGTGGCTGTGGGGCCGAGTGGGAAGGAGGTGGTGGCTACGGAGGAGTTTTGGTCCGATTTGAAGAACTTTGTTATGCAGAGGACGAAGGATGAGGCTGAGGCAGAGAGCTTGACGAAGGTGTTTAGAGGGGCTTGGGAAGACAGCAAGTGAATCTGGCTGGATATAGAAACTGTGCGATTCCAACTGCATGATCATGTGCGTTGATGGCAAGACAGTCACAGCATACAAGCGTCATGATACCAATGGATGTTCATTAATGCAATTTCTCGTTCTCAATCGCTTGCCAAAAACACGTGTGGCTCGAGGTTGCAAAAGAGACCGGCAGCACTACTTCTCTCCAACTAGTGTGTTATCATGTTTCGTGCCCTCCGCATCTTCTGCTACAACCGAGCTTCGCTCGTTACATCGTGCCGCTCAAATTCAGCATCCAAGCTAGCTTTTTCGCGAAAACGACAATGCGACAAGACGCTTAGCGGCCCTTGGAAACACGGCTCTTGATGGTCTCCCACTCGATGTCGTCGGCGTCGTTGGCTTGGATATCGGCTGCGAGACCGTTGAGGGCGCGCTTGATGGCTTCCTTGGAGGACGAGTACATCATGCGGGGCTGTGGAATGTTAGCGGGTCGCGCTCTCAGACATACACTTCTCAACGTACGTATTGCGGCGAATCATCGGGTACCCAGCTGATGAAGGTAATCTTGTTCCTAGTGCCCTCGCCAGACTCGAGCTCGTACTCGACATCGAATACGGCATAACGGCCGCCGATGCCCTCCTTGCCCTTGCGGTCTTTTGCTCTTTGCGTTCAGGAGCTTCTCGCGGAAGACCTCGAAGTTGGCCCTCTTGGAAGCTCTCCTCAACGACAATCTCTTTCCAGTCGTCGCTGATCTTGTAGATGATCCACTTGATGTCCTTACCGAGCTTGAGCTCGTTGAAGGTGCTGATGCACTCAGGGCTGACGGAAACACTGGGTGGTGTTAGTGGGTGCATGCACGTGGAGACCTCCGTCGTTGTGGGGTCGCGCGATCAGGAGATGGCGAAGGGGGCGGAGAGCTATTGGGCGGTGTAGTGTTTGGCAGGCGGTACGTACCCAGATTGAGCCTGTCGTGACCTTGTCAGCGTGTATCGAGCTTATACAGACCTTAGGCGCACTTACCATGATGTCGTGTGTGGGGAGAGGAGGTTGTTAGAGGTTTGATGGGGCACGTAGTGCTTTATCTACGCTCGTCTGCCTGTTAGCGTCGTCATCGGCTGCGACTACCATGTGCACGAGTGCGGCGGTGATTGATGGGAGCCTGTTTGCGTCGGGGTGTGCTTACGTGGATTATGAATAGAGCTGCGACGTGCAATTGTTGTTGCGTGGCAGGGTGCGAGCTGAGATGGAGAGGACAGGGTGAGGTTGCTGAGGCTGATGAAGTTAGCGGGGCAATTTGAGCACGCTTTGGTGGGGGTCCTTTCTTGCTGCCATGCCGGCAGGAGCGCCCCGGCCAGCGTCACGACCCCTGTTCGGCATAGTACCCACTCATGCCCAACATGACTTCGCAGACCAAGAAACTGCTTTTGTTTGAACTTGTTTACATTGTCTTGATTGCTTTTGCATCTTGTCCACCCCATGAGCAATTCTAGATACACAGTATATTATACAATAGAACCCAAAGACAACCAAATATGCTGCGCTTTTGCAAGAGATCATTAAGACGTGAGCGGAGTGACCAGATAATCGTATACATAAAATCGCTGGGAGAGATTCGATGACTAAGAGAGTATTGCTGAACAGGGGTATCAGAGGAACAGGAAAGTGGCGCTAAGATTCCATTTCTAGAATCCCATGCCTCCCATTCCTCCCATACCACCCATGCCGCCCATACCCGGAGGTGGGCCTCCAGCCTTCTCCTCAGGCGCCTCGACGATGGCAACCTCGGTGGTACCGAGAAGCGATGCGACACCGCTGGCGTCTACAAGAGCAGTGCGGACAACCTTGAAGGGGTCGAGGATACCGGCAGAGATCATGTCGACGTACTCGCCCTTTGCGCTGTTGAAGCCCTTGTTGAAGTCGCCCTTGTACTCGTCCATGAGTTTGCCAACAACGACGGAGCCCTCAGCACCAGCGTTCTCGACAATCTTGCGTGCGGGGTGAGTGATGGCATTCTTGACGATGGTGATACCGAGCTGCTGGTCGAAGTTGTCGGCCTTGACGTCGCCCAATGCGTTGGCAGCGGCCTTGAGCAGACCGGTACCACCTCCGGGCAGGATACCCTCCTCAACGGCGGCGCGGGTGGCGTTCAGGGCATCTACGATGCGATCCTTCTTCTCACCAACCTCGACCTCGGAGGAACCACCGACCTTGATGACGGCAACACCGCCGGAGAGCTTGGCAAGACGCTCCTGGAGCTTCTCCTTCTCGTACTCAGAAGTGGTGGCATCAGCCATGACGCCGCGGATCTGCTCGCAGCGCTGGCTAACGGCATCCTTGGAACCCTCGCCGTTGAGGATGACGGTGTCCTCCTTGGTGATAGTGATGGAACCGGTGGATCCGAGCATGTCAGGGGTAGCCTTCTCGAGCTTGATGTCAAGGTCGTCACTGAAAACGGTGCCGTTGGTCAGGACAGCAAGGTCACCGAGGATGGACTTGCGGTTGTCACCGAAGCCGGGAGCCTTTACGGCAGCGACCTGGAGCTGACCACGGAGCTTGTTGAGAATGCAAACAGCAAGCGCCTCGCCGTCAATGTCCTCAGCAATGATGACAAGGGGGCGGCGGAGCTGTTGCGAGGCCTCAAGGGCGGGGACAATGTCCTGGACGGCGGAGATCTTCTTCTCAGAGAGGAGGATGAGGGGCTTCTCGAACTCAACCTTCTGGGTCTTGGTGTCGGTGATGAAGTAAGGCGAGATGAAGCCACGGTCGAACTTCATACCCTCAGTGACCTCGAGCTCGTCCTCAGTGGTCTTGCCCTCCTTAACTGTGATGACACCCTCCTTTCCGACCTTCTCCATCGCGTTCGACAGGAGCTTGCCAATATGTGTATCCCCGTTGGCGGAGATGGTGGCGACCTGGGAGATCTCCTCGCTGGTGGTGATGTCCCTCTTGTTTGCCCTCAAGTACTCAACGACGGCCTCGACAGCAGCCTGGGTTCCTCGCCTCAGGTCCATGGGGTTGCAGCCAGCGGCTACGTTCTTGACCGTCTCGGAGAAGATGGCGCGGGCGAGAACAGTGGCGGTAGTGGTACCGTCACCAGCAACCTCGTTGGTCTTGGAGGCGACATCCTGGAGCAGACGAGCACCGAGGTTCTCGAACTTGTCCTGGAGGGTGATGGCCTTTGCTACCGTTACACCGTCTGGAAGTTCATTAGCGCAAAGTCTCGAAATGCTGGGAATAGGAATGCGCACCCTTTGTGATCTTGGGCGAGCCGTAGCTGGACTCGATCAGAACGTTGCGTCCCTTGGGACCCAGTGTGGTTGACACAGCCTTTGCCAGTGTGTCGACACCCTTGAGAAGGGCTGCTCGTCCCTCAACACCGAACTTGAGCTCCTAGAATCTTGTGAGTCTTCCTGCAACAATACATATAGTCATGTGACCAATAACGCATACCTTGTGGGCAAATCTTTGCTGCTGGATGGCATAGCTCGTCGACCGAAGCTTGGAGCTCTGGTTGAGGGCCGAAGTCCGCGCCCGCGATGCAAAAGCTCTCTGCATTGTGGAGGAATTGAGATGTGTGTGTGGTGCGTCGGATGCTCAAACTGTGATCCTAGACTCCCGCTGAATGCAAGATGACAAGGAAGAGAGATTAAGGTGGAGGATGAGGTGAATGGCGGATCTGGCGGTGTCCCAGCGGTTGACGATGCATGCTGCTAAAAAATCAAGAGCGAGGTCATAGCGCGGTCCGTGCGCTCTGACATTTCTGGATCTTTCGGTGGGTTGCATCGTGGGTTAGCCTCGGCTTTGCTTCCGACGCTCGTTAAATCCGACCTCACATCATCATCGCACCCATCCAGATGATTGGCAGACGCAAGCTCATCTATTTGTTTATGATGAGACGCTAAACCAGAGAACCAACACTACATTCTCAATTGTTCAAACTGCAACTGTCAATTACCTCAACCTGACCCTCTCGAATTCTCATCAAACTTCCGGCTGATCAACAAAATATCCCCATTGTTCTCCTTGATGCAAAGCCCAAACGCCTCAAAGATCTCCCACTCAGACATCATCCTAATCGCCCCCATCTCCGCCATCAAAAGCTTCATGCTTCCCCAGACCGCCTCGCTAAACTCGTCCAACAGCCATATCTTGCCCCTCTTCCCGTCCGAAAGCGGTCTCAATTTCTTCTTATTCAACGCGTTCATGATCCTGGCCATTGGTAATGTTTTCCCCGGCAGCCTGTCCATCGCCTCGGCGGTCGTGATTTCAATTTGTTGTAGCCATTCCCTGGCTTCGGGGGCGTTGTTCTGGTGTATCAGGTGGTACAGCACATCGGCGTGTTTACCTTGATCCTTGTATCTCAAGATCAGCGGCGTGCTCCATTCTTCTCCAGACGCTGGCCATCGTGTGTCACCGTGTGGGATACGAGCTAGCTGTTCCTCCGTGAATCTCTTCCTGCCGCTTGGGGCGACCTTCTTCGGCTTGGGTGTGTCCAACTTGAGTTCGCGAACGGAGAATGTAGGTCCGAGAAGATCCGCCAAGCTGGGAACATGTTTTTGATGTACTCGAGGTCTGCTTCTAGTTCTTCCGCGGCTCTTGGGTCGTGGAGATTTCGGTTTATTGTGGCCAGACTTCTCGTATCGCGCAGGTGAGATTTTGACTCGACCATAGATTTTATATATTGGCGATGCACCGCGACTACGACTGCGTGTATTGCCCCGATTCTTAAAGTGTCTCTCGTTCTTGTCACTACCCCGTTGGGACCTTGGTGAAGGAGATGGACTATCCCTGAACACTGGTGCTCTACTTCTGTGACGGCTACGGCTTGCTTTCCTGTACGCAGGCGCTCGATTGCCGTGTCGGCCATGAGAGAGACTTCTGTGGCGACCGCGAGAAGGACTTATGCGACGGCTACGCCTTGGTTCTTTGTACACCGGCGCTCGACTTCTTTGCCGACTTCGGCTTCTGCTCACCGCTGGTGAATCAACAAACACTGGTGGCTGGCTGGGGAGTCGCCTTGCAGAGGGGCTTCTCTTCTTCGAAGGATGATAGAGACGGGATCTAGCCTGATGTCGCGAAGGAGTCCTCGATCGTGAGTAGCGTCCTGAATCGTACCCTCGCCAGCTACGAGATCTACTTTGCGAGCGACTGTACCCTCCAACAGAAGAAGAACTTTCTGACAACTTATCGTGGGGCACCCTCTTCCTTGGCAGTCGCCGTGAAGATGCCCGTCTCGCGGTTCGTCCACGTTCTGGATACCGACGCGGCGGTAGACGACTCCTTCGGCGACTGCGACTGCGGCTTGGGGAGAAGTCTTGAAATACTGGCGTGCGATCTCGACTGCGACTGCGACTACGACTGCGACTGTTGCTCGGAGACGAGTCTTCGAATACCGGTGTATGATCTCGATACATTATGCCGATTTGCTTGTACGATGTGGGTGTGGAATGAGGAAGTAATGAGATAGGTCTTGATCACTACGAGGATGTATATAACCAGGTAAATAGAAAACGCTGAGGATTGTTTGCTGTTCACAGGTACAGCACAGAACCATGACAGCGAGCGCAGCACTTGTCACCTATATGCAGATCACATCTTGTAGAATAATTCGTTCGCACTCTGGAGGAGTTTCAACCACTATCAGAGACTGGCTTATTTGACCTGTGCGTGTCTGAATAGGTCGACAGCTCATGAGCACTGTGGCCAGAACCTCACACAGTCTCACTGACCCTCTCGCGGGCCCGCCTTTTTTAACCAATAATTTACGATTTAGTTCTCAGATAAACCTATCAACTTTACCACACACACTCTTCAACGCCTCTTACTGTGACGCTTGTCCCCTAACGCCGCCATATCCTCCAACACCTTGAAATTCGCCATCGGATCATCCGCCTTACCATGTCTCTCCGGATTCATCTGCGTCATACCTGCGACATGCTGCCTCATGCCATGATGACCAAGCGGGTAGTTCGGAGAGACAGTCGCAAGCGGGTCTATAACGCCAGCGGGGAGACGGTCGCCTTCGCGGAATTTGCCGGGGCGCGGAGCGGGAGCTTGGTGTTGGGGTTGTTGGTTTGGAGGGGCGCGCTGGCTAGGCTGATGGAGTTGTCGGGGTTGATGGGGTGAGCGGGCGCGCTGGCTATGCTGATACGGTTGTTCGAACGGCAATTTTGAAAGAGCTGGATCACCAGACGCTGGATTAGCCCAGTCGCGCTGACCGACTTGTCCAGAAGGATTGGCTTGCTGGGACCAGTGTTGGAAGTCATGACGTGGTTGCGACATCCCACCTAATGGATGTTGTCCATGCTGATTGCTATATCCCAAATGATATGATGGTTCACGCTGACCAGTATGTCCATAATGATAGGATGGTTCGGCATGATGCTGCGAGAAATGCCTCGAAGATCCACGCTGGCCTGTTCGCCCTAATCGATGAGACGGCCCACCATCACCGTCAACAAATGCCTCTTTCGCTTTATCTAGCATCATTGATCCTGGGTGATTACTCTGTACGCCCCTTGAGTGTCGCGATCTGCGATGCGGAGCATCGACTCGGTGGAAGGAGTGACCACCTCCTGGCGGTATCATGGAGCCATCTTCCTGCCTGATCAACGGAGGTGGCACACTGCTTTTGAATAAACCCATGTTGTCGTCAACGTCTCTGAGCTCACGTTTGCGATAGTGGTTCTTTTTCCTGAAGTTCTGTTGGCCGCGTTTCAAGAAGATGTCGAATAGGCTCATTATAAGGGGCGCGGGGATAATAGGGTACCTTTTGTATCGTCGAGCTTTGAATGTAGAATGTTGATGGCAGATGGGTGTTACGAAGAACTGTAGTAGGTGCTTCGCGAGGAAGCTGGTGGAGGCAATTCAAGTCACCAACACTGCTGGGGAAATGAGATGATTCAGTGAAGCAGCTATAGTGGTGGCAAAGATGACCGAGCTACTTTCATTGTTTATATGCCAGAATTGAAAGGGTAACACGTGTGACTTGTCACAGCACCACGTGTGTAGGTGGAGAAACAATTTGCGCGCACTCCCATTACACTCTGACTACTTTGTTATTATCGACGAATAGCAGGTGATTTAAGCTGCATTCAAGAGGACGTTAATAGCTACTCAGTCTTCAAGGAGTAGCAAGAGTAGCTTGAAGTTCTGCGGCGTCAAATGGCATGTAGTCTATTTCTGCTCTTTAGAAATAGCGCGCACGAAATGTCACAACACCCGGTGCCAGCGCTGTACTGGATTACATCAAAATGGCTGCATTCAAATCCAGAGAGCAGACACGTTGGCGCGAATGACCCTCAGTTAACTACTAGTTTTTGGTCTCTCATCGTAGCCGTTATCACTGTCTCTCTCCACTACCTACCAAGAAACTTCCGAGGGCCGCCTGGACACCCTGGCCCTTCTCGCCTCCCCGGCGTCGAATGCTGTCTCATAATTTCCAACTCATCATCAGAATCACCATCCCTCAATGCTCGAAATAACACCGCGTCTGGGTGATCAGACTGCTCACTAGCATGCGCCTCTCCGGGCGTTGGAGCTGGATAACAGGCAGGCCGCCAGGAAATTCTTTCGTACTTGCGCTCGCAGTTGGTCGCCGATATTGGCTCTGGGCCCCTTGGTCCGTCTGGAAATAGTACGATCGGTGAAGGGATACCTTCCCAGTCTAGCCAGCCTCTCCAGGACACTATACCTAACGTTAACGTCTGTGTCTGAATTGCTATAAACGTTTCTTTTTGCTGATAGCTGCGTGGCCACGTTTGAGAAAGATGGCTGAAAGACTATGGTGGGATCTCGAGGCTCGATAAAATGAGAGGAAGGATGCAGGCTGTTTTGCGTGCTTTATACTATGGGCAGTGAAGTTGAGGTCGGGACAGCTCATGAAATTGTAAGGAATCTGCCTTGTCGCGCGAATATTTGTGGACCTAAATGAATTCAAGTAAGCAGATGAATACTGGTCGTCAGCGGCAGCGGAATATCGCACATTGATCCCGTGTCGGTCACCGCATGACAGCGTAGCAATTTATAGTAGTCACGCATCACAATCAGAACAGTAGACACACTGAATTAAATGACCTTCATTCAAGTAGCTTTTTATGTGACCGATATGCAATCCGTGATTTCGCAACCATCCAGCAAGCATCCGAAGACGCTACCAAAGTCTGACAGGCTGACTAACTGGTCGAGGGCCTTCTTGCAATGGCAAAGGAGCCAGAGGTACCAATCTGCAATCGCAGGTATCCGTAGAATAGTCAAGTCGATGAGCTAAGCCCATGTCTTCCCTGCCAATTCCATCAATTTTCGTGTGAAAAGTCGTAAACCCTGATCCGTTGCGCCGTGACCATTCCAGGGTATCGAAGAAGAAAGGAAAATGTTGTGTCTGATGATGATCCATTTCACATGTCTTCCGAACTTGTTATACAAGATCTAGTCTACTCAATGCTCGAGGCATTAAGAGGCTGAAGACCTAGGTATGCGATATCGGTAGAGATATGAGAATGGTGACCAGTTGATGAGGTTGTACATATGCTCCAGCAATAGTCAGTATGATAGTTCTGTAAGGTAAAGGCAAAACTTACGGTCACAACTTAGTGTACCATACCACCGCCGTGGCTGTTCGAGCCAGGAGAGTTGGCGTTGTCCGAGATGCCATTACCGCCACCTCCAGGGCCGTCGCGGCGGAACTCGTTGTTAAAACCGATCATGTGGGAGGTGCCTTTGTAATTTGGAACGGGGATGGCGTGGTCAGCGTTAATGATGCCGGACTCATCAACAATACCCTTGCCCCACACGACGTTCTGGTCGCCAAGCTTGATTCGTCCTCCAAACATGAAAGGGGTAGCAGGCGCGGAATACGAAGCATTCGAAGGGACAGTGGCGCCGGACAGGGAGGCCATGTTCAGAATACTAGGAGCATTGCGACGGTGACGGCGAGCAGCACCAAACACATTCGGGGTGGGGGACATAGGCAACCCATGCATTAGGTTCTCATCCTCATTCTCCTCGTAGACGGTGCCGAGTTGAGCTGGCGCTATAGGCATCCTGAAAGGTTGATCGAATGGGCCTGTGCCAGGGCTAGTCTGCGGCTGAGGGTCATGGTAGAAAGCGCCAGTGGTTGCATTCGTTGCGACCATGGGGTAGCCCAAAGATGGCTGAAATGCGAACCCACCAGTTGCCTGTAGGAATCCTCGGTTCAGCGTACCTATAGGGGACACAGGGAACGTAGCCGTGGCCTGCTGCGCGGTCTCGTTGGCCTGTTGGGCGACCTCGTGGACCTGCTGCGCGGCCTCGTTGACCTGCTGGATGCCCTCGTTGACACGCTGGGCGTTGGTAAGGTTGTGAGGAAACGCTAGACGGGCCCGGTCAGCATCAATATATGCTCGCTTAAGAACAACCATAAGGGTCTGAGTTCCGATGAAGCGTGTTGGTCTCTTCTTGGGAATGAGGTTCTTTTCCGTACCCTGTAGGAGGTTTGGGTTAGCAGTGGACGTTGTAAAGGTGCCGTTCTTGTTCTTGCGCGTCCACGCCATGCGCAACGACGGAATTTGGAAGCCCTCAGCGATCTGTTTGCCACGCAGCTTTAAGAGAGCCTGTTGTAGTGCACCCGCAGTACAGGACTCACTGACAACTTGCGAAGCTTGGTCGAATGGGATCTGAATTCCATTCTCACCACAAGCCCAGACAAGACCGAGAGCAACGTTCTTCCAATCGTTGTCGTCCCACTTCAAGAGCTTGGGACGGGGCTGGCGTGGCTTACGAGGTACGCCGTCTTTGTTCAGCTTAGGAACTTTAGACCGGCGATGCCCATCGTACTCGCTTTCATCATATTCGCTGCCGCCATAGGGGGTCAGACTCACTTGGGTTTCTTCCTCTTCCTGCTTGCAAATGGTGCGCGCGCCTTCTCCAGCGGCGGGACCGTACTCAGCACCAGTGTTGGCACTCGCACCGGGCGCAATGTCCGTGGTGTCATCGGTGGCTTCGTTCGCGGCGCTGTCGAGGCCTGGGATCTCATGCTCATAATTCGCGGGCAATGAGACATCCTCGTTGCTTGGAACACCACCTTGGGAATTGCCGAGGTGGTATGTCTCTCCGCTACCACCTTGGAAGGCGTTGACCTGCTGCAGCTCTCCGCTGGAGGATGACGATGCTAATCCGACGTTATGAAAGTCGAGCCAAGATGGCGACATCATCTCACCTTGGGACATCTCGCTGTACGTGCGCTTCGATGAAGATGGCGCGTAGAGGAAGTCTAAAGGACTGCTATCAAGACCCATCATGGTGAGCGTGTTGTCATGATAGAACGTCATGATGGCTGTCTTACAGTATGAGTCTTCTGGACAGCTGTTAGTGACATGGTCGTGACCGGCAGAAGATGAGAAGCATGAGCATACCTGTTTGAGACTTTTGTAAGGCGCAGCGCGGAGATCTTGCGATGTCCTGGCGGTGCGGGGTATTGCTGCGAGCGCGGTCAGTATTTGTGTGTGAGAGCTTGTAGCGGGGATGGCGGAGACATACCTTCAAGAGCGAGAACTGGGCAAGGCACCTGGAAGCTTTCAAAAGCGTGACAGATGCAAGAGGTAAAGGGAAGCACCAGAGTTCTAAGTCTGTGTGGGTGTTAGAATTTGTTGCAACAGCAAGTTGGGCCCGAGTGCGGAGATTGCAGTCTGTAACTGGAGCAACAACACCAACAAGCAAGCGATACCGTACGGTCACTGCAAGCAGGCTGAGAGCTCAGAAACACTACGAACAAGGTGTAATGGAGTGGAAGATGCGTGTGATGGGGTACATACCTGGTTGGAAAGAGTTGGTAGAGGGGGAAAGAGGAGAGGCGGCGCTGAGGTTTATATGGAGGGGCTGAAGATGAGCCAACTCCACGCTAACGTTCACACCGTAGTGACAGTGAGCCTGGTCGACTCTTAGAGCACGATGATAACCAAGAGATCCACTGCCAGCAGTTCTGGCTCGGTCCAATCAGAGCAGCTGACGCAGGGCATGTACCAGACTCACAGAGCTTCTCCTCTGGAGACCGGCACGTAATTATTCCCACTGTCTCTAGCAATGGCTTGCGGAGACTGGGAATGGTGCCCGCGAAGACCTGCGGCCGACAAGGATGTCAAGGCACAAGCGAGCTAGCGTAGTGCACAGACGGCCTGATGGTTCTTGACCACACGTTCTGCAGTAATGTTCTCTTGTCCTTAGAGTAGCGCGTAGCTTGCTTGGTGTTGCAGGGCCGCGCTTGGACACTTCAACAACGCTGGGCTCGATCGTTCGACTTCCGCGAGGACCGCTGCCACACGGGCGGGCGCCGTACGCTTCGGGGTCGACACGATACCAACCAATCAGTACGTATTGCACGATACCTGGGGAATTGCTTGGAATCGGAATCGCCGCGCGTATCGCAATTGGAAGTGCGTATAGTTGCCAAGCGATTGCGTTCAACTGAGGACGCTGACGCGAGCTTTTATCGATTCTCAATCCTCAACTGTTGCTAGAGGAAGAGAGAGAGAGAGTGCAAGAGTCTCGACGGCGCGAGATATATACCCACCAAGCTTCCCAACACCAGCTAAGCGATGTGGGGCGGGTGGCGAATATCGACGGTGACGGCGGATGGCGATCGTGCCTACGACCCGCTCTCCAGGCGGAAGCGGTGGTGACGCAAGATTATGAAAAACACATGACAGAGCGGGGCAATAATTTGCGTCGACAGCTAGGTCACGTACCAGGGCGAGAGCTGACGGTCAGCTCGTGCTTGACATAAGGTTGATGCTGGAATCGGGTGTCCACCTTGGAGAATGAATCTTTCCATCCTAGAATGAGCAACTTGAACATCGACTTGAGCTTCGGCCTCCTCGCTCAAGGCAAGTGTGTCGTGATTGACCCGTCAAGAGACCGGTGGGCTCTTGTGTCCTTGCAAGTGGCGTCCTGATCCAATCCGTAGCTTGGCCAGTCTGGATGGTACTTCGAGGGTGATTTCCAGATGGCTCGATCTCTACTAGCCACAGGATAAAGGTGCCGATAGAAGTGCACAGTGGCATCAGAGAGCAGTCGAAGACAATATGGTGGAAGGAACATGGGAACGTAAGTAGAACAAGAAGATACGTTTTGAAGAACAGGTTGGCTGTGGTAGAAGATCGTGAACATGGAACAGAAGCAGATGACTGTAAAAGATGTTCTTGACAGAAAAAGACTAGAAAAGGAAAGAAAATATAAAGACTGGGATAACAGTATACTTAAAGTCGACCCTGACCAAGAGTGAGAAGGCGTATCTACAATTCCATATTAGTTTTTCTGATACCTGAATATAGATAATGATACCTCGCTCCGCTTACTGTTTCAATTCCGTTATTGGGACTTCGTCAACGGAAGTTCAGATTGAGATTAGAGCAAGCGCGTGTCGTGAGACATTGCAGGCAGCCCAACAAGCTTCAACGTGATGATGCGTTTGGCTTATGCCGTAATTGATTTACGTCCGCCAGTACCTTCGTGAAAGACCGCCCCCAAAACAGGCGACTAGAGGAAGTTCCGGCGTTGTAAATGTATTGCCCGGCTTGGCCCTACGTTGTGCGATCGAACACCCCTTGTTCAATGAATCAGAGATCCTGCTATTACATAAAAGTTGCAGCTTTTGAGAGAAAGAAAAGTAATTGCTGGTTCCTTGATGTGGCTGCAAGACAATGAAGTCTTATCCAGGCAGCAGGTGGCATTGGGCTTTGGTCCTTGGTTTTGAACGTAGATCCTCTGCGTGTACGATGATTGAATACCATGGACGGTAGTTTGGCTATATTGTCTTAAGATGACGCGCCTTTATTAGTGGAGATGAAAAATTTGTGTTCACGGCTGAGGTGTCCATCTAGTCGTAGCAACCCTGAGGGCAACGCGAAATGCGAACTCTTTGCTCAAGCATAGGTGATTGGTGGCGCGCGAATCGTAACATATCAAAAGCCCCCTGACGCTTTCCAATAAAGGATGCTGTTTATGGGGTGGAGGGTTGCGTAGGTATTGGTACATGTTGACACGCGATTTTGGGGGCGTCGTGCCTGCGTTGTGTTGCGTACAAAGATCTGTGGCTGCCAGCGGACCATCATCTGCTTGTAAGTACATAGGAGAGTGTGCGGAGCATGTTCAGGGGGGTATTGATTGACGTGACCTGGTTGCTATGAGAGATGTGTGTGGGTGTAGGCTGCGGGAGTCAATGGAAGGGACGCGGAAGGTGGAGGTGCAAATAAGGTTCTGAGCGCTAAATTCAATGGCAGGGACGATGCGGAGACTGCCTTGGCACTCGCATCGCCGCCTGGTGCAAGGATGTTTATCACGCGGCAGTGGAAGAACAAATTGACAGTTCAGTTGATGTATTGGCAGAGCTATTGTAATCTAGGGTTTACCTATCTGGCAGTTAGCTTGTGTCTCGAAGTGTTGCGTGAATTGTGGAGAGGGACTGGCTTACCTTGTGCACACAAGTACGTGATGTAGTTGTGACCGACCTACCATTCATTCGGTGCCCCCCTAGCAACGGAACAGAATTCCTGAACGGAGTCCGATCTTGCTCGCCTTGCGATGCTCCTGCTGCTTTGCAACTCGCCGTCAGCGCTGCTGCCGGTGGTGTCCTTAGCGAATACGAGCTGGGCGGGATGGCGTCCGGAGCTAATTTTCTGTGGCAGCTGGCTCGAGACGCCTCAAGCTCCGTTGCATCGTCATCATGTTGCAACGCTCGGCGCTGATGGCGCTGTCCTTCATGACACCGTTGACGATGGCCTCGTTGTGATTTCCTTCAGATAGCCCTTGGTGTTGTGGTAGCGACTGCCCCTTCCGCCGGCCTCGTCCTGTGTGCCTTCCAAAATTTTGAGGGGCCCCGTCACCAACACCACACCACCACCAACAATCTTCAAAACAAACCCCCGAAGGGCTCGCGCCGTGCGACTCAGAGTCCTATACTCGGTGTACCGGAAGAAAAACACGGCCATAAGTCGCTCCTGCCCCCTCAGATGGCTTTCGGTGTCGCGGGAGAGTGCTATCGTCCACCGCGACCACCCCCATCTCCGCGGTGACACTCACTCTCCACGTGACGGTAATGGCGCGCATGAATCTAGAGGAGAAGAACTGATATGAGAAGGTTGAGCGACCATAGCGATCACCCCCTCACCCGCCTTCGTTGCCAACTCGTGGTCGTCCTCCGATTCTGAGATCCCCCACAATCACCAGCGGCCCGCCGCAAGCAACGCAGAACATCGGTTCCACATCGTCAGGCTTTTGCCGAATACTGTCAGATGTGCGGCAACATTGATTTCGACTTCGCAATGTCCCACTCGGCCAGCAAATTTGTATCCCACCGTTCGACCGCCCCGCACACACCAGACAAGAGGGCATTTGGGCAATACCATGCCTGGTGTAGGGCAGCTTGAGTTTCTTAGAAGAGACCTGTTGCTTGAGCATCCTCTTCTGCGGAGTTCACGGGTGCTCCGAGGACTACACTTTTACCAGCTTGAGGTTGCGACCTTGAGCGGCCCTGCCACCACCCCGCTCTTTGAACGGAATCGTTGCCGTGATCTCGAGTCCGGTTTCGGGAGCCACTACCCACATTGCCTCTCAAGATCTTTCAGTGCTCCAAAGCACTTTGAAAGAACAGCTACGACCACAAGCTGTGAATGTAATGGCGCCAGACAATATCTCCGCAAGGTCGCCCAGAGAGACGACACCGACGCGAAGGCCTTCTTCGGAGCGTCACCCCACGGATGGCCAATACAAAAAAACCCGACCGACGGTATTACGAACATACAATGCGTAACCTTGGCGCAAGACCACACCATGTTTTGACCGTCAAGCTCCAGGTACAAATGCTGCGCGTACCGACATTGTCTGGGATGGGCATTGCGCCAAACTTTGGCACCGCCAAGTCTTGCGATGAACGATGCTTGTCTTGCATGTTATGGCAACACCCACCTTGTCTGAAGTCGAAAAAGGTCAGGACTTTGAGATATGGAGACTTCGACAGCCAACAGCAAGGAGCAAGCTGATTGACCATAAGAAGAATCCGGTACACTTTGACATGCTCTGGCTTTGCCTATTGTCGCGTTCGGCACTTGTCAACCTCATCGCTAAACAAGACCTTCGGCCGATGCTCATGGTCACACAAGCATGTGGGATTCCAGCGCCCGTTGTTTAACCATACGAAGATGCCTCGCAAGCTGCTGGAAGGATGTCGGCAGTGAGAATATCTGAAATTCTCGTCCTCCTTAGCACTTGATGACATCTACCAGTACAAAGGCATATTCAGCTTTTAGCATCCTGGCTCAAAGTTAGCCTTGGACTTGCAACGGAACATGCTCGTCAATACACAGCGCGAGTTCTTCAGGCCAGGTTGATGTCGAGAACGCCGCCCCAAAATTTCCCTTCGCGCACAGCGAAGGCACGTCGGCTGTGTCTGCAAAGCCTCCGAGTCGGCTCAGGAACTGGCTTTAACAGACCTTCCAGAAGAGATGAAAGCTGTGTAGGGTACAGAAGCTGGAGCCACCTGTGACGAAACCCTCTCAGTGCACAAAGCCTTCTGATCTCACCTGTAACGGCTTCGTTTTATCTTGGCATCAGGACTGCACAAAACCCCCACGCGCTCCACGTTCGACGCCTCGTGTCCAGCAACAAGGAGTGGAGAGCGATTTTCGTCCCTGAGTCTGTTTTAGTCTTCCAGGTTTCCAGTCAAGATCGATCGCTGGCGCTTTGCAGACATAGTTCGGATGACCTTAAACGAACGCTAGCTTTGGAAAGGGTGGCAAACATTCAATATGCCGAAGCACCGATGTGGAGCTCTACAACTCATTCGATGTCTCCACTATGCTTCAAGCATTGTCGAGATTACCTTCGAGACTCAGCCATTGTCCTATCGAATTGGGCGTTTCGACAATTTGCCCGACATGCATCTTTTCTCTCGAGGTTTGTGACTCAAATGTTCCAGTGGCAACGACTTCGAGCAACGCGCTGTACATGGATACATTGATCGATCTTCCGGTATCTCTTGTGGTTCGGGACTCATGATGTGCTTCGATCCACCTCAGCATTTCTTCACTTCGTCGATCGAACGCTCAGCTCTACACTTGGATCTTGGCCCAGAGTAAGAAATGTGATGATATCAGAATCGTTGCCTCCTCTTTGAGAGAATGATTTCTTCACCCAGTGTGCTTTGGATGGTGACTGTCGTCCTCCACTGAGTTCGATCGCCGCATCTGTCAACGTTCGGAGACCATAAGTGTTGCCAGACACTCCGCCGTGAAGCTTACGGGCTGACTGCGACGGGTTCATCATCCTTCCACGACCGTCCCAACTGTCCCACACTTGGGCTGCTACTAGCTCTGAAATCCCGGGCGAGCATGGCCCATGTCAAAGTCGTTGTACCTGGTCGTTTTGTAGTCACGTTCCAAAATGCCCTGGAAACACTTGTGATCCTTGTCCTCCTTCGTTGGTCCGCCCAAGTTGGACCGGGGCGCAAGTTGGAAGTCTCGGATTTCGCGTGGATGGCTATGATGTCCTCATGCCTTAAATATGCCCTGCCTTGTCGGTCGTTTCAGAGGAGAAGCCTGGCGCTCACGTAAAGGATGGGCTCAATGCTTGCGGCATGCACAGTGCAGGTTGCTTGTCGACCGTCCCAGCAGTGTACGAACATTGTCAGACTGCATACCTTTCCGAGCCCCAATCGAGTCCATCCTGCAGCTTCGCGTTGTCTCAGCGACCTTTTCGGAGTATATGTGCTGCTTTCCAGAGCCTCAGTCAGCCGGAAATTAGGGACGGGCATGCCTATCGTGCGTGACTGCAGCTTGTATAGCAGGACCGATCGTGGGAATTGGCGATGGGTTTCGACGACGTATTGCGAGTGTTGTGCAACGTAACGTCTCTCTGTTCCGCGGTCTCGATGTGGTGGGCCCGGTGTATGCGCTCGCTACCATGGTGTATACCTGTCGCTCATACGTCGATACCCAAGCATTTGTGGAAGGTTTTCGCAGTGGTCTCGTCCTGTGGTGATGCGAGTGCTCCTCATCGTCAGCCTCGGAATCGCCCAAGAAGCAAAAGCATACCTACTATCGAGCGCGTCTCGCAGTCTATGAGGCGCTCACAGGGGCCCCACGCAGTGCCGCGTTCCCTTTTTCGTTGGCCAGCGTACGGTCCGCCAGCTTTGAGAGTGCTGCTGAGGCCTTTCGGCGGTGTGAATCGAGAGGGGCACATGGCTTTTAGCTATCCAGTCGAAGCGTTGAGACTTCGAGGCCGATGCGACTGCTCGGGCTCGCCCGTAACCTGGAGGTCCTCTGTGTCTAGCTCTCGGTGTAGGATACCGGCAGTCGCGGTGTTGGGCATGACCCCGCTGCTAGACTTGGGACGATGGAGGTGCGAATCGTCGAGCTTTCCTAGAGTCCAGGCGCGCTGCAAGGTATCTCCTCTACCAACTGTACGTGCTCCTGGATCTTGTATGGAGACGTCTGCCATTCATGGTCGCCGTGTTTGCGGTGCTGATGGTGTCGCTGTTGCCGCAAAGTTGCGCGGCATCGTGAACCTTGGAGCTTTGCTGAGAACCTGACAATGCAACGGCCGCCTGTTCAGCCTGTTCATTGTCAGCGACTCTCAAGATATCTATACATGTCTCTTGACTTAGCCTGTCAAGCCGCCGGTGGTGTGCGGTATGCTCAGCGAGAGTTTTGACCTCAAATGCACTCCCGCATCCCCGCATCCCCGCAGAAGTCATGTCGCGCGTACCAGAGCCTACGATTGATGCCGTGCCATTGACGCCAGTATCCTTGAAGACAGTGTTCTTTTTCGTGGCAAAGAACATGTCGCTGTCGCTGGTGCGTGTTCGTGGTGTTGTGGTGTCGCGGTGTTGCGGTGTTGGAGAAACGAGAACAGCAAAGTCCAACATGAGAGCGGCACCCGTCCGAAGTCGGCCACCACAACGGCAATATCTCTGGAACCACAACATCAGTAGTAGTTTGAGCTTGCGGCATGTGGATAGATGCATTCGCAGTTGCTGCTCGCACACTCAGGGGAAGGTGCAGCCCTACGATCGTAGTTTGGGGCATCCGCAAAGTTTCTTCCAGCAAAGACCACTTTCAAGCACATACATCATGGACTTCAAGCTGCAGGGAGGTGCACGCGAACTTTGAGCTACTTTTGTTGTGTGCGAGAATGCGTATGTGCTAGATTGTAGGCCGATCTACTCCAATACCGAAAGCCACCTGAAGCCGAGCCACCATGGTGTCAGACAATTAAGCTACAGGCAGCGGACAAGGAATATCATACCAAAAGAAACATGCAAAAGGGTAGGCGATTGGATCCCGTACACCCTGCTGCGCGTCGAAGTCCACTTGCTACCTAAAAATCCCACACAGCTCGCTAGCCTATCGGAGAAATTGGCCTGACGCAACTTCATAACACCAAGCCAGGATACACAGAAGAACTATTGCTATCCTCTATATATTGGATCAGGATAGAGATTCTGTCACCAATGATATCCCAAAGAGTTGACTACTTGAGGGGTTGAGGTGCCTTCCAGAACAACGGCTAACACTTTATCTAGGTTCAAGGTTACACGTTCGAATCCCGGAACGACTGACCGAGCAGTCGCGATCTTTTTTTGCAGCATCATCAGTATCAGCATATGATGTCATAGGCTTCCTAAGGTCATATGTCTGATAGCGTAAAAGAAAGAGCCGCTGTTGCTCTGTGTTTGAGAGCACGAGGTTAGAGGTTCGAATGCTCAGGGCGACAACTCCTAGCAGACACTATCTTTTTTTTTCTCAGCATTGGGACATGATGTCGTAGTCGCAATGGGTTTTCTGCGGCGTTGCCAGCATCAGCACACGATATTATAGGCTCCATCGTACGTGAGACCGTAAGAGAAAGAGCTGTTATCCCGTATCTTTGAGCAGAGAAGAAAGAGCTGTTGATTCGAATCAGTTGGTACGTCCACCCGCAACAACAAGCCAGCATATACTGAAGGAATATTACTATCCTCGATATGTTAAGTCCAGTTCGGGGTTCTTTCGTCAATGATCCAACCAACGAATTCAGCGCCCGTTGGTTGGTGAGACAATTCCCCGAGTTTGAACAGATACTAACACTTTACAGGGCGGGAGTTCGAGTCTCCCAGACGACAGGTGCTGCCAGTCGCGTATTTTTGCAGTTTTTGTCAGCATCAGTAGAGCATGCCAAAGGCTTCGTTCTTCTCGATAGCAAGAAAGAAAACGTCGACCATTTGCATGCGCTGGTGCATCGCCATGCGTGGTCTTATGAGGTGAACATTGTTGGCAATTCTTTTGCGCGTGTGCTCGGCGCAGGCCTCAGGCGCAACGCCAGCAAGCCGGACCTCGACGTTTGCGGGCGCTGACCAGCGCGACATTGGAACGTTGCGAACTTTCCAAGTACTCAACACGATGTCGAAGTTTTGAGATATTCCCACACTTGAGATATGTTCCAAGAGGGACATAGGACGCGAGAAGCAATTCCATCGCTAACGCTGCGCCTTGTGGTGCGACTGACCTGGAATGCATCGGTTTTTCGGCCAACATGCAAGCATGCAGAATGCAAAGTCAAATGCCACATCAAGCAACGCGACTTGCATTGGCAGCGCCAGGTAGACTTTCCTCTGCATTCGCAATGGAGTGGAAGCGCCACGAAAACCGTCTCAAGCGCCTGTCAAACATGTGCATTGCTTTCCATGGATGAGCTCAGCAGCCCGTTGATGATGGTTTGGCATACCTCCCGATTATGCTGAAGCATCATTTTGAGTGTCCAAAAGAAGCATTCGCCTACTCGTAGACCACAAGCCGTCGAACCAAGGGCTCGGCTCCGTCGCACTGCACTCAGCGTCTGAAATCGAGGCTCATATGAGTCGCAGTAGATTAAGCTGGGTCAGGGGAAACCCGCCTTAGTCTGAATCATCCAAATTTCGGATCTCAAACTCGCACGAAAACGCCTTTCATCTTAAACTACGGAATTTTTGGACCCACAGAGTAACATCCATTACGGAGCTTTTTACAGCGACTTATACTTAGTGGTTCTGTCAGTTGCACACGAGGAAATCAATCTCCCACGACATCGTTCATCAGCAAGTTGGCGGTCCTGCAACGATGCCCGTCTCCTGTCATCCCATCGACCTCCCACTAAGGAAACAGTATCGGCGGCTTCGGAACTGATTTGCGACGATCCAGCTCCGAGCAGGTCGAGTGTTCTGGAAGATATCAGCTCTAGCAGCTCCGTCAAGATCGCACGTAAGCAAAAGCGCAGTCATCAGAGCGATATTCACGGATATCTCATTCGGCGTGCTGAGACATGCCGTTCTTCTCACCTTCGCGACTTGCTCATTTTGCCCGAGTTCCATGGTCTGCATCTCACTACCGAAAGTAGCATCTCTCAAGGCTATCAAGGGATGCATCTCCGATGGAATGTGCGGCAAGCATGGAGATGCAAGACCTTGTCCCAAAGGTGCTGGGAGGCTAGCGCCTAAAAGCTCCTTTCATATACTGCAACCTCACCACAGGGAGGACTTGATAGAGTTCAGAAGCCCAGCTTTTGCTCTGCTTTGGTTCCTGCCGTCGTTGCAGCGAAAAGAAGAGTACTTTGATCTGCCGGGAGAGCACAGAACTGCAAGGAAGCGAGTGAACAGCCTACCTTCAACGAATTTGAGTTAATGCGAAAAAAGGACTAGGAAGTTCCCGTGCTGGCGTGTTTCCAGGACCATGTCGACTTTGTTGTTCCGGAGTGGACTTCGCGAAAATCGAAAATCGAAAATCGAAACATGGACTTAGCAACGCCGCTCGGGCCCCATCCCGACTTTGGTATGCAGCAGAACCGAACATCGCGCAACCGCTTCAGAAGGCATCAGCAATCTTGTGAAATCTATCTAAACATCTTGAGATAGTTGTGCAAGATGGGCATGCGTACAGCGCTGTCGATATTGGGCTCGAAATGGCCTATGTATTTTGATTCATTCCTGTTGCAGCATCGGCACCCATACACCAAGCATTGCACGTCACGGACCCCAAAGCCATGAATTTGTCTCATACTAGGCCAAATCCTATAACCTGGGAACCGCATTGTATTGCAGGTTGTGTTGGCGGACGATTGTTTGGTCGTGGGTGATGATGGTAGCTTATGGGATCTGCCACCACCAAAACCACCACCCCGAACGCACAGCTAGGCCCATTGGTACTTACCTGTAGTCCGAAATAATCATGCGTAGTGTCGGAGTACTGGAAGATCATTGAGCCCTAGCTCATCTGATGAGCGTCGGCATGTTCGTCAGGTGCAGCTTTGTGCGGCCGGAGGTGCGGAAAACACGATACCCACATGCAACACCGTTGCACAAGAGGAGCACACTGTTGCGCTGGCTACCGTCTCGATCATATGTGAAGTGCAGCGGTGCCCCAAGTCTCTGGCCCTGCAATGGCAGCAGCAGTGGCTGTTGTGGGACGCGGGAGACAAGTGTGTCCCCGCGTAAACAAACGCTACCCCACTCGGCCTCGCCCTTATCCACGTACCAAACCTTTTGGCTACCCCAGCATCAACAACTCCTTGGTCTATATAAGGCCCTTAGTTTGGTTGCTTTCTTGTCGGCGTTGGGCTTGACCACCCCAGCGTCGACCGGTTGGTACATTTACTAACTTTACAAATAGTGCGAAAGCACCACTCAACGGGTTCGAATCCCGTTGTAAGCGGCAAGTCCGGTTTTTTTTTGGCATTTATTTTGCCTTCGCGCCTCCCTATCTTTTTGCTACCCCTACTACCAGTTCTGGCAGCCATTGGTAACGTGCGTTTCTTTCTGCGGTTTTCCGCAAGTATTTGCATCATTTTTGGCACCGTGAAGATGTCTAGGCTATTGTATGGGGATGGTAAGAGCTTTAAAATGCATATCTGTGAAAACTACATGTCACATACCAGGCAATGAAGCATTATCGATGTAGCAGGCAGGAAAGTCTGAAGGCAACGAGAAATATGTAAGTCGTGTACAATGTAGGCAAGAGGTAAGTGTTGACACGTTGTTGCTGAACGGTTTCGAGGATCTGTTTGTCTATCTACTTGTACAAGGGGGTATCTTTGGAGCCAAAACGCCGCCAAAGACAAAACGCTGCCACAAGCAAAACATCAAGCAAAGAGAGGATGCCCACGTAACCCGCGGCGCCGGGCCTCGGCGGACACCCAGGCTGTTTCGTCCATACGGACTACTTCGAACGCCTGGGACCGCTTCGAACCACGACGCGGCATAAAGAATATGGGCAGAGCCTCGCTGTCGCCGTCGCTCATCCACCCGTCTCTCCCTCGACTCACTCGTACATGAACAGGCACGACCCCTCAAGCCGCCTCCGGATCAGCCTCGTGCTAGTTTCCGGATCCAGCCTGAAGAGGCCATCCCATCCTCCGTTTGGGTCGACGACGTATGGCTCACCATACAACCTCCTGGCTGTCGCCTCCTCCGCGGCAGACAGCTCCTCTCCGGCCTCCAGCTTCTTCTGGTATTCCCTCGCCAGACTCCTGCCGACTCTCAACTTCCTCGCCGTCTGTTCCTTCAGGACGGCCAACCCCCGCTGGAGGCAGCGGTACCTGTATTTCCGCCTGCGCTGCAGCCTGTCGACGAACTTTTGCTGGGCTACAACCCGGAATCGGTCGTAGCCCTCCCAAACGCCAGCCTGGTAGTGCAGCAGGTCCTCCTCAGCCACGGCCAATCTCCGGCCGAGTTCTGCCACTTTCTCCTGCTGGTCGCTGCAGGCCACCGCTGCCCTGTGCTCGTTGGCGCAGAGGATCTCGGAGCATCGCTCCGCGAGGATGTTAAGAGCTGGCGGCGAGGCGGGGGCGGGGGCGGTCGCTTGCGGGCTCGTCATTGCGAGCGTTGCGGGGTTTGGTGGTGGTGGTGGTGGTGATGGTGATGATCTAGGGCGGGGTGTTAGCAGCATTACCCAGATGTGAGCTCAGAGATCAATTGACTTACGAGAGGGTTCTTGGGGTCCTTGCCGGTGGCTTTTGGCTTGGATCTTGTGGTGGTGGTGTGGGTGTGTTGTGGTGGTGCCGCTTAAGTTGGAGTTGCGGCTTGAGTTTTAGAAAAGGTGAGCTCCCGCAATCTTACGTGACGGCAGAACGAGTTTGCAACATCAAAACGCTGTAATTCTGGTCGGAACAGCATCGTCGGTAGCTACCATGACGGTATGCAAGATACAGAAACTACTCTCGTCTACAAAGAAGCTGCTTCGTTTGCTCAAAGCCATCAATTTGCTATTAACTGCGCCAAGTTCTGTTGCGCTTCACAAAATCAATTGTCTAGTCAAGTCCGCTTCTCAGCTACGTAACATGCACTTTACCATCGAGCTTACGGCACATTTCTCTCTCACTCGCACTGACTAAGGTGTGTATAACCCAGTGGGCATAATATCCATGATTGAGGATGCTTTCTATGTCTCTATCTCCAATGTCTCCAAACGTTATTATGAAGAAATGCTTGCTACTACCTGCGACTTCAAATTTTGTGCAGCCAGCTTGTTAGAATTGACGATATTGGATCACATTCATGCTACTCCTCCTTCAGGGCCACATTTCTGTGCGACAATATTCACATGTTCTAACACGGAAGACAAATCGAGGCACGGATTCCGTAAGCTCGAGTCTAGCTACCAGGACAGTTCATAAGCCACGGTCTTCTCATGTATAAGTAGCTCAGCCGGCTAGGTGATAACAGGGCTGAATGAAGTCGCCAAGAATACCAACTTGGATACAAGTATGTGCCCCTTGTCTTCTCGAATAGTCATCTGCAACGCATGGGTGATATGTAATTGTCGAATGTATCGAACCACGATGCACTTCATACTTCACTGTAGCCCTGCACTTACTTTCCATTCATACAACCTCTAGAAACATTTACAAGGCCTACGCTGAACGGCAAGGCATTAGTGAGATTGTAGATTATATATAGGACAGGATAAAGAATAAGGATCACCGGAAGTGAGACTCCATCGGGATATTTGCAACTTGTTTGATACAGACTTGAACGTTCGCATTGGAAAGCGTAAGAAATACAGACTACTGACAAGTTTTCGATCCTCTGGTTCGCATTGCATTTGGGTATCGGGCCGACTATGTCAGTAGGCCTAGCGAAGACCCAGAAGGCAGCTGTACCGAAGATATGAGAAAATGCCGGGCTTGTTCGAACACGCTGTATGAAAACTGGCGACAAGCTATCGATAACAGCATGTCATGCATATCATGTATGTGTGACGTGCATGAGTTTCTCGCCCCGGGTTGTCTAATTCGGTTCGTCGCGGCGACGGTGCGGCCGAGAAGCCCGAAAAGGCGCTAGCGCTACTGTTTCCAGACAGATCACACCGCACGACGTTGATCCTCTTCACCGTTGTAACCTTAATCCGACGACGGTCCGGAAGATTACAGACCGTTGAGGGGCTTAAAAAAGACTATGGCGCCCTTCATTCCCGAGCGAGCGGACGTTTACAGCGTTCGCGCTATCCTGGCACACTGCAAACTCCCCAACGAACTTATCCTTACAATCCTCGACCATGCTCGCTATTGGGTCGAGCGCGTGGAAAGCCGCGTCGGGTACAAGATGCTCTTTGATGAAGAGTTTACCCGGAGTTACAATGCGGCGGTTTCTTATCTCGCGGCAAACGCGATTCCCCCAGGAGATCCTACCGACGCAGAAACACCGAAGCTCAAAGAGGTAGAATTTCTCGTGGTGAGCCACGGTAAGCTTCAGCATCGAAAAAGGCTAAAGTCAGTCTTACTTACATTGTTCGCTTGAATCACAGATCAAGCGTGGACGACGGAAAACACCAAAGGCACATTCCAAACATCCTCTTGGTTCGAAGTCTCCATTGTTCGACCACTTGACCCTGCCCCGCTTCATAGAGGCGATACGGATGTGTTTCGCTCCCATAGCTTTTTAGAGGATCAGAACGGCCTTGGTCAGAGTATCGACAAAGTCTTGGAAGATGTCTTGCAATCAAGAAGAATGCAGCTTGTTCCCCGTCCATCTTCAGCCCAGGAACAGCAGCGACTACATTGCCCGGAAATGATCTACACTACAGGCTCCAAGCCAGAACCTCCAACTGAACAGGAGGTTCAGGTTGCACGAGAAGGCGAATACGCATGGTATCTTCAGGGTAACGAGGTCGGAAGAGGGACATCTCTTTTCGATGGTGAAATGATCCGTCGATACACCATTGTTTGGAGCAGTGATTCGAATCCCAGATGGGTTGGCAACGATGGCAGTGGGCAAGGCAAAGGTTTTGTTGATGCTTTACGAGAAGGAGACTGTATTCTTGTGTGGGCGAGGGCAAAAGTAAGTCTTAAAATGGAAACGATACAAAGATTCTTGCTGATTATTGTGATAGCGTCGAGGGTGGGAGAACCACGTACACGGACTCCGTATCACTACTCGCACAATCATATGATCTATCGGTATGGCGCCATCACGCCTCAAGCTTATGCACCAAACGTGGTAAGATCCACATTTATCTGCAGATATGCACGTCAGATGGGGCGCATGATTCATTTGAAAGTTTTACGGGGTTATCACACGATTTGAGCTGTTCAAGTAGGAAGGAGTATCGAAGTAATATTGCAATTGGTCTAATTTGATTCGGCAGTGCGGTATGTCTGACAATGACCGATAGACACGACAGGACATCGGACAGGCCTTAATTACACTAAAGCATACTGTGTCGCTCGGAGAAATTATCCGTCAACAACATCGCCTACCGGTGCGACATGTGCATTGCACGCCCGCCAGTCGCGAAAGGTGGCGTGCTCAGCATCGCAGTTGTCGCAAACCTTCTTCACCTGGACTGGAACAAACGGATGCTTTGTGTGGCCCGCGACAGATGGAGGAGTCGGAGGACCGGCGGTGGCTGGATCATCTACAACGGCACCAACAGTGCCTAGAGGCGCCGCGCCAGCTTTGGCACGAACTTTCGCAATGCGCTCGGCTGCAGTCCGGGCTTGAAGATCAATGCGAGCTTGCAGCTTCTCCTTTTCGACACGGATGGCAGCGGCCTTCTGGTCCAAGAGGGCTTGCTTCGCAGCCTCACGTTTGGCCTTTTCAACAAGACGAGCTTCCGAACGTGCGGTTTCAGCTGCTTTGCACTCATCATCGATACACTTCCGCTCTTCAGCTCGCTGTGTGGGCTTTGCGGCCCGTGAAGGAGTGGCAGGCGAAGACTGAGCCGATGTTGTAGTGCGCCAAAGAGTTGGCTTCTTCGGCGCATTCGGTGTGGAGCGCCGTTCGGGCGAGGCGGAAGCAGGCGTGTATGTTCCCTGCTTTGCAGTCGACATATTCGATAGCCATTCTTCGTGCTCACGCTCGCGCTGCGCAATCTTCTGCTCGTACTCGTGGATGCGGATCGCGCAATGAGCACGCATGGCTGGATCGAAACTGTTCTCTTCAGCAAGCTGCGTCCAAGTCTGGGCCAGATCCCTGAGTCCAACAACATCTAATTCCGATTCTTGCGCATCGCGCTTCTGTCGTTTCTGTAGGAGTTCCTCGAGTGATTGGCGCGCCTTAGCTCGCAGGGCCGTCTTCTCCTCTGGAGTTGTCAGCTTCACAGTCGATCTACGGCTGGGAGATGAAGAAGCATCTGACGCAGCCGAGGCTTTCGCGATCCTACTCGCCTGAGGCGATAATTGAGCGTCATATGCTGCCTTCATGGCAGGGTTGCCCAATACATCGTATGCAACCTGCACTTCATTAAACGCCGCAGCGCGAGAGGCCCGCTCTCTAGCTGCAAGATGCATGGTCTTGCCTGGATGGCATATCAGAGCTAGCGCTTTGTATGCTGCGCGAATCACTTCCGGAGCAGCCGATGGCACCAGTCCAAGAGCTGTGTAGTGGTTTGTAGCAGGCATCGTCTGGAAAAGTCTGCTGATGACTGAAGAGATATATGATTTCTGGTTTCTCTGGGAGCTTTTCTGGAAACGATTTAAAGAAGCCTAGGTATGTGCATCGAGCACGCACAATGTCTCTTAGGTCGACGCACATGGTGCAATCTGGCCTGCATCGTGGAAACAGATGCCTCACAGTGTCTCACAGACAATGAGACTTCACAGAAACTGCACTCGGTTTGTTTGCAACAAGTATCCTGGGCGGCCGGTCAATTCGCCGCCAGCGATTGGTTGAGGAGGTAAGACAGGAAGAGAGCGGAGATGCTCAGTCGGCTTCGGGAAGCGGCACGGGATGTTGACCACAACCCCAAGAAACTCCTGTTTGCTCCACGCATGTGCTGGTCCATAACGAATGGACAGATGGTTTTGAGCACGCGACCAGAGGCTTATGAGGAGTTCTAGAAGAGTGCAGTGGCTGTTCCAGGCTGTGCAGGGGTCCACGAGTTATGTAAAAGCGTGGAGGTCCACACCTCGGACACAGACAATATGGCGCAATCTTTCACGATCGCCAACCTGAGCGCTGGCAATAGAAGTTTTCGCGCGGGTGTGCGTGGAGTCTGCATTGTGGGAGTTCTTATAGGGCAGCACGTTATCGCTCATGCGCGCAGTACGTCGGTCATCAATCCCCCAGAACACCGGTTCCCAGCTTCACCACGGATTCAACACCAACACCCGTCAACGAATTGCAAACCCAACGACTCGGAAGCCTCGACGACGAGCCGAACGCATGTTGCCGATGGAGAGAGAAAATGTCGGAGTTTCATCGTCAGCAAGCATTTGGTCCGCCGACCTTCATCGGCGTGTCTGCGAATGGGAGGTAAGGCGCGGTGACGTCGTCCTGTCAGTTGTCGCACCAAGTTGACCATGGCTAGTTTGTCTGGACGTGACACGTACGAACCACTTGATGCCGCACAACTCTATCACGAACACGAAGACGACTACCGAGCCCTGCCTCCTCCTCTGTCCTCACCGCAGGATGGCTATGCGCACGGCGAGTATGCGTATGCGTCGCACCACAGCAGCGGCGCATCCCTCTCAGGTAAGCGCATTGCTCTATTTAATTCTCCCAAATATCCATCCCACACCACTTCTCCACGCTGTCTCTCCGCGCTGCGCGTCTCGTTCCTCTTGTACTCTCCATTCCCTGCTCGCGGTTGCAATTCCCGCAACGCTGGGTCGCTGGTTCTGTATGTCGTCAAATTCCCGCCGATGGCGTGCTCGGAAGCGAACACCATTACGCAGCTGCCCCTGCACGTGATCCGACCACTGCAACCCCCAACACACGCACATCTCCTTCCAGCAGGTGGCTATGCAGCTGCAAAACCATGTCTTTCCAGATCACTGATCGACGGAACTACCCAAAACTCCTCTTCCCGGACGATTTCCTCATCTCAGCACCTGATATGGTACTGACACCTCCTCCAAGGCCTGCAATACACCTTGCCAACCATGGCTGCACACCCAGTCCCGCACCACTATGAGCACGAGCCGTCTCTGCTGGATGACCTGAATGGCTTCTCGCCCATCGCCCCAAACTACAACATGAATGCATATCGCACGCCATATCCCGACAGCAACGCCACCTCCACGTCTTCAGCCACTAGTCCTGATGCGCAGTTTTCGACCGACACCATCATTGTCGAGGCAGACGAAGACAAGCGCAAGCGCAACCAGGCCGCTTCCGCTCGCTTCCGCCAGAAAAAAAAGCAGCGTGAGCAGCAGCTGATGGAAACGACGCGCGAGATGCAGGATCGCACCAAGAAGCTGGAGAAGGAGAATGAAGGCCTCAAGAAGGAGAACATGTTCCTGAAGAAGCTGCTCGTTGAGAAAGTGGATCACATGACCGAGGACGATCGCGAAATGCTGAGGAAGGCGGCGGGCGTAGTGCTTGAGAGGAAGAAGTAATTACGAGAAGCTTTGTTCCTGCGCGATGATCACACGGGCGTCAATAGCGGTGGAGTTTCTACGGGATCGGTATATATGGGTAATGCGGTGTGGCGTGGCGTTTACAGTTGCGGACTTCACTCATAATATCGGAGTAGGCTTGCATGAACGTCTTCTAATAGTCTGAAGTCGATCATACTTGAGCATGAGTCGAACAGACATGAGCTAACGTATGGAGCGCGAGTCAGTTTAAACCCTCATGCAACAAACTAATAAGTATCACATCATGTACCCAATGCGACTTTGCACTGCGACACTACTTCAAGGTCATCTACCACGAACGTCATTAACATCAACGAAAAGTAAGTCTCATGTCATGCAATTCATTCAACGTCTTCAGGTGCCCGATACTATTAGGCAGCCTGGTGATTACAGTCAACCTCAGCTCCATCACCTTCATCGCTCTATAATCATCTCACTCTTCCCGCCCTTCCTACGACCTGCTCAGGTCCTACTCCTTCCCCTCCAACTGTCCGATCCTCTCCTGCAACCTCCAAATCTCCTTCTTATACTCCTCCTTCTCGTCCTCGCTCATCTTTAACTTAATCTCCAACCCCATGGCCTTGCTATCATCCTGCTTAATCTCCGCGATACGCAGGTCGGTAAGCTCACGCTCACGATTGAACCGGTTGTTCATGTCCACACGCAGACTATCCACCTTCTGATTGACGAGTTCGCAGACCTCTTGAGCAGACATGTGAACGGGCAGTGGAACGTTGACTTCCGTGCTGCCATGAAGCTTGTCAAAGGGTCCGGGAGGAGGGATACGGGCGAATCTTGCCGGAAGTCTGTCGCCATGGTGCGGGAAGCGCATTGCGCGCTTAGGGTATGGGGGTGCCTGAGCTGGTGATATTGTTGTTGAGCAAGGTATGTGGGTAGATATTGGGGCCGGGAGGCTGGAGCCTTCCATCAGCCATCGCCGAAAGCCAGCGGTCTGGTTTTGAAGATGGGACATGAAATTCGGCATGCTCGTTCGTGGACTCATGGGTGCCAGTGGTCTGTAGCATAGGCGCATCACGTCCCGGTACAATACGACCGTCGTCCTCTCCAACGCTGGTCTCTCTATTGACCATAGTGAGAGGCGGCTCCTCTCCCTCCCCGTCCGTCATATCATCTCTACGGGCCTTGATACTCTCCTGGGTTTTCACAGGAAGCTCGGAAAAGGGTTTCAAGAATGCGCTGCCCGCCGGCTTGTCCAGATCGTTTCGCCAGCCTGCGCGCCGCACTGATGCGCCTTTGTTGGCGGCGCGGGCAGCGGCTTCACTAAGTCGGTACGCAAAGTCATCAATCATGGGGGGATCGTTATGCCGAATCGTTCTCCTAGGGTCCCAGCGCTGGCGATCAGAGAACAACGCAGTGGGAGTGTCTTTCGAGCGATCAGGTTCTGGCTGAAACGAAGGCCGATTGGCGAGCATCTGCGCAACCGCAGCCGCATCAGCCTCGTGGTCATAAGGCGCTGGCGACACACGTGGGAATAGGGTCCTGTTTCTTTCAGGATTTCCCGCTATGTTCTCTTCGGTCTTGCTGGAGCTTGGTGATTGCCCGGCGTCGTTTGGGGACTGCTGGGTCGACATGGCGGATGTTGAGCGAAATGTGATTGTACGGGGTTGATATGAGAAGGCAGTAATAGAGTGGGCTGGCCAACAATTCTTTGTGGAGAGTGCGGAGCAAATAGGCTGCGGAGCGTAGACCCTACTTTGCGGTAGTGAGCACGTGCCAGCGGTCTTCGTGAATACCTCTAACGGCCGGTTTAAGCACGGGAATAGTTCGGGTAATACTTTTATCACTTGCAATGGAGTGACGAGAACTGTTACTTGTACTTTTGCTCGTATTGTTTATGTTTCAAAGAATTGCTCCTCTTAAGGTCGTAGCAACAAACCAGGGTTGAGCCTGCCTTTCAGCTCCGAACCAAGATATATCATCAGAAGATTGCTGTGAAGCAATTTTGTCTAATTACTGTGATGTGAATAGCTTGTGTGCCGGAGAATGAAAAGTGTCGCTGTCGATTTCATTTGTTGCTTAGATCGGACCTCATCGGATCCTGAATTCCTGAATTTCCCGGTGTACATGCGTGACTGGCGGCCCCGTATCCGCAAGCTCAGCGTGCCCTATCAGTCTCGCTCGTGATGTTCACACAATCAGCTGTGTTCCTGGATTACTTGTATATCTCCCCACAACCTGATCAGGTAACCCCGATTTCCTTCACGACCTGCTAAATTGATCTTCATGTCCTGTCCTGTCCCTCAAGTATCGAACTTCGCAGAAATTAGCTCAACCACATCTTCCCATTTCTTGTAGCACATGACTTACCTGCCACTTCTGCAAACCTCTTTCCCTACCGCCCGCCTTTGCGCCAGCCGTCGATCGACTCGCCATCTTCGGCTCATTTGCCTTCACATACTCTTGCGCGAGACTCGCACAAACCTTCTTATGCATTTTGAAATGAGCTTTTTGGCAATCTTTTCCGCAGTAGGCTACGCTGTGACACTTGAGACATTGCTTAAGGGTGTCCGGTGATTTGGCGCACTGGGCGCATTGAGATGTGGGTGATGTTGATGAGGATGAGGAAGCCTCTGGCGATGTGGTGTTTGTGCGTTCAGATGTGCTGCTGGGTTCGGTTTGGTCGGCCATGACTGCTGTGAGATTCTGATGTGTAAAGAGAAAATTTGGGATAGAGCGTAGTGGCATGCGATAGACTACTCACGTGGCGACGGCGTTGCAAAAAGGTGCTGGGTTAAGCCCTCGGCTTTTCGCAAGTGAACGCTAACGGAATTAAGCGAGAAGCGCTAAGCTGCATTCCACGCCAGGCTGCTTTACAGCTATCCGGCATAGCTTTACAAATACAATGCACAAACACTTTTATCATATGAGAACGGCTGGTAAGACTTTCAAGATGGCCGTTTAGTTATTGAAGGCGATATTGTGTTCACGAAGCAGGAAGAAAGATAGATATCTAGGTTACATGGAAGAAATACTCGCTTGCGAAATGCCTTGCAATTAACTAGCAGACAAAAGATCGCGGCTATGCTCTGGAAGCAATTCTATGATGTCGCAGTATTAATACATGAGAATAGTGAAGTACTGATCTACGTAACTAAGCTAACTAAGCTTAGGAAGTAGACTAACGTTTCTCTATAATCTATTTATATATTTAAGCTAGCTCTTCTAATATATTAGAAGAGCAGTAATTAATATAATCTTTTTTCTTAAGTTTACTTAGCTATAATAGTTATAAGCTTAGTGCTATAGGATTATAGAGTTAATTCTTTCCTATATATCTTATATTTACTAAGTACTTAAATTAAATTATTCTACTACTCTTATTTCTCTTAAACTTCTTAAATTATTCTAACGATATTAGTCTAAATAGACTAAATAGACTAGATAAAACTTTCTTCTATAGTTACTCTTTAAGCTTATAAAGACTAGCTAGCAATTAACTAAGAATTTACGCAGAATCTCTAAAAGATTAAAATTAGCTTATAACTCTAGAATCTATACCTAAGCTAGATAATATAAAGAGAAACTTAAAGCTTAATGCTTAAAGTATAGAAAGAGATAGCTAATAGCAGATATATCTAGCTAGTAGAGCTAGCCTATCTTACTCTAGTAATTAGATTAGATTATAAAGAGTAATACTATAGCGTATTATCTACTCTGCTACTTAATCTAGAGAACTTAACTTAAATACTCTAGATAAAGCAGATAAGTTACTTATTTAAGCATGCTAGCAATTATAGTAAATAACTTCTTCTAATCTAGATATAATAGAGCTATAAACTCTACGCACTTAGAGAATAAGCTAAAGATAATAAGATAAAGTACTAAAAAATAATTAAGAGATAAGTACCTACTTATCTTTGCATAGAAGAAAGAGAGATAGTAATTAAGATAACTAGATAGAAAGTATAGATACTAGAGTATATATACTAATTACTAATCTAGATAATAATAATAGTTTATAAGCTAACTTTTAGAATATCTTCTTACTAGGCGTAAGAAGAGCGTAAGATAATTAAAAGAGTTATAAATTTATAAATGCTGTAATTATAGCAGCTACTCTAACTAATTAAATACTAAAGTTAACCTAACTATACTAAAATAAGCTTCTAGACCTACCTAAGACTTAGAAATAATTTCTCTAATATAAATATAAGATATAGTTTAAAGCTATAATAAGATAAGAGATTAAATAGCTTTATAAGAAAGATATCTAAATAATTTAGCTAATAAGCAAAGCAATAATTTAACTAATCCTATTAAAGTAAGTTTAGACTTATAAGTTTAATTAAGATAGTATGCTGCTTAAGTGCAAAGTATATATAGTTATATAAGAAGATCTTTAAGAAAAAAACTTACTTAATTTAACCTATGCTGCTACCTTAGTAGTAAGATTATTTTAAGTAGTAATAGCTATAGCTACTTACTTTAATCTAGAAGTTATATAAAATAATATAATAAGAGTATTTCTTAATATAATAATTATAAAGAAGAACTCTATACTATATAAGCTTTCTAATAGTTTTAAGAAACCTAGAATATATATTAAGCTTAATTAAGCACTTTATAGTATAAGAGACTTACTACTTCTATAGTATAAGAAGTTCTTAGAAACACTCTAATTATTAGGCTTTATCTTATTAAAAGAAGAACTCTGCTTCTTCTTTAATAAAGATAAGAAAGTTCTAATACTTTTCTATATTAATAATATTCTTTTGCTATATTATAAGGCTTATAAAGCTTTTATAAAAGATTTATAGATTAAGATTACTATAAAGTTATTAGATATAATAAGATTCTAGATAGAAATTATTATTATTATTCTATCTAAGGTATGCGCAGTATCTTATTTGCGTATATAGAAGCCTCTGCACCTTTCTTAGTAAGTTAATTACTTAACTTATTTTATATAACGCCTTCTATCTAATATACTCTCTTAGCTTAGAAGTTCTTTTTATAAGCTATGCATTCTAGTTAATTAGCTATAATATTAGGCTCTCTAGTTACTCTTATAGTAACTCTAGTCTAGCTTTCTTTAAGAGAGCTTTTATATGCTTAATAAGTCTTAATTAATTAAGGAAGTTAGCTTATTTATTAGCTAAAAGAGCTTTAGTAAATCTATCTGCTATTATATTATTAGATAGTATATACTCTATCTTAATTATCTTCTAAGTAACTTCTTATCTTAGCTAGTAGTAGTATATATTAACGTACTAAAGTTTTATTTAAAGCTTAGCTACGTTTTCTATTACTAGTCTAATAGTCTGCTTATTATTATATTTAATTATAATTATTAAGTTACTAAGGTTAATCTAAAGCTTCTTTAGTAACTATAATATAAAGATAGCTTTCTTTGCTATCTAAGAGAGCATAAGCAGTTTAGCTTCTATTATTAAGATTATAACTATATTTTATTTGCTTACTCTCTAAGTTATAAGACTGCTAAAAAGTTTAATAGCATAGCTTTATAAGCTTTTCTAGTTAAGAGTATTATCTATAAATAATATATTACTTATAACCTTAAAACCTTTACCTTTTCTAAGCTTAAGAGCTAAGTTTAATAATTACTTTAGATATAGTAGTATCTAGTCTACTGCTTCTTAATACTTATTACTTAGATTAACTAGAAATTAAGTAAGGCGCGATGTTATAAAGATAATATCTAGCCTTATAGTAACTGCTATAAATAGCAAAGATCTAATCTTATACTAATACTTATTAATTTTAGCTAGCGCTATAAGTCTATCTTATAGTAGAAGTTTAATGCCTAATATTAGCATATTATATCTTATACTCTAGTAATTAATAAGTAAGCTAATTTTATTAACGTAAGTAGCTTAAGATAGCTAAATAGTCTTCTGCTAGCAGTTATATATAATCTCTACTCTAAGAAACTACTATAAGTCCTCTTCTTCTATATAGAGATATTTATCTTAGATCTATTTAATAGCCTTTAGAGCCTCTAATTCTTTCTTTAAGTAGTATATAATAATAATTATTGCAGTATTAATATATAAGAATAGTAAAGTACTAATCTACGTAACTAAGCTAACTAAGCTTAGAAAGTAGACTAATATTTCTCTATAATCTATTTATATATTTAAGCTAGCTTTTCTAATATATTAGAAGAGCAGTAATTAATATAATCTTTTCTCTTAAGTTTACTTAGCTATAATAGTTATAAGCTTAGCGCTATAAGATTATAGAGTTAATTCTCTACTATGCATCTTATATTTACTAAGTACTTAAATTAATTATTCTACTACTCTTATTTCTCTTAAACCTCTTAAATTATCCTAACGATATTAGTCTAAATAGACTAAATAGACTAGATAAAACTTTCTTCTATAGTTACTCTTTAAGCTTATAAAGACTAGCTAGTATAGTATATTTAGCTTAAAGTATACGCTATTAGAAAGTAAGTATAGAACTATGTTAATCTAGATAGCTTATTATAACTTAATCTTCTTAATAACGCTCTTCTATACTTAGGATTATCTACTAAGCTAGTTAAGCTAAAGAATTCTCCTGCTAGAGCTACTAATAAAGTAAAAGCTAATTATAAAAAGTCTTTATAAGAATATATTAAAGATATTAAAGCTTATAAAGTTTTATTAGCTAACTATAATAAGAGAGTCTAATAATAGAAAGTTCTTACTACTAAATAGTCTTAAAAAGCTACTGCACTTATAAATCTTTAAGACTAGATTATAAAAATAGTCTTACTAAACCTTCTTAAGCCTATCTAGATTAAGCTTTTCTAGATAGATAACTTAAGCCTTTAATTATAACTTAAACTGCTTAAAGATTAGCTAGCTCTAAGTAAAGCTATAACTTAGAATTAAATTAAATAAGAGTACTAAGCTTATCTAGATAAAGCTAAGTATAGCAGAATTAAGCTAAAGAAGTAGTTTAATAAATAGCAAACTCTC